GAGATCAGCTTTCACATACAAAGAATTATAGCGTCGAAAACTTTGTTTTGGTACGAATTACTTCCTTACTCAAAGTTAAAGCGAATGAATACTAATGATATTTTTTACTGATTATATCCTGAAAACATGCAAATAATATACGATAGAAATAACACAATCAAAAATGAACTACTGACAATTCAAAATCTTATCACTTGTGTGTGACAAGAAAATCTGTGCAGAACTACTTTGCGTTGTTAGGTACCCGTTCTTATATTGAAATCCCGCAAATTGTGATAGAACTGTATTCACTGCTAACGCAGCGAATACAAAAACCGAAGAGACGGAAAAGGTTATTTCATGCATTGCGAAATTCTCCAGTTCGCTATTCATTGTACATATCGAGACATTTTTTTTAATCAAGCACCCTCATACCGATCGGAATGATCGGCTTTTATTATGACCGACTTATTAAGGCTCGAGCAGTTGCTGTCGCCTTTTCACAAAATCTGATTATATTCCATAAGGGCGCCGCGCTTCGGCGCGGACGCCAAAAATACACCTATATAGGAAAATACATACAGATAGTCAGTATGATTTAGATTGCAAAGATCAGAAAATACCACAGAGCTTGCAGCCCTTTGATTTAATTAGAGAACAAGGTATCGTACTATACGTGGATATAAAATAACATTAGCCAATAAGAGCTTCGCTTTCGCACTCTTACAGGAATCAATAGACTTACTATTGTGAAAAGAATGTTGCTTGTAAAGGAAAAATAGTCTCATATTTGCTATTGGCTAAGGAGCTTTTGATCTTTTTCTTGACCAATAAGCAGCAATGGCAATATTTTTTCCCATTTAGGAATTTAAATTTGATAACAGTTGTTTAATTAATTGTCAAAATTGCCAAATGTGAAGAAAAAATGAGGATCCTTACATGATGAAACTAAAAAGAACAAATTATTTTATGATTGTCTGCATGACTTTGGAGACAAAATCAAAAGGTGTGTTTGATTATTCGGACTGTGATAAAGTCAAGAGAACCTGACTAAAATGTAAATTAAAGATTTACTTCGTCTGTACTTTAGAAAATATATATATTGTATCTAAATTTTACAGAGTACGAGGGCTGTTAGAAAAGTATACGGAAAGGTTTATTTTTCATTTGTGCACTAATCGTGATGAAATTTTCAACACTGATACTTTCGGGAATTATGCTTATGGTCCGGCAGAAAGAAGTAAAATATTTATAATTATGTGTTATATACAGTCACTATGGCAACATCATGCGACGTCAAGCGGGGCAACACCGTTAAATTGGGTAAACGATCACATATTTACTGTTTCTAAAGAGATCAAAAATTGTATTTCCGACGTTAAAAGTTGACCAAATTGCACTGTTGGGGACTTTTATCTCGACAAATGTAACGCCATTGGCTGTAATATGACGCCATTTCCGTAAACAACAGAAGTTGAACACATACCTTTTCTGATATTGCAATTATGGCGCTAGAGAAGTGGCTTTGCATGTTAATGGGGAAAAAAGAAAATATCAAAGACGATCTTTATGATTAGAATACCTACGGCGGAACCTCTATGAAGAAATCAAGCATATATGAGTAGTACAACATATTTAAAAACGATTCTACACGTGATGTTGCCGACCGCCAAAGATTTTAACGCCAAGCCATTTCTCATACAGTCCCATGGCAACCGTTTCATGAACTCGATTATTACAGCAGATGAAACATGTATTAGTGTTTATGGCCCTAAAAATAAGGAAGATTCGTACATGTTGAAACATCCAGACTCTTCATCACCAGTAAAGGCCTTGGTGAACCGCTCAGGTTCATCTTTTTCTTCGATGCCAGAGGCGTGATTCTGAAACATGCGGTACCGACAGGGAGGACGGTCACACGCAAATTTTTCGAAAATAAGTGTATTTGCTTTGAAAAAAATAATATCAAAAATAATTTAAAATGTTTCATTTTATATTTATCGCATTTATAAAAGCATTTGGTATGATAAATGCTATCTTAATTTCTGGTTATGAAGCGTGATCTTGTGCGTGATGTGAAGATGTATAGGTCACAACTCGATGGCAATTTCGTATTACATCATGACAATGTACCTCCCCACTCCTCTGTTGTCACCAAGACAACGCTGAGATTGTTAGGAATTGACATCGTGAAACAACTTTCATATTCCAGATCTTGTATATATAATTTTTCTGATATATGTTCACGAATAGAGTTCTGACTAGGATGCTCTGATACAATGAAATATGAAATGACCTATTTGGAAGTATTTCTTAATCAACATGATTGTGCTTTTTTCAGTACAATTATGGTAGTGGTGGTGTGTGTGAATGTGTAAAGCCTTATCATGCTCCATATGAAGTTTCTGACACCCCTAGCGGAAGTGACGGCAAATTCTTGCACCAACATGGCCACGAGTTCCTTGATGCATCTATATTGCACCTGGTGAGCTGATATCAACACATATAGGTAGCCCGTACCACACGCAAATGAACTGATCGTTACTGCTCCGGTATACAGCTATATTGTGTGTCTAACATCTCATCAAAGTCCCGATGATTAGTTTATGTACCTCTTATTTAGCACAACGAGGCCAGTCCGTCCCTACACCACAACTGATCATCACGCTCAGAAATACTGTCGACTTGAAACCTCGCACGTCTGTCAGTAAAGTCTAGATTCATCAGTGAAGAGAACATGTTTTGTCTGGCCCACATAACATGCTCCCTCGCCCATTTCAATAAACGGACTTTTCGATGACGACGAGTCAATAGAATTCTTACACAGGGATTCATTGATTTTAAATAACCCTCATAGAACCGTCTGACTCTGAGGTTCAAACATTGAACACAAAACCACAAAGGTTAATATTACTAAACGTAGTGTCACACTGAACTGCGACAACTCGCGAGATGTTTGAGACACAAATATTAGGCACACTTTGCGAATTTTAGCGACAAAACTCTGTGTTTCACGTCCTTTTATCAACGACATGAATGCGTATGTTGTCCGAATATTGCGTAAATTTCGGACGGATTTCCTGCGTAATATCTCATAAACTTCTCAAATGTGTCGCGAGAATATCACACGATTATTGAACGATTATTGAACGAGACCTTTTATCATCTGTTTCGCATCGAAAATCGCACGACAGTTATAATAAAGTATTATAAAGAAATGAGAAAAGTCAGACAAAAGTCAGACAAAAATAAAAGCAAACTCGAATTTCAGCGATTAGACATCATTTGAGATGGATCAACTTTTGGATGAGAACCCTAATTCACTTGACACTACTGCATTATGGCAAAGTTCAAATGTATAGAAACAAAAAAAAAATCAAAATCTACTTCAGTTTTATTAATGCGATGGCATAGTATTTTTCACAACTGCACTTTTGTTTTTTTTAAGTGACTTAAGTGAATACAATTCTTTCATTATTTACGAAAGGTGTATGAAGATTTTTTAAACTCTGTTTTTGATTAATTGATATGATATGTGTTCATAAATATTTAGACGTTTATAATTTTGTTGATTTATTATTATAATGTTAATGTCCGTATAGATTAAGACATTGGTTTTATTTTATGTTAGAATTTTAAAGCGTAGTTAGGTATGTTCATTTTAGATGTACATTAAAGTATATATATTGATATAAATCTTTACAGATTTTATAACTAATAACACACGTGCCATTATGATTATGTTCCTTGTGTATACAATGTATTAATCATGGAATGTTATGCTAGCTTGCTTACATTGAACGAGTATATGAATTTCCAATTATCAATTTTAAGCAAAACCTCCATTTCATACAAAAACAGTGTAAAACAGTTATATAGTGTCATATAGTTGTATCTGCCTGTATAATACGGGAGCAAATATTTTTTGATGTTCAGTGCCGTGATTACAGTAAAGCATAAAGTTTATTCCGACGTCCGTCAATGTCGACAAAATTGCTGGCAGATTTCGCCTAAATTTCTAGGGAATGGTCGTTATCTGACACTGTATATATTCTATTTAAATATTGTTTTTGAAAAGCTGATTGGTGCAAATAACAGACATGAAATGAAATCTTAAATTATCTTAACCCCTGAAACTACAATGCCCAAAACGTCATATGGTAAGTAAATTGCATTATAGTCCTCTTCAAAGCTGGTCCCGCCATTGTGCACTTAGGTTGAAAAGACTTCAATGGGGGAAATCATTGTTTAAAATAATGTGTCCAAAGGTTGACTATTTTGCCGTGAGCTTTGCCTAGATAATCTGTGCAGAATTTATATATAGATTATGCCCGTGGTTCAAAAATGGCTTTTCTTCAGATGTCACTTTTTCCCATAGACTTATAACGAAAATAAACTACTCTTCTCAAAAACGTCAATAAACAGGGCTTGATGTAAATTTTGTACGTGTGTCTCTACAAAAGTTGCATAAATCATGCCCCTTCCGCTGTGTATAGGAAAAGTTTTAATTCTTATCGTAAGAAACTACAATGCTCAGAGCTAAGATAGATGTGATGAAGCAATGACTAGTTGGTCTCTATAAAGCTATATAAATTTAAAAGATGTCCGAACACGAGGGGGACATAGTGTGCATACATCTTTTCTAGAGAAACGTGAAGAACTTAGATATTTTGACATCAATGTTTCAATGTGGACCTGTTCAAATGTTGCTTAAAGCACGTCCCATGGGATGATATTTAGACTCGTCATGATGGAACAACTTTGCATAAACTGTGCATAAACTTTGCATAAACTTTTTCAAGGAAGAAGAAATCCCTAAAAACGCACAGATCACTTAATTTGTCATAATAGATTTATATAAACAACACAATAGTATAATTGTTTGAATTATTATGTAGATATTTCCATTCAAACTCCGACATTCTACTTTTCTTCGGAAAATTGGTACAAACAAATTGAAGAAATATTTCAAATGTAAAACGAACATGTGGTTTTAGATAAATAACACCATGATACAGACAGGCATTTGTACATTTGTATTATATTATATTTCTGGTTTAAAAGCATGCACGTACATATTAAAGGAGTAACAAATAAAGAAAGCGTAGCGAATAAAACTCACTCACGCACACGCACGCACACACACACGCACGTACTCCCACTCATTATAAGCAAATTGACCACAAGATGTTCAAAGATCGTATAAGATTACAGCGGCTATGTTTCTAATTCACAATTTCATTTAACATTGTATAGTTGAACAGAGACAATATATCACTATTCTGCAGAATTAAAATGTTACAGTGCTTCTTAGTTTCTGACAGGTGCCTTTGTTGACAGTTCATCACATGCCCCAGTGTATGCTAGCTCAAAACTGTAAAAAAAACAACAACTTGGTATGCAATTCAGTTCCTGGTGGACTCTATAAGACTTGAAATAATGCTTCATTTGATAGTCATACTGTACATAATGCTTTCCCGCCAAAGAAATTCTAACATTAGCAAATATAGTGGCAATTCGGTTCTTTCCGGAACTTTATTTTTCAAATCTTTGGGACTATATTATTTACAATCACTCATCCTCTATCGCTATGTACTAAATTTCGAGTTAAAACGGTTGACAATTATTGAATACCGAATATTGTAAAAAATAACGTTCCGGAAATGATTTTTTGGCGAGAAAACGTTAGAGTATGACTACCTTAAGTTATATGTTACAGCTTAAAGTACGGCTTCTTTACCAATGTATAGTTATATATGACACATATTTAAATATAATTTTTGTTTATTTACTGAATATAATACACGGTCTGAAATACGCGCTCTTGTCTGAATTTACAGTTTTATGAAACATTATAAAAATAGTGTTCTTTATAAAAATTAACGTCATGTATGATACAAATATACAACTTCAAATACACGCTCGAATTACACGTTCCTTCTGCTCCTTACAAACACATAATTAAAGGATTATTGAGAAAGCGTACTTTAAGCTGTGCCGTCTTACTTCATTCGTAAATAAACTATGTTACATCTTACCAAATCGGATGTTTCAAATTGATTAAATCGGATGTTTCAAATTGATTGTTTTATTTCAAATAATGTTTTTATCAATTTTAAAAGTGAATATACACATGATAGAGAAATTTAACATAAGCATAACTAAAGCGACTCAATAATATGTGCATCGGACATTTGACATGAAACAAGTTTATATCCTTGGTTGAAATTAAAGTATTAACGATGCATGTTTACGTCTTTGTATACATGTTAATTATAGTTCATGTAGATTATAATTTATATACCAAACAAAAATCTTATGAAATGGAACATTAAAAAAGTTACGAGAGCTTACTTTGCGCTTTTCCTATTGCAATCGTTGTCGTATTCTAGGTTCAATAGTAGGCTGCTGGCCTACAGCAGATCGCTTACGTAAGCCAGTGCATTCACCATCATGGAGGTAGGTCGCCCCGCTTATGTAAAATAAAACAATTGTAAAATAGTTAATAATGCACATAGTATTTTCTTTTACTGATTTCTGTTACAAAAAGTAATGAAATTGCGATAAAACGGTTATAATAATTATATGAAAGTTACTGGGGTATAACAGTGGCTTGGGCGAAATCTCTGGATGTTTCTGCAAGTAAGAATCGTCTCGGCCTGTCGACCTTGTTGTATTATGGGTCTATTTATTAACAAGTACACAGAATGTGAACTTGTAATACATAACACAGACACGTGTATACTGAATCTTCCAAGTATATAAGTGGCGGGAAGATAATGGACATGAGCATTATAGTATAAGATAGTATTAAGATTTAACATATGTATACAAAATACAACATTCACCTTGTATAAAAAAGCACATTTAGTATGTTTCAAATTAATCTGTAAAATACGTTCATTCAAGTATTTCAAATATAATTAATGATCTTTTTATGACGACATTGAAATATACATGTATTATTCATATTAACTAGGAAATTTTTTAAATGCTTTCTAAATGTCACTGATTTACAGTTTCAATCTATTTTAAGTGAACAAACAAATCAAAATGCCCCTACAGAGTCCCTGTCTTCTGCAAATTTTTACCATGTTAATCGAAACCATTCACACTTACTAGGTCAGGTAGTGAGGTGAAACCAAATGAGCTTTACTGTAGAAATCTGTTTTTTTTTAAAAACAAATTGAATGTTGTATTAATAAGTACACAGAGCGTGGACTTGTAATATATATCACAGACACGTGTTGCTAGTTCTATCGTTTAATGACCACTGAATATTCCAAGTCAAGCATATAACTGGCGGGAAGATAATAGACATGCGCATTATAGTATAAGATAGTATTAAAATTAAACATATGTATACAATATACAACAGGCCTCGACAGTTTTTTTTATGCAGAAAAATCCCATCGATGTAAAACCCCCAAAACTAACTGTTTCATATACTATAACTATTACTTAAAAATGACCCATGGAGACACTTTTCAACGGGGTTAGAATTTAATGTTTCACCTCCGTCAAAATACATAAGGTGTACGACACGTAGTCAGGCCACTTACTAAAACACCCAAATACCAATAAAATATTAAAGAGCAATAAAAACGCTATATTTTATAAACAAGGCCCCAAATAGATAACTTATTGATAAATAATAATTTTAATTGGGTTTTAATAAAAACATCTGATGTCAAAGTGTTCGAGAATGTTCCTAGAAAAAGATCTTGTTTCTTGCTGTCTTAAATAATAATAAAAGATGCATAATTTCTAGTTACTGATGTTGAATCAATATTAAAATCTAATATACAAACAAAAAATATATATACAAAATTTCAGAGCCTTTAAAAAAGACAGAAAAGTTCATTTTAAAAAGAGCTTTTGCACGGACCAAAAACGGGGAAAAATTCTAAACTGAAGTATAAATACATTTATAAATCAGTCTTAAATAAGATGTTTTAACATTATTTGTTTCAATATGGCATTGTTAAGTTTTGTCTAAAAGATTCAGTTCAAGAATATTAACTCTTTCTCAAGATCAACATTTCCAAGGCCCCGTTGAAAGGTAGATCTGTTTACATCTTAATGGTGTACATGTATGTGCATACATTCATTTCTGATAAAATTTCTTTTCATTTCAAATATTTATTTCTGGTTATATATTAAGCAATAAACAGTAAAATAAATGATTATTTTTACTTACGCACATTCTAGAAAACATAGATTTTGAAACGTTATGCCACCAACGCTGCACACAGGTGCATAAATTCTGGGACAAGAACATGACGCTTTTGCAGTTGGCATGGTAACTAAAGAATAATATGTGATACATAATACATATAAACAAATATATAAAGTCATGTTTTTCTATATTCGTAACAAAAATACAAGTATTTTTCCTCCATAACCGAAATTAATAAGACAATCATAAAATACGTGTACTGATATTTTAGGGGGAAATGTTAATTAGTAAAGTAATTCAGCCACATTGTTAGACGACTACCAACGTTGTAGGTATTATTAATGTATTAAAAGTGCTTGTGTACACATTTGCAGCGTGGATAATTCAAGTTGAATGTTACTATCTATAATACTTCGAAATATTAAGAGATAGTGCAAACTGGTTCGGTTGCACCCACAACGTTTTAGAAGTGAAGCCATGACATTGTGTGGTGAACGAGGAAATGATCTTTCAGAAAACTTCCGCAGATTCGGAAGCACGGGTAAATATGCAAAGGTTTGTTACAACCGGTTTTGCAATGGACGAGTTTTGCAATTTTAACGAGTTTTGCAATAAAATTTTGCAAAACCCGTTTTATTGCAAAACCGATTGTAACAAAGGTTTGACCAATGGGTATCATGTAAACGCCTCTAATCAACAACAGAAAATGCAAAGATTGTTTGCGCGACCTCAGACGTTTGAGCAAATAACAGAAATAGTCTGTCAAGCTCCTGAAATCATTCACAGTAACAGTTTCCAAAGTAAAGAAAACTCGAGTGCGATCACATATAGAATATTCATTATTTATAAGCATAAAAACGTGTCACTCAATACAAAAGTTGGCAAACAAAACAAATGCAGTAAAAGAAAATAATGTAAAGGCAGTAATAGAAGTTATGAAAAAAGATATAAAATAAACTGACCAGAGATCCCAGCAAAACAAATGACTGCAAGGCAAACTGAACTAACCATCTTGTATTGGTAGCTTTAACAAAATTTTCAAAGTTTCTATCGGAATTAAACAGTTAAATATGCTCTTGTCGATCCTGAATTTAGATTATATATATATTGATGTCTACACGTCAGCACCCCCATGTCACTGCACATTTTCTGTTAAAGCAGCGCAGTAATAAATTGATCAAAAAATGCAAAAAATCTTAGAAAATGGCTAAATAAATATACGAACTGTTTTTCTGTTCGTAAATACATCATTATTTATATACACAATCTTATGCGCATTTGTTGCTTACGTTTTATTAGATTAATATGGTTGCTGATTTACGTCATTTCGTGTTTTTGCTATTTTGGTTTGTTCAACTTTGTCGACCCTTCTGACTTCGTAAGAAAAAGCGAAAGTACAACATGGCGAAAATCGGCAACTATAGATTAAGACAAGAGTGCTGCCAGACTTGCAACTTGATAATTTCTTTACTGAAACAACAACAACAACAACAACAACAACAACAACAAAAGAACCAAATTCAGCTATTGCGCCTACAATAACGATCTTAGTCCTTAGATACTCTATAATAAGATCATTCTTGAGAATGACAACCTGACATATATTAAAGGCTAATTCTCAACGTTAACAATTGGTGTTAGTATAATTCAATATTGCTGTTAGGTAAAACAAACACATTTGCCAATCTACTGATTCTCAAAAGCAACTGACAACATGTCATTCATGCACTTTTAATGAAGTAACATGTGCTCTCTATGCGCATAAATCATGAAATTAGCGTTACCTAAGAAAAAGTGATGTCTGCTTATATTTAAATTATATGAGAATTTTAGAAGATAGCTTGGGTACACCGAAAATGAAAAAGAACAACAACAATAATAATCTAATACATACATCTGTTTTACTATGGTCATACGGTAGCCAGATTGTCATTCTCTCGTCAATGATCTTGAAAAGCAATTAGTTCCAAAAATCACAAGCCAATGATTAAAATTAACCAGTTGGCTTAATTATATATAAAAATCTATTAAAATTATTCCCCATCCTTCAAAAAACTAAAAATGGACAATTTCAATATAGAATGTATTCAGATATTCGTACCTGGAGAATATATATCTAATTATGACCTTGGTCACATGCATTTTCTTTTGCTTACTTTGTCGTGCAATGTTAACGAATATGCTGTCGAACTTTAATTTGGTCGTACAATGTATTTTGTAGATATCGTATCTATATTCGTGTTTTCTTCAAACTTTCAAACGGATCTTCTTAAAACTACTTAGCTAATATTGGCGGAGTATTTCCTGCATTACCCTTGTAACTGATTTATTTAGTGACATCACCATGTTCATCATACCAATATTGTTCAAGATTTATCGCATTTAGGGGTCTCCCATTCTTATATGCTCATTATGTTATTAAGAAAACAGTTAAAAGCCATGATATTAAGTCTAACATTAAAACCCTATACCGCAACTGGTAAAATTATATTCTGCATTGCAACTTTACGACCCACGCGTTTTTGTCTTTTTTTCTGTCGTTAAAAGAATGAATTAAAAGTGTAGAATAAACCACCTTACAAAATGCAATATAATTTATTATCTTAAAATTACTGTTTTATTTATTAACACACGATACATAATTATTATTGTAAAATTTTGATTATTTGTCAGTATTATAGAGGTCAGTAATTAGTTTTATTAAGTAAATCCAAGTTTGAATAAAGCAATCTATTTTATATAGCACACAATATCAGTCTTAGACCTTAGATGTTATCGATTTGGCATAATAAATCTGGATGGATCTTTGTTTCATTAAATATTGGTTCTGCCGCTTTGATAATTTTCATATTAGAATGCTATTATCTTCTTTTAAGAAACTTAATGACCTTCAGTAAAATTATTCCATGCATGCGTATTGATTGTAGCTAATTAGTGATACTCAAAAGGACAACACATTGTTACTGCTACAAATGAATGCCTTTAATTTTCTACATCAAATTTCACATTCCCTTTTTTCCAATTTTAAGATGATTTTAGGATGAAATCACCAAACGTTACAGCTGTCAAAATGGTGTGCAATATAGGTCTACTATGACCCTCTTGCTTAAAAATTTTATTACAATTACATTCCTTTTCAACTGTTTCAGCAAATTAACTGTATTTAAATGCGTCTTTTTTATATTCAAATCTTTGGTGAAAGTGATGATATTTAGTATTTGATTGTTTACTTTTGTCTTAAGTTTCAAAATGTTGTGTGTACCCCAACCATTCATTTATATGAAAGTTTGGGAAAAATATATGGAGAAACTCATCAAAAAAAGCATACGTGTTTGAATACATTTTGATATTCTCAGATGAAATATGCAAGAAATATATAATATGATTTTATAGACTTAAAAAAGAAAGACAAATGCTAATAAATTATTTATCATAACTAAGAATGTTGAATTGAAACACATTTTTCCACTTTCCAGTCCTTAATTGCTTATAGAACTATTAACAATTCTTGCATACTCTATCAAAAAGTTACTGAACTTTGTTATTAATTTTAGGTTTCAGTCTTTCAAGCAATTTATATAAAACAATAACATTTGAAATACATAAGAATAATGTTTCTTACAATGAATTTTTGATTTTGTTGAAATTGATTTTTACCCCACCACCAAAAAAACTACACATTTACTAAAAAAAATGCTATTATTTGAAACACTTCAACGGCACATTTCTTTCGTACAGGATGGATTTTTGTAATATATTTAAAACCATAGAAAATAAATTATTTTGTAAATTACATTATAACATGGAAAAATGTTCGGACATCTTTCAATATTACTAATTTTTCGTCATTTCTTCACCACAATTTTCAGCCTTTGTCTGTTAAAAGATATTTAAACATTAAAATAGATACTAAAATTATGTGTGTGACATGTATTTGATACAAAATTGCATGAAAAGAACAAATGCACCTGTTTTAACTGCTTAAAATTAGGTATTAGTAAGTAAATTGCAATTTTCATATATTTGGCGGCCATCTTGGACGCCATCTTGGATTTCTCTGTTCGCCACCATGTATGCCGATTTATGCCGACAGTTTTTAAAACTACAAATGAATTGGAACATTTTGGTATTGGACACGTCTTGTTAAAAAATGGGTCCAGGTTCAAGTTTCTGAATTGCTTGATTGCCACCCTACCAATATTGCGTGTAACTTTAAACATGAAATAACTATCAATATATGTGTAGTGTCGCTTTAATTTGAAATTGTCGGTGCTGATGCCGTTCAGTTGATGATAAGTTTGAGGTTTAAACTCTCCTAGTCTGACAGTATTGGACTATAAACGGCCAGTAGATTTATAGACATTTGTGGTAACCTAGCCAAACTTCAATAAATAAAATAAAAATAAAAATTGTTCTCGGTGAAGTCCTTTGTACTGATTCAATTAAATACGGCGCTCAATTTTAGTTCAAACTAACTGTAATAAGTTTACTCCCAAAAAGTAAATGATAAATTTATTTTGAAAAGAGGACGGATTACTTTTATTGCGACGCAGATCTTTCGATTTACGAATTTAAATATCTAAATCAACATGACTGTTTCAGTACAAAAACTGTGGTGGTGGTGTGCGTGCGTGCGCGCGCGTGCTTGCTTGTGTGTGTGAGTATGTGACGCCTTATCATGAATCATATGAAATTTCTGACAGTCCTAGCGTGGATTACGACAAAGTCTTGCACCCTCATGGCCACGAGCTCCTTGATGCATCTATTTTTCACCTGGTGAGCTGGTATCAACACCTACAAGTAGTCCCGTATTACATGCATTTCGTCAGTTAAACTGATCGCTACTTCTCTGGTATACATCATAACCTGTGTGTCTAACACCTCATCGAAGACCCGGCTATCAGTCAATGTACAAAGAGGCCAGTCCGTCCCGACACTACATTACCCTGTAGAACGTCTAACTGAGGTACAAATATTGACCACAGAAGCATAATGTTATTACTAATTAAGACGCGTTGCCTCGACGGGCCTGGATGATCTAAAATCAGCCTTGAGCTCATGCTTTTATCCTTATTTGCTACCGCCATGTCTCATGAAGGGCTAACCATACTGGTGGCATCTTGTTAAAGCTCTGGTGTCATATGTATCAAGCGCCACATCAACCTTACGTTGTATACACCCTAGCGCTCCACCATCTTTACAGTCCCTCACATGTCTGCTTTTTTCAATTGCGTCGTATCATAGCGTTTGTTATGTCAAAGTGGCCTATGTAAAATAACTGCACATAACTATTTAAATGTCGGTGTTTTAGGTCCTTATAACATGTCTGGTAAAATATGATTTTAATTCGGTTTAACCTTCAAAATCAGAAAAAAAACGTCTTGCAAGAGCAGCATTAATTTTAATATTTCGCATTTGCCTTTAAAATCACATTTAAATTTTCCGTGGGACACGTGCACTTACATGACAAATTAGTTTCGCTTAATATTAACAAATATAGAATTTTAACTAGGCAGTATATTTTTTGCATCCTTAAATTGCGTTTGTAAAGCAATAAACAGGTAAAACATAGAAAATATTACCTGTTTAAGAACGTTTGTAATTGCGATAATAACCCTAGCTTCTATTCTTATCATGAGCTCAAGGCTGATTGTAGATCATCCAGGCCTTCGAGGCAACGCGTCTTAATCATGTGTTGTGTTTTTTATTGTCTGAATTGTTTATCTTTTCAAAATGATCAAGGAAAATGTCTTACGTTTTACAAAATTATAAGTGTAAACAAAGTTGTTATCTGTCGAAAATGATCAAAAAAGAATTTGTTGACGTAAAGTATGACTTGTGTCTTTTCATTCAGATACATATTTCTTTTCTTATTATTCACCCCCACCCTCTCTCTCACACACCACGCATATACCTTCCTCGTTTTATTCAACTGAGACATTGCAATAAAAACCTTTATGAAATATTTGAAAATGATTATATCCTGATGAAGTACTGCGTAGTAAATAAACATATTTATGAACAATTTCTGTCCTTTAAGGATTTACGCAGTTGTTATTATTTAAAGCAACGTGAAGAGACATGCCCGTTAATGTCTCAATTTTACGGTCTGGTTACACCGCAAGAACCTTTCTGGAGCGTTCCTCGAGCGGTGAGAAAAAATCTTCACCTCCCATTACCGTTCACCGGAAGTTGGCTCTCGTTAAGGTAACGTCGTATACGCTCTGCGACCGCTTATGGTCCGTCCTACCGCTCCGAAAGTTTTGGCTACACAAAATATTGCGAGCGGTGAGGAGCGAGCAATTGTCTTGCTGGAACGGTGTCGGGCGTTGAAGCAGAGATCCATTGCGGTGATGAACGTTGGATTGGCGTTGGTATGGACTTGTCATAGCGGGACCAGAATATGGCTAGCTATAAATACGGGGAGACATGGACCAGGAGCCCATTTGGAATCTATCAGAACTTCTATCAAAGCGATCCGGGCGGAAAGTACGGGCGGTGTGACAGGGCCTTTAGGTTTTAATTGGTAAACATTGATCAGATAAAAACCCAGAAATGAATTATTATCCACAATGTTCACTACAGTTTTGGTTTATAGGAACTTCATTTAGTTATATTGTATAAAAGTTTAGCAACTACATGTATATTGGTTGGTTGTTTTAAACAATTTCAACCAAACATAGCAGAAATTATTTTTACAAGCCCATTTTATATCCGGCGCATGTTATGTTTTTATTTGCATCTGGAAGTATCATTTTATTAACTGTTGTACAACTCTTGAAAATAACAATTACTTATCATCTTAAACATCAATTTATGTTCAGGACAGTATTCGAGTAATAGTCAATGGTTGCCGTTTTTCGAGGTTTCTTTATTTAACGCTTAGTAAATATGTAAACATCATCATTATCATCATCATCATCAAAACATTGTTTCGAGCGGAGTATCTATGAAAGGTAAGAATTCACATCTTACGACTGTCGAAAATTTTCCGTAAAATATATATTAAATTTCATCAGAAACTTTTTGTCGTTTTTCGTTTCAAAATACCTACATTTTAAATTTCTTATAATAGCTTTACAATATCAAATATATGTAGACATGTGATGTAGATCTTAAATATTTAACTTGGACTTTGACCCAACATACATAACTAACGTCAAAATTGAATTTATCTTTCATTTTGCAGTCAAGACGGACTTCTAAATATTTTTGTCTCTTACAGCGCATTCTATTATTGATGACACAGCTACTGCGTCAAATTTCAACTAGAGAAGTCATAGCGCAGATTTTGCTTTTCCAAAAACGGTATGGCGTGATAAACTTTAAAATAGCTCGGTCACGTGACATTATAAAGATGTTGCATTTGAAAATAAAAATAAACCTCCAAAACATCCTGCGTGTATATCTATAAGTATCAGTCTAGACATATTTGTTGACAAAGACAAAACAAAAAAAAAACAACCAAGAGATTATTTCAGTATTTTACCCTTTATAAGACGATTGCTATATTTAGTGCATTAATTGTAAGTATGCTTAATTCAAATTTTCCTGTTTTATATTCATCTTAATTTATAAGAAGAACATATTTTATCTATTAAATTTATTTGATTTGATTTGATTTGATTGATTGATTGATTGATTTTTATTTATTTATTTATTTATTATTTATTTATTTATTAATTATTTTTTTTAAGAGGAGGACAGATGCCAGGGTTCTTGTAGTTAGTAAACCGAGCCATTTGTCATATTTATTTTAACATTTGTTTTTGTATTATTCATGCAACTGTACATGTATCGAAAATTTGCAATGAAAAAATGTTTAAACTAAATTTATTTTGATTAACAATTAATTACCAGTACATTTTTGAAAATTTATGTCAATACTGGCGTAGTGTAATGTAATGATAATATTTGTATTCCACTTTATCTTATATTTTATAATACATTTATCTTTTCATCAAAACTTAGACATAATGTGCAAATAATAATTAAAGCTTTTCCACAGACCAAACAATGAAATAATACCGCTATTAATATTAAAGATTACTTAATTTTAGGGACGTTGTGACAGCCTAGCGGTATGAAGATTGTAGCATTTTTGGTCGGTATTTCAAGCCTCGCTCTGGGAGCCAACGCAGGTAAAGTAATTTCAATTTATGTAAAACAACTTTACTTGCAGATATCAAAGAAAGCGAAATGATAATTGATAATAAATGATTGATGATTGGTGATAATTTTGTAAACAACCCCCCAAAAAAAACAACAAAAAACAAAAAAACAACAACAACAACAAAATTTTTTTTTTACTGATCAAAAACTTATAAAAGTGAAGCACCCATTCAAGAAAAAATGACTATGCTATTCTAAAATATATATGTTTTATGTTATAGCTCTCAAGGGATGTCTCATTTCCAGAATTTCTAAACATTTGGTTATAAGCTATTAACTATGATGGCTGATATGGAACACTTTTGTGCGTCGTGTTGTCGCTAGCGACAGCACGACAAAGCGCACGGCGGCGCGTTATCGGACATTCGTCTTGTCGTCTTGTCGCTAACGATGCACGCCAAATGGCGCAATGTCTTGTGGTGTGTTGCTGCGATGTTACAATGTCGCTCAGCTCAAATCAAAGGATGGGCTATTAGCCAAGCGACATCGCGACAACGCGGCGCACGACTTCGCACAGTTTGTCGCGTTTCCCTAGCGACAAGACGAAAGGGCGATAACGATATAGATTCTGTTGTCGCTATCGACAACGCAACGCAAACAGTTTACCAAATCAGCCACCATAATTAACTGTTGCCCCGAACTTCATCTCAGTGATATTATATTTCACCAATCTCTACGGAGTGATCTCCCCTTCATTCATTGTAACTGTACTGATCAAGGGAAGTAACTGCTGCGAGGAGTTTGATATTTCGCCGATCTTTCTGGATTTCTGATTGCAACACTTTTAGTGTTGAGAATTGAATACCACTTAAGCCGGTGCTTCGAGGCGAGTTGTGGTGCATGTAAGATGTAGCAGTATAATACGGCGCTATACATGTTCTTATATTTTATTTGTATCTATTTTAATATGAAATTCATATAAAAACTAAAATTGAGGAAGGGCAATTCCATTACAAAATATCCAACTATTAAATTGGCGAACACGAGGTTACTTTTAATTACACACAAAATATTTCATGTAATATTTGAATTGGCATTTGCATTTATTTGAAATATCTTTCTACAGATTGCTGTAAAAATGACTGGCTATCATATGAGGGACATTGCTACTACATCGGTTATGAAACCCTTTTGACCTTCACTTCTGTGTGGGTATGTACTTTTTACAGAAATTACATATACATGTTTATGTATATTAAGCTGTTTGTTTGGAGTTGATACATATATTTATTATATACTTATAAATGAAATATTAAGAGATATTGAAGAAATAAAATGCGTGTTTCATGGTCGGTATTTATTTTCACTGTAAAAAATATTTTTACTGCAGTGACACTTATTTTCCGTATTTTCATTGGTCAAAATCATGTTATAAAAGCATTTACATTTACACAGAGTGACAATATAAACAAAGTACTGTAAGTACTGGAAACCAGCAAAGCATTAGTTTTGAAATATTAAAATCAGCAAGTGTCATTAATTCTAAAAGCAGCACAAAAAATGCTTCATTTTGAAAAGTACTAACGCTGATAAAATGTCGTCAGATAAAATCTCTCTTGATTTTCTTTATTTGATAATTATTTAATCATGTATTTTATTATGTATTATATTTACATGCATTTCACTTCATCACCTGTCACCTACATGTATATACAATTAGTAATATTCGCATTAAATTGTCTATTTAAAACACTTAAAGATTCTATTTCATTTCCAAGCCTTATTATGGTCATACGCCAACAATTCACATGATTTTAAAACCGCCATGACTTTTGACATTGATTCGTAAAGAAATAATAACAAATAAACTACACAAAAGAAACTACGCAGCATAGCCTGATGAAAATATTATACAATGTTCAATTTTCTTCATTAAGAAAGTTAATGAAACGCTCATTATTAAGAAATGTTTCATATACAAGTGTAACTTTAAGTGTCTGCTGTTTATATACAAATGCAAAAAGTTGTATGTATATAGTTTCATTCCAGCCTCACTTCCCTCCCTACCCAAACCACACATCCCCCGCAGAAAACAGCAGAAACAACCCAACACCAGCAACAACAAAAAGAAAAAAAGTACATACATTGCTATGGTAACATTTTATTTTTACATCAGGCGTATTGTAACAGTCGGGACGCCTACCTTGTGCGGCTAGAGACACCTGGAGAATAAATATTCGTGAAAGAATATTTGAAGAAAACTAGAGGTAAATTTCGTGTAAATTACAACTGCACTGGACCCAATTGTTCAACATGACATTTATTAAAAGTCATAATTCAAAACATAAGTTTTTACAATAAAATACTTTAATAATCACTTGATATAACCACATCTGATTGTATTTGAACGTGCGTTTAAGTCATACGGAACTCCTTCAATAACATTTCTTTTATTCTTACTATTAACTTCGAGAAACACATAAAGGACGTATGTGCTCATTTTTTAGGTATAAAAATTCAGAAGAGCAACTCAGAGATTAGAATTTATGATTCATGTATGCTTAAACTGACCAATGTTTCCATACCACCATAAAACGAGATTGAAAATCGAGTTATATATTTATTACTCTACATGAAATTCTTAAAAAGTCAGGGGACTTTTATGTTTTCAATTAAAACATAAAACCATCGCGCATTTTGTGTGAGTGCTACTCTTTGTAATTCATGTTATTGTAAGACATACATTATCTTCAAGGATTTGTAAAGGTATATTTTAATCGTAGTTTGTCCATAACCTGGTTGAACAAAAAGTGCAAGGGCATTTTCAGCAGAAGAGCGCAAGGCACGCCTGCACGGTATTAATGTAGCCTGACTAGGCTTTTCTCTTCTCTTTTGATGAATTTCATTAAAATTTGAAATAGGCTTCTCAAAATTCAAAGCAGGACAAATCTGTTGGTTAAATTTACAAAATAATTAGTCCTCTGGCAGTTTTATTTGTTTACAGGATTTGCCTGCATTCGTATATCTTTGTCCGTCATTGCATCTGACAAATCATAACAAAAGTATAAAAGCTAGGTTGATGAAACCTGCAGTTGATTTTGACGGAGAAAAATATGAAGAATATATACGTCAGTGTTGTTTTTCACAGAAAAAAACATGGTTGCTATGGTAACAGAATTGTAAAAATGAAGAAATAATTAATTAATATATTTAACATAATTAGAATCTTGCAATCAGTCGAAATGTTAACATGTGATCACTTTTTTAAATAATTATGTTATTTTCATGATTTTTTTTAGCAAGAACGCCATGGATTGGTTTGACTGACATGTATAGCGAAGGGAAGTGGCAATGGATGGATACTGGAAAACATATTCGATTCTCTGACTGGGCATACGGTCAACCCGACAATTCCAGAAACGAAGACTGCGTGCACTTAAATAGTAAATTATGAAATTCAAGTGGAATGATGTAAGCTGCAACTACAAATTCATTCCATTGTGTGAATATGACTTAAGCTAAATTTTGTCGAATCAACGGATAGAACATCGTTTTTCTTTTCAGTATCACCTTTTTTATTAGTTCAAAATTTTATGAAAAAAAGTGTTTTCCTTTTTAATGATTGATAAAACTATAATGATGGTATGACATGACATAAATCTAATCCAAACCTCTTAATCATAACTTTTCTAGGAAGTAATTTTAACATGTTATTTTTAAACATTGTAAAAAACCTTGAATTATCTTTATTTGTCCTAATTCTTACAGCAACTTCTTAAGTGTTTTAGGGCATAAACATTTCTGTGTTTTGGGCAACCCGATCCTACCAAGAGAAACCCTCATGGCCCTTAATCATATTCCTTGAAACATTTTGAAACGGATTAAAAGATATTTCTAACCTACTCGTCTTTTATGAGAATGTTTACATCTAACTTTTAGTTCTTGATATATCTGCAACACAAAAGTTAAATCACTGTAAAATTCAACCAAAACTACTGATTATAAAAATAAGTCTATAAAAAATAGTATTCTAAAATTATCTTCAGCTAATTTGCAAAAGAAGTATTAAAACTTTAGAACAGTTAGAAGACTAGAAGACTGTCTATTAGAGTATATTGTTAGCAATATCTATGTTGTTCCTGGTTTAATTTGGTGGGTAACAGTGTTATATTTTTCTGGTTTTACGTAATTTCGATAGGTTTAGTGATGGATACCACTTAAATCGGTGCTGGGTGCGTATGGGATGTTACATTTTACATTATTCCTCACTCAATAAAAACGAATTTGCGATTTGCAACTGTTTGTTTTTCTTATTGCTCTCGTTTTAGAATGGTTACAGTCACAATTGTGTCATTTTTGCAACTTCTATTTTTTGTTTCAAATAAAATGGTTAAATTAATTCATAATAAAATACTAACATGAAAATGTCGTTTACCATGCTTGTAAAATGTCTATCAAGAAGACGATGGACCAATGATCCATCTAAACGAAATGTTGATACTGTTATGCATACATACTTTGTTGCACAAAGAATATGTAGGTTTGTTACAATGGGGGAGTTTCCCACACTCTACTGATAAGCGGAAGTAGTAAATAAGAGGTATACAAACTACGGCCACTTGATGTAAACACAGAGATTAATAGAAAGTTTCAGAGTATTTTGACTGGTCAGTTGTTAAATTAAAGAAAAAAAATTATTAATTACCAGAGGGGCTTCAACAGCAGGAATAAAAGAAGATTTTACCATTTAATATTAAACAAATTGAATATATTACATGAAATCTTAAACATATAAACTGCTTTATTTTCAACTGAACAAAATGTAGACAATGTAGACTGAATAACAGTATGAAAATGATCTTGGAGAAATAATCACTTGGAGTAAAACACTTTCCTGTTAAAACTTTTAAAATATAATGCCTTTATATACATTTTATTTACGTAGAACTAATTAAAGTGAATTATACAATATGTTTGATATAATCTTTTTTGGTACATTTGTAAATTTATGATGCTTCAAATAAATATAATCATATAGAGTTTATTGCTTCAAATTTGTTCTTTAGTAAATAAAATGCATTCTGCTCACCGGGCCATTAGCTCAGTTTTACATACTTTATTACATGTATAAAGGCAAGATGTACTTGTATGTACATTAAAACGTGACATAATCATGATAATGTGTGTCTGAAATAATAAAATCTTCACATTATATATCTGTCTTTATTGTTAATGAGTATCAACTACATATTGTACGATTCATGATATTCCATTCTAGTATGTCAAATCAATTAAATATGCTAGTTTGTCAACAATTTAGAATCACGAAACAGACGTATAAAATATGTGACCCCTGTTTAATTATAGCTGCAGGAAGTTCTGATTTTAGAATTTTCAATTGCTTTGCAAATCCTATTAGTATTACCTGTTCCACATGTATCAGTTTTGATGCTATGCACCTGTCTCTGACTACAGGCAACAAGAAGTTACTATTACTATATAAAATATATTTTATATAGTAAACGGGTGCTGGATAGTAATTTTGTTCTTCATGATCAAGGGGTGATTATTACTATTATTAATAATAATAATAATAATAATTATTATGACAATTTGATCATTATTGGCATGGCAAAATGACCATAACTTCATTTTAGTACCATGCACACCCTTCTTTACTGCTACTCTCCATTTATTCTTTAATTTTTTGTCTTGTGGAAAATGAAACCCTCAAAACCCATTACAAAGTGGAACACAACAGTAATTCACCATTTCTAAGACTGCATTGTTAATCAGTTTACTTTGAAATATAAACTTTAGCTTATTAATTAGATCAGTTGATTACATACTCTGCTTTCTCCCATTGAAATTCAATGTAAACCAGCTATACACAGAGATAGCAAGCATACAGTAGTATACCTCTTATTTGTCAGGGGCGCTGCAGAGATAACTCTGCTGGATTAACTAGAAACTCTCCCATTCACACACACACACACACACACGCGCGTGCGCGCGCGCAGGCAGGCACGCACGAACGCACGCACACGTATTTCAAAATAATCTATGTCTGTAGCTTTGAGCGGCTGCTCAATGACATGAATGTTTCGCTTGACTTTTGTACAACCAACACGTAGCGCTGTTCGAGACTGCGTAATCATGCTGTTACTAACTCATATTTATTCCTCCCTTGGAAAAACAACAACAACAACAAACAGTAGATCAAAATAATATTAGTCTGGGCGGTGTTTGACGGCTTTTTTTAGGCCGGGTTGGAGTTTTGATGCGTAGTAATTGACCACCAAGATCGTTCGCATCAAAACGTCTTCGAAACTTGCTCGTTAATTCACCATGCAGTAAATGTAACCTTGACTTCAGCATCTGTTAAATCCACCAATTCCTTGTCTACCTGGAATTAAAATAAAGGACGAGCTTCATCCGAAAGAAACATAATTTATTTCCTAATGTTCATTAAGCCAATTAGGAACGGCATTGTACTAAATCCGAGACTTCAAGGCACTACATAATTGATGTGATGCGTTGATTTAACATTTAATTAAACCCAAGTATTTATTATATTAACATGCAGGACTAAAATTGTTGGAAGCATCATTCCTTTTTTTTTAAATGACGGCCGAATATAACCGTGTATCCGTTTTGCAACAACTATGTCATTGTTTTTTGACTTCTAGTGTTTAAGCCTTGCAATGTCTTACAGACTGCCGAACATCGCCATGGCATCTTTCTTCAACAACGATGCCATTGTACGTTAGACTCTGTCATTGTCAGGTGATATCTTCTATATTTCGGTGAAAAACTAGAGAGTATTTTATAAGTATATTTGAGACTAAATAAAAGTCAATTTTGTTTATGAAAATAATTTACCAGACGGAGGTTTCACATTTAGAATATGCGTGTAAAATCCAAGAAAATGACCGATAGATGAAGAACAACAGAGACAAAGCTTACTTTGTAAAAATGATGATAAGCTGTACATGTACATCTTTTTTATCGTTTTGATCAGATTTCAGTTTCTTTTAAGAAAAACAAAGCAGAGAATGATTTGAATGTTTTAGTTGACTTAACCAACTTTATTAACAACAATTAATTGTATGTAAGATTGTTGCCGTGTACATTGATTTTATCATGCGTCTGATAATTCTACAAAGACTGGTGGATCGTTTCCTTTCTTTTACTGTTCTATTACTTTTCCAAATAAAGAATGTATACTAGAAAGATACCTGAAATGTTCCTTTACCAGTGGAGCTGGAATGTCGCCGTATGACTGTAACCCTTACAAATTGATAATACGATTGTTTGTTTGACCCAGAAGAAAATTTTAAACGAACATAGTTATTATGACAATCCTTCATTGCCAGACTATTGTCTTAACATGTACTTAAATAACGATGTCTAAAAAGGAACGCTTCGTGAATGCAATCAGAACCATCTGTTAAAACTTAACAATTTTTATTTGTCCTCTGGCCAATTCGAATCAAAGATCCTCCGCATAACAAAACAACTTACAAAATTATCTAACATAGAAATCTTAAAACATCCTTTTTGATGTTGCATTAATTAAATTAAAATAAACAGTATATTACGTGCCGAAAAGAGATACTATTACGTGAACATTCGTAATATTTTTTTCAAACGTGCAAAATCCTTTGTCTCGTCAGAAATGGTTTTTACAGCAGTTATTCCCCATGACCAGTACAGAAGCGTCGCGTGACATACTCGCTGTTTGTGAGTGGTGAGAACGGGGAGGGGGGGGGGGGCACTATAGACATTTTTAAATGTAAAATATATTTTTCAAACTCGTATACGTGCAAAACATAACAATAACAAGACCATGTATCTACTTACGATGTAATTGAATTTTCAAATAAAAGGAACATACTACTCTGGCCGTGTCACTTACTTGAAGAGATTGGCAAGATCGGGAAGGAATAAAGAGACAGTGTTTGATAATATAATAAACAGTGCTTTGTTCGTAAGTATGATACTTGAAATAACATGAAATCATTCAATAATATATCCTTTTTATATTTACCTAACTGAAATAAAATTCGTTTATATTTTCATTTTAATTACTTTTTTTTCAACTGACAACAAGTTGTTTAGTTATTTTGATTGTACTGCTTGAAATACACTACTGTACCGAGGTATTTGATTTGCATTTTTATTATACACGTATAATAATGCTTTGACAAAAGTGAACTATTTAATTTATGTTTTGTTTTAAAATTTCCAAATGTACACAGTAATTGAATTCTTTACGAAAGCAACTTTTATACAATATTGTTATATATTACCTGTCCAAATAACTACGTATATATTGATAACATCTAGACATGCTGTTGGGTTTTGGCAATATGAAGACTGCTGTAGCATTCCTGTTTGCTGTAACAAGCCTAGTGTCGGGAATTAATGCAAGACATGCAAGAGGTAAAAAGATTTATAAAAGCTAAAACTACAACTAGCTCACAGCATTTATAGAAGTGAAAGTTCCAGAATGACTTTCGCTTCAAATTTATGACATTTTTCCTCGTTGGAATGTGTTGAACTATTAAATTTTAGATATTTAGATAATGAGTGCTAAATTATTTACATGCTAATTATTTATTACGTAAAGTATAAAGTACAATGCATACGATTGATATAAATGCACGATTTTGTTTGTTGACGTATTTGATAAGTTTTCTTGTTGGTATGTACTCAATTAAGTGTATTTAATGTCAATAAATATTGAGGTCGATGCCGTTGATTTTATTATTAGTCCTCCAAATTCTATTCTGGCAAAGAAAGAACATTATGGCTTATTTTTGTTATAAATATCATTTAAATAATTGACAACACAGCGGTATAGGTAGTAACACATGAACCTAAATATGTCAAATGTCATACATCTATAACAGCTAAAAAATTGTTTAAGCTTGCTGCAAAGATGGCTGGATACCTTATCAAGGTCATTGTTACCATATTGGTTATGGGACGGATCTTACATTTTCTGAGGCACGGGTGAGGCAGACAATGAATATATTTTTCTAGTACAGATACGACATAATAGTAATTAACTGAACGTACACATACATTATTTTATATATATTGGTACTCAGATAATTATTTTTATCAAGTGTTTTTCGAGGTAATGTATAATTCATTAGTATTTAGATAATTTAATTTATTTCTGTATGATCAAATGATGTTTCCTGGTATTTCAGTCTCATAGAAATCTAATTGTCAAAGTTGTTACCAAAAATGGCCAGATTCATTGTATTTTTGAGTTAGAAAAATATGAATCCGTCGAACTGATGATTATTTATTGAGATACTCTGAAACTGCTATACGTCTGATAATCTGTCATTATATGTACAGCTTTTTTATTGTTTCATAAAGGCGTACTGTCAACATCGTGGTTCTTACCTTGTACGACTTGACACTTTTGCTGAATACACTTTCTTGGCTGGAATTTTAAAGAAAACTAACGGTAAGTGATTAAGAATATTTTAACAGTTCTGTTTCTGTTGTATTTTTGTTGAAGATAAAATGGTATATACACATAAGTTTTTTGAGGACGATCGCTATAGGTAAAATGTTTGTTTTGTGATCATACACGTGTACATACATTGAATAAATAAAATTGCGATAAAACGGATGGCGACTGCCCAAAATCATCAATATATAAACCAACACAATTAGAATCAGATTAATATTTCATGAAAAATTATAATTGTCCAGTTTATGAATATTTTATTGTATCTTTGGTCAGTTATTGCTTTAAATGTATTAAGGTTAGAATGAGTATGACATCACAAATGGCTAAAGGTTTATTGATTTGGTAAGGAAACAATTATTTCATTAACTTGTCTTAAAGCTGCAGTATTCTTGAAACAGCTTTATTTATTTCTAAATCGTTGGTCGTTGATATTGTCGGTCTCATTCTGTATAAACTATTATTTCTTGTTTCTTTATATACAGCTGGATTTACGTGGATGGGATTGACCGACATCTCTCATGAAGGGATCTGGAGATGGTTTGACACAAAAGAGCATGCTACATTCTCTGACTGGGCAGCTGGGGAGCCCAACAACGACAATGGTGCTGAAGATTGTGTACACTTCGATTATAGACAGAACTACAAGTGGAACGATGTGCCATGCAGTTTTAAAAGTAGACCATTGTGCGAAATTGAATTAAGATAAATTTCAAACATTAATGAACAAAATTTTTTATTTGTTTAGTTAATATTTCAAGTGCTTATTAACAAGAACAAACAAGTTTCTATTTCACAACAGCCGGTATTGATTGCCTTGTGGTAGCTGTATAAAGTTGCACAGTTTGCTTCACTCAAGCGTTGTTATATTTGTTATAGCCTTTCTGGATCATTGACTCAAGTACATTAAGTATTAAAGTGATTCTGCATATTCAAATACGTTTGTTATTTCCATTGCTTACAAGCGTTCTTGGTATTTTCTTATTGTATTCAAGAAATTTAAAGCTTTTAAAAAGAAGCATGCCTTCGGACTCAAAGAATATATAAGAAAATCTACAGTTCTACTATATTTCAAAATCGAAATTTTTCTTTAAAACGTTCACGTAGTTAAACTTTTACAGGTCTTTTTAAGAACTTCATGGAAGTATACTGACGTATTTGATTGGGATTATTGCTGCAGAACATTGAGCCTACTTAAAATCCCGTTCTCCAATTAGACGAACATAAAACGTACTCGTAAAAGAAATTAACGTATTACAAACGCACTTACCGTAATTTGATGGTACTAGTCCCGCGAGATAACGTGATAATGTTGGACGGCAATAAGCAGTTAGAGTTTATACCAATTTATCCGTTTGAAGCTTGTTCATGCCTTGCACAGACTGTCTTTGGTTTTTGTTGTCTTGATTTTGAAAATTCTTAAATGTTCGAAATTTTCAGGTTATTAAGCAAGAAGGGAACAATTATTTCATCAAACATATTCATTTCTTAATCAGATAAATGAGGTGAAGTTGTCGCAGTTTAACAAAGAAGGCATATGGTCAAACTGAGTATTGACAGAAAACGCGCAAAAATGTGACTTTCAATATCTCAAATAACTGAGTTAAAGCAAAACCCGTTTGTTATGTAGTGTTTTGATAAAATTAAATAATGCACCTTATTAACAGATTATTAGGTGAATTTATACATTATGTAATATATCTATACACAGTACTATTGATAATTATAATCAAAAGCGAGCTAGAAGTTTTGCCTCGTATGTAATATACATGTATGTATATAATATATGTATAAGGATGATGCATACTGGCAACAGATGTGGGCATGCTGAACAATATCAATATTACGGTGATCTATGATTTTAGATGATTGAATTTTGAAAACTTATAGGTCACTGAACAATGATATTTTGTTCTTTTAATGGGTTATCGTCTTTTATTAACAATTATGTTTTAAATTGATGTATTTATATATTATAGAGGATTTTGATGACAAAACAAATCTTGCAATGAATAATTCCAACGGACGATGAATTAAATAGAGTAGATATTAATATAGACGTAAACTCCAGTAAAAACTTCTAACTGAATTGTTTAATTCAAAAGTACAACTTTTCGACTTAAAAGCCTCCAACGCTATCTTCTCTTCTATATAAGTCAATGAATAGCGAGCGACAGACACAGCTCAAATTGAAGCATACATTTCCTGTGCATTTACCTTGGAAAAAGAGTGAGTTGTTGTAAAATAATATAATGAACGGAAATATTAAAGGACCTCCATTTAGTGAGATCATGAGGTGTAAGACAACTTATTTTTGTTCGATTTGATTAGATGTTTTTTAACACAAGTCAATTAATTTGATTCACCGGGACAATACCATCTTTAGTCATTCTGAGTGAATGTTCTTAAGGTTTTTGTCTAGGAGACTTACACATCATGATCTCACTAATTGGAGGCCTTTAACTTTTTCTTAATACTACACAATTTAAGTTGAATATAATGACGAAGGCCGGTAAGCCTGAGTGATTTAAAACGACTTCGTGAAAAGTGTAATTGGTATAAAGCAAGCATGCTAGTTAATTTTGTACAACACAAATGTTGACTTCAAACCAAGTGCCTTTCACCGCTATGGGTTCGAATCCCGTGAGGGACTTTGAATTCTTTCAAGTGAGGAAGCTTTACAGCTAGCTTACGGGACATCGGTGGTTCTACTCAGGTACCAGTTCGTGCTTAAAATAATGCACAGAAGGGTACGTGAGGTCTTACTCCACGTATATGGAACGTCACCATATGACCTTAACTGTGTCTGTGTGACGTAAAATCCAATAAAACAAATAAAACAAACATATATTGAAAGTTCCGTATGAGATAACGTGTATATTTAAATAAATATCGAAAGATTAACATGTGTACCTGTTCACAATCCACCTTTTAAATATTAAGTGAACTATCATTTATTTTTGTTCTTGTTCTGTCACAAATTTGTCCTGTCTCTAAAAGTTTTCTGAAAGACTGTTGTTGGCCAATCTATGAATTCATCCCTGCTTTAATGATATACTATGACTGTGATTCGTTATTTCCTGCTTGTTTATAAGAAATAACTGTTTCCCCAACTATAAGTATCATAATAATCAACAATCAATGTTTGTTTGTGTTTAAGTATTCACTTTTGCCAAATTACATGTTTAGATAATAAAAAGGTTAAGGAAGAAAAAATAAGTGTCGTTTAACCAGGATTTTATCTTTCCATCGACGATGTACCGCTGCTGATTTTAAGTACAAACCATTGCTATTTAGATCATGGCAATTATATCACTTATGTGCACTTGACAAAGATGCAATAATTGTAAGAATACAACTCGAGCAGAAGGTATATAATTGTATAGATCATGTACTTTAATATGGAAATTACAATCTAACAGACACATGCGAAGGCTTTTTTATGTTAAGTAAACTATAAAATATCACCTTTCATCAGTACTTAATTTTTATATGTTTAGTGCTTATATTATTATGTTAAATGTCACCAGTAAAAATCATACATGATTGTTTTAAATTTGTTTTCATTGGTAAGAATCCGGGGTTACCGTGATGTCGGTACAATTTTTTCATGTTTATTCGCATAATCGTCATTAAATCACAAGTGAGTTGCATGTTTTCGTTGAATATCTGTTATATAATACATTTGATCAGACTATAATATGCAGGTTGTTATGAATTTATGTATACAGCTCACAACATAGCAGAACGTCTAAACGAATAAAGAGTCCGCCTTAATTTATTTTTGAAAAGAAGTTCGATTGTTACAATGTTTCGAAATATGTCAGTTTCATTAACAAAACTTCATTTAAACTTGCATAAACATAATAAGGAAAATTAAGTTTTCGTGTTAAACATATCACTAGCGAATTTCAAAACTTATTTTAAACCCTCATTGTTTATTATCGAGCTTCCTCCTTGATACGTACTTACGTGATTGACATAGAAACAACTTAAACCATTCACAGATAAGAGAAGGGAAAAAAAACGACATATGAAAGAAAAAACTGGTTAAAGTAAGGGATAAAAGGAATGTTTCATTGATAGTGTATCTGTTCAGGGCAATTTTGTAAGTATAATGATTAAATTAAATCATCTTTATTTATAATTTTATGTAAAATATTAAAATATAAACAATAATTAAAAATAACATTAATAAGTAAATACTGTGAGGACGTAAAGTACCTAAATTCTTAGCGGATTTCTACTTTCCCTTATCACAAGTTTAGATACATATTGTTTTTTTTTACATAATCGTTTTTATTTTCTTCATCTTTGATCTATATTTTTATGAATTATACATAAAATGCTTTGATTTTCTAGTTTTGAGATATAAAAGACCTATAAAGAGACTTTAAGGAAATGAAGATCGCTTTTAAATTAGCACTGTCATTAGCCGTAATGGGCCTAGTACCGGAAATCGACGCAGGTAATGATAATAATAATAATGATTATTATTGCAAAATTTGTGGGTTATTGGGTCAATGCGCGTCAGAAATAAAAACGGATCTTGATTAAGTGTATGGAGAAAATATCCTTTTATATCATACAATTGCCAGGTAAGCGTCAATGTTTAAGGAAGATAAAACTAATGGTGTGTGAGACGTCAGCACTGTCAAAGGGGAGATAAGTGATATTTTTCGGGCCACAGCGCGTCATATGTGCTTTCCATCTTAAAACATAATCAAAATGAGACAGAAATTATTTTGATTTCTATCTTATTTTGATTTTCTCTCTTGATTTACTTGTGGTATTTAGAAAAGTAAAAGTTAAGGAAAGTTTGCGCCCGTTGAATCCCGCATTTGCTAACCTCTGACCAGAAAATTGAGCGGATTGTAAAAGCCTCGATCTTATTGTCTTGGTTCAAAGATCGAGACCTAAGACGTCTGAGAGAAATTGATTGTGACAGGGCCTGACAATAAACGTTAACCCAGTAACAAAATGTGGCTACATGAAAATAGCGATCGCGCAGTTGTTGCTCGATGTAGCAGGAGCGTTAAAGAGTTATGTACGCTTAACTTTTTGACAGTGATGGAATAGTGATATTTTAATGAAAAAAATACCTTGCAACGATATACTTGTTTTGAATTATAATTAGTTGCTTGCAAATGAAGTATTACCTGTGATTTTGATTTCAAAACAATATGTCAATGAGAATTGAATTTCGGAGACCGTTAACTTTTTATGCGTGTAATAGCATTCAAAATCTAAAATACATTGTTGAAAACTCCAGGTTGTTGTCAAAACGGCTGGATACAATATGAAGATCATTGCTACTTTATCGATTATGAGACCCGTCTAACATTTGCTGGAGCATGGGTATGTACGTACACTATTAATGAAATCATATGCATGAATATACAAATGTCTACAATTTGTCTTTATGAATTTATCATTTTTATATGGTAGTTTTGTCTTAAAAAAACTTTGGTTAATGATACATTACAATAGATGTTTATTAGTCGGTTGATATAAAAACGCATACTGTAACATAATCGTTTTTATGAAAAGTGCAAGCTTGGCAGACGAATATGTCACATTGGACAAATGCCATACTCGAATATTTCACATTTATAGTGTTTTTTTAAATTTGTTCACACATTATGCCTTTTGATTTTTGTTTTTCATACAGCCGTGTTGATTTATTATATCCTTAAAATGATCTCTTAAAAACATGATGAGCATTTTTACATTTTTGATTAGTTACTCTGCTCCAGTTATGGTGCTTACCCTGTGCGACTTGACACATTTGCTGAATACGAGTTCTTGAGAGGCTTTTTAAAGAAGACTCAAGGTAACTTTCTCTCAACATCAAAGTTCTTTTGAACTTATAAGAATTTGTAAATCAGTTAGTAATGTTATCCTACGATGTGAATACCAGTAAGATGCAAACTATTATTCGTAAGAAATGCATGATTGCATTGTTTTAAAGTCAAGCATATGCTTCTTATTTCAGTTTGTGTTAAGATTTTCAGACACATTCCCTTAGTGTTTCGTTACCGATTTGACTATAATGAAACAATTTTACTTCTAGCAATTACTCCATGGATTGGATTGACTGACAAGGCCTATGAAGGAATATGGAGATGGTATGGCACAGAGACCCACGCTACATTCTCTGACTGGGGCCCTGGAGAACCCAATAATAATGGCAATGAAGATTGTGTACAATTATATTCAGGCTATGACTACAGGTCGAACGATACGCCATGTCATGGACAACTTACACCACTGTGTGAAAAAGACTCAATATAAAAAAAATCAAGAAGATATTGCTATGCTTACTTATCATTATCACATTTTATAAACCTTGATGTTAGCATTTTTTAAAGAAAAATAAAATAAGTGAGTCTCTATACATGTTATGTGTTTTCGAGGAACAATTTTACGAGGTAAACACTTTTGAATTTTATAAACTTTCAATTTAAGATACATGAAAATAACTGTTACAATGCCTAGTACGCTTATAACGCATGTAGTATACATGAGTATTACACTAGAAGGTTAAAAGGAGTCCACTGATATTTTTATTGACAGGACGGGACTGGAAATATTTTTCTAAATGTGTGTACCAATTGATTTAGGTCAAGAACCAATAACTTGTAAAATTTCAGGTCATTCAATTTTACCGTTTTTGTTCCAGAATTATCATTATTATTTTACAAAATGACCTTAAATTTCAATGCGTTCCAAAGCTTTTCAGTCAAAACCGACTAGCAATTGACAAGAATCGATTTTTAATTATTTAATTCTGATTATATTTATATATATATATTATGCAATTTTTTTCAATTGTAAGTGTAAAATTATAAAATCATAGACTTTGGACTTCAGCGGAGATCCTTTCTTGCATGTTTTGTAAAAAACATCTGAAGATGCACAAAAAGGCATTTAAAGCAAGCCTAGCCAAGCAGGGCGAGGGATTAAAAAGTTCAGGGGCTTATCTTTATCTTTAAACTTAGAAAACCAAATGGTTACTTTTCCGTACATATTTTTTGTAACAAATAGTATTTAATGAACCTTTGAACTAGTTAACATTATGTTTTAGTAACAAACCATACTATTCTCTCGCCTGGTGGATTTTGTTATTTTTATCCGAAAAGTATGTTTAAAACGATACTACAATAAAATGAAGATACCTGTATAAACAGGAAGAAACTAAATGTAATGAGAAACGTTTTATTTTTAAAATATCCACTTTTTGATGAAACCGGGCATCAACCTGTATTGTATTCTTTAATACGATGATAAAAGATGGATAAGATTCAAATGCGGCCGGATGGTTATATTCGAAAGTTCGAAATTATTTGCTTTTAAGAACTAAAGGACTGGTGCCAGTTTCATTTACTTAATGTGTGAAAAAATATCCATTCTGTTCGTGCGAGACAACGACTTTCTGGAAATAGCACACTTACATTGTAGCAACATTTGATCTTCCTCCATCAGTTAAAGCGTGAAAGCAAGACGCCATTTAAAGTTTGGAATGTTGTAGTGACATGAACTTTCAACAAGTATATACTTATCCATACATATTGTGACTTAAATGATACATGCTTGTAAATTTGCTAAATAAAATATGTTTAAACTAACTACATGTATATATTATTTCTGAACATTAGTGACAACATGCCTAATCGCTTAAATACATGTAACCATTGTTGTTCTAAAATATATCTCGAGAATATCGCATGCATATGCTATTGTGATGCTTGGTATCGCATAAGTTGACTGTGTAAGGTTGAATTCGGTCGATATCAATTTTTCAAATATACATGTATATAATATAATATTCTTCAGGTTAAATTATTGAATTTTTATACATGTATTTACACAAATATATGTTCTTCTGTACATCAACGCACTTGTAGATATTACAAAATGGTGAAACAGTTACAGCTGAGCATTAAATTTTATATTCCTTTTATTGCTTTTGATAGCATGACCAAGGGACTGACCCTTCCTGTCAATAAGAAAAAAACACGAAAAATCGACCTGCTGTTAAATAGCGTTGCCCAGAAATTTAGTTAATTTACGGAACAAAAGTCAAATCTATTTCTGAAAGTAAAATAAAACAACAAAACATGAAGACTGCAGGCATTGATTGATGTTGTATTGGGAGAATGTAAATGGTTTTTTCAACGGAACCATTTGCATTCTGCTTTAAAAATATATCTTTCATCTGCGTCTGAACTAATTGCTACGTAATACTAAAGCTACAAAATCGTTGGTTACTATCTTTTGTTTATGTTCAACCTTATACTTCTTTATACATGTGCATTTGCTGACGATATATTTGTCTTGATCAGCCGAGATAACATTAACAAGTTAAAAAATCATAATCCGGGTGAACAAGTAAACAGACATGATTTTTTTTTCTTAGTGGTCGGTCACTCTGCCGAAAAGTATTTGTCAGGTACGCAAGGACTTATAAGAGAGCATATTTCAAAAGGTCACACCAGTCAGCGTGCTATTCGCGAGACTTTGTAAATTATATTTAGTTAAGATTAATATCCAAATACCCGTTTACATCTTTTGCATTTTATGAAACATATTTTTTTTTAATATTTCAGATACGGATTTTATTAGTTTGTTGAAAACAAATTCAAGTAAGATGATTTTTTTTTCTGCTCATTTTGCTTTTATTTTGTCATAAATACTTTTAAAAAGGAGGTTTTCATTTTTAACACGTTGAGAAGTAAAATATGATTATTAATTAATTAATATGAAATAACCTTTAACGAGCTAAATGTTTATCAAAGAAATTATTTTATAATGAGCTTTAGATACGACGTGAAACTTTAGCGAAATGAAGACTGTAATAGTTTTGCTGTTTGTCGTTGCATGCTTGGCGCAAGGAATTAATGGAAAAGGTAAAAAAATACTTTTATAACTAACGGCATTACTAGTTCATAACAAATCAGCGGAATGACAAGTGTAAAACGTAATTAAATAAGTTATGATTCTCTCTACAATAGGACGGTTTGTTTTGCAAAAATATTACTATTTTTTCATGAATTGCATCTCGTATATACGGTATGTTTTTGTTCATATTTGGTATAATTATCTTTGACAGATAGTCGTTTTTATACATGTTTATCATTGGCAGTGATAAGGATGTTGGTAATTTTATAAATGGTTAGTTAAATTCATAAAGGTCTACAATGCGGAGTGATTGCAAAATACTTTCACTTTAGTAGTTTAAATTAAAAATGGTAATAAGCGAATCAATAAGTATTTCAAAGCAGAGAAAACAAAATAATCAAATTTGTTTAAAAATTTTAATACTAATAAATGAATGTTAAACAGTAAGGTTGTTTACAAAATTAGGAAGTAACTCTTTGCATATTATACGTCTTTTAAAACTGAATGTTGTAGCTTGCTGTAGCGATGGTTGGATAGCCTATAAAGACCATTGTTACCATATTGGTTATGGAAATCGTTTTACGTTTTCTGCTGCACGGGTATGTATAACAAGGAGATGTTTCTATATTGCAATAGATAAAATAAATATTTAGCTGTATTTTATTCACAAATATTTACCACCTCCGTGGTCGAGGGGTAAGAGTCGATGACTTCTAATCCAGTTACCTCTCTGGCGTGGGTTCGATCCCCGGGAGATGCTTTGGTAGTTAAGCGCGGAGGAAGGTAGTCTAGTACTGGTGTAACTCTCCAGGAACGATGGTTAGCCTATATGACTGAAATACTGTTGGGAAAAGGCGTAAAATGAAACAAACAAACAAACATTCACAAATATATAAAATAAGCATATACAAACTTATGAATACCAGAAATATTTTTACTTTGGTTTCTGAAAATATAACATCTCTATTTATTGAATTTTATGCCATGATATTTTTTATCTTATTTCCTGTTAGTTTGAATCATGAGAAACAACGGTTATAGCGTTGAAAGCTATATGACTTACAATTCTAACGTTTTTTGTAGAATTATAGAATAAGACCTATATTAACAAAAAAAAGTAACAACTTCTTATTGAACATGTTTATTCTTCGTAATTTCAGGTGTATTGTCAAAGTCTGGGTGCTTACCTTGTCCGGCTTGACACGCTAGATGAAAATACTTTCCTCAAAGGATTTCTTAAGAAAACTAATGGTAAACATTTTACTTTTTTGTAATTTTATTTAATTGCAACGGTTGACAACTCAAATAATGTTGAAAGATTGCAACTTGACAACACCTGGGTAACAAGGCTTTACGATTGTCATCACATGGTTTAAAGCGAAGCAATACTTCACTTTTGTATTTAGAATAATATCATACGCTATAGCATGAAGCTAACGTTTCTTTAACGTAGAGCATTTATCATACATAAAGTATTTGATTATAAACTTGATAGAAGATATTTCTTTATCAAATTTACAGCTGGAAATACGTGGATGGGATTGACTGACAAGATTCATGAGGGAATCTGGAGATGGTCTGACACAAACAGGCATGCAACGTTTTCGGACTGGGGACCAGGAGAACCCAATAATTTTGGTAATCGCAACGAAGACTGTGTGCTTTTCTATGTTGGTAAAGACTATAAGTGGAATGACGGTCTTTGTCATGACGAACTTACGCCTTTGTGCGAAAAAGACTAAAATACATTTCTCAGCGTTCATAAAAATGTGCTATGTTGAATGTGACGAAATATATTACCATGTTTGTTATGTTTATTGCAAAATAGTGTATTAAAATAGAGAAAATAGGAAAAACGGAATCGCTAAAGAAATCCCTAAGCCTCATCAATCAATTTCCATATATATACAAAAAATGAAAAATAAGTGCCGGAAAAAGTCGCATATAGAAAAAACAAAAAACACAGTCCATGAGTTAACTAATTTAATAATAATAATAATAATAATAATAATAATAATAATAATAATAATAATAACAATAATAATAATTTGATAAGTTAACTATATTTATTATATAAATCACAACGCAAACATAAAAATATAAAAAACATGATTGAACAGTCTATATAGAATTACAAGCTAAAAAGAGACTTTAAAGGTGATGGGACATTTCTACAGTCAATATCACGTATGTTCTACAAATTTATGAAACTATTAAGTCTTACTTTAGCACATCCATTTTCATATGCCCGAAAGAATTTCGGACTTATTATGTTATACCCCCTGACGTCCGTCCGTCCGTCTGTCCGTCCGTCTGTTAGCAATTTGGTTTCCGGAGCATAACTTAAGTTCCATTTGGCCCACAATATTCAAACTTCATAGGATGATTGTCCATATTGGGTAGAAGACCCCTATTGATTTTGGGGTCACAAGGTCAAAGGTCAAGGTCACTATGACCTTAAAACTGAAAACAGTTTCCGAAGCATAACTTAAGTTCCATTTGGCCCAGAGTGTTCAAAGTTGATAGGATGATTGTCAATATTAGGTAGAAGACCCTTATTGATTTTGGGGTCACGAGGTCAAAGGTCAAGGTCACTATGACCTTAAAACTGAAAACAGTTTTTCGGAGCATAACTTAAGTTCCATTTGGCCCACAGTGTTCAAACTTCATAGGATGATTGTCCATATTGGGTAGAAGACCCCTATTGATTTTGGGGTCACAAGGTCAAAGGTCAAGGCCACTATTACCTTAAAACTAAAAACAGTTTCTGGAGCATAACTTAAGTTCTATTTGGCCCACAGTGTTCAAACTTTATAGGATGATTCCATGTTGGGTTGAAGACCCCTATTGATTTTGGGGTCACAAGGTCAAAGGTCAAGGTCACTTAACTTAGAAATTGAGAACAGTTTCTTAAGGATAACTTAAGTTCCATGTGGCCCACAATATTCAAACTTCATAGGATGATTGTCCATATTAGGTAGAAGACTCCTATTGATTTTTGGGTCACAAGGTCAAAGGTCAAGGTCACTATTACTTTAGAACTGCAAACAGTTTCCGGGGCATAACTTAAGTTCCATTTGGACCACAATATTGAAACTTCAAAGGAGGATTGTTTTGTGAAGAAGGTAATACTTTATTTAATTCCCATGTCTTACACATGCTTCATCTTTATTAAAAAAATCACTTTCGGGCATATAATCCTCCGCCTAGCGGTGCCCTTGTTACATTTATTTTTAAATCATTTCACGTTTTTAAATAATTCTACCAGGTTCGTTTACAGCTTTTAAATTTTGACCCTAAATTACCAATTTTTTACATCTATAAATTGTACTGCTTTCATTAGAAATAAAAAATCTATCTTGTAAGTAATTCAATTGACATTCATTGACTATCGGCTATACCATTGGTGAGCAACGGACTTCCATTATTTTAGTTGACGTGGGTGCTATGCCATTTCTTATAAAGAGCATTGTCGGGGGGTATTTTTCCACGTTCTAAGGTAATAACGCATTGCTCGAGATTGTAAATCATATACATTGAAATTATTTAGTTCAACCACGGATTTATATTAATATAAATCCGTGGTTCAACAAACTCTATACATGCCATACCTTGCCATGCCATACCATCAAAAAGTACATTGAAAACTCGATATGGAACCCCATCATCAGCTTTTCATTTTGCAATTAACAGCACAAGAGTTTGGCAACGCAAATTTGCGTGTAACTTTAAAACTAATTATAGTACCAGGTAGGTAAATTTTTCAACTATAATAACAGACTATGATCCCTTCCCACAATTAAAAATATGTAGGATGTTTCATTAGCATTAGCCTAAATTGTACTATCATAATATTGCTTCAATTGGATTTACCAACATAAAAATAAAGTAAAAACAGAATTCTAAAAAACGCCCTAAACGCAAAATCAAAAATGTTTCAGGCTTATTTTGATTTAGCCTCTTTATGGAAGTGTACAGCAGTATTATATTACAAAACATAATACAATTTACAAGGAAAAACTCAGAGGAGAACAATCCCAATATATCAAGAAAACCAATGTCTTAGAAAATATGTTTGATACAAATACTTTTCAGATATTAACATGAATAGTTGTCAGGTTCTGAATTGGCCATGTGTACTTAAATTCTTTCTAAACAAACTGTTTGCACGATGCGTTAATATATAACAAAAGTGCCGTAACAAAAGTTTGACTGGGTAAAATAAAATAGCTTACCGCGATAACATAATTTTGTTTTCCAAACAGAAAAGTTACAAGTTCACTTGCCTGTTTGATAACGATAACCTGTGGTAAAAGGTAATGTCTTGTAATGCCAATAATGTCACGCAGTGCAGGATTTCCAAAACGTATTTGTACAATCATGTCATACATCTTTTTTAGAGCCGATTAAGTATTTTCAAAATAGTATTTAGCATAAACTCTATTAAGAAGACATTTTCTGTTAATATTCATAACCTAACAATACATTGAAAATGACTGAATGATAAGGGTTAATGAAGACGACATGACATCAGCAGGAATCCTCCATTTTCTGACTGGTCATCAGTAGAACGTTATTGCTACAAAGATTCTGCACTGTATCAAAGCCAATCAGACATACTAGCTGTCATAAAAAGAATACACTATTGCGCGACATTAACTATATAGGGTGATCATTATTACGATTTGTTTTCAAAACGTTTTTAGTGAGGATTTTGATACAGGTAAAATAGCTGTTATTACAACTCTGTTATATTTTACAGTTGTATAATAAAGTAGTACAAAATATTCACGCTCCTTTAATATTATACACGAAGCAATAATATAAGATAAATAATGAAAGACGGATGAAAGCTATCATAATTTATCAACGGGCAATAAACTATCAATAAAATGACTGGTGATGTTACGAGTATTAAATTAGCGCTTATTTGAATTTGTATCTAAAGAAATACATGTACCACTAATCAATTGAAAAATTACAATATAAGACAACCATGGCTTTTCATAGTATTTCATAAAAACATTTAACGCCATGTTGTGAAGCAAACTTTCTTCGTAATAAAGCGTTTCAAAACATAAAAATTATCTGCCAATACATTAAAAACATTGTATTCATTTTTTCAAATATTTTCAAAATATACTACTTTACTTTTGCTCTGCACCATAAGTTAATTTTTATATTATCATAAGTATAAAACTGATTTCTTTCCAATTTTTGAAAATTATCATAGAGCAATAATTTGAGGTAGTTCCCTGACATGAAATCGTGTTGACTAATCCGTTACAACTCGTCTTGTTAGCATGGAAAGCATGCACCAAAATATTTTCATGTGTTTGATTGGGGTGTACAATCACATGTCTTCTGTTATACGGCGACTTTACCAGCTGCTGACATTACTCTGTCACTTCGATATGGCAAATGCTAACATAAGGCGGTATTTGAAAGAAGCAGAGTCATGGAGTACTGTAGGGATGGCGCAGCAAGGGGCCACTTTCCGCCAGGTTGGTGCGGCGCTTGGTGTACACCACACCGTCATCATCAGAGCCTAGGAAAGATACCGGTAACATGGTACACCCGCCAGGTGGAGGTCGGCAAAGTGTCACAACACCAGCCAGCTCATGTTGTTTTTGGTCGTTTAGGCATGGCGTGCAACGTTTTCGACAGCAACTACTTTTCGAAATGGCCTTGCTTATGCTGTGTGGGTCCGTGTTTGAACGCAGACGGTACGTAAAAGGCTGCATGAAGGTAATTTGCGGGCGAATAGACCTTGCATACGTATACCCTTTACGCATCGACATGGCTCAACTGACTTAAATCCAATTGGACACATGTGGAATGAGCTGCATGTAAGAATTTTAGCTCGTCAGCAATCCAGGAGCTTGGAGCCATGTTGGTCAAAGAATGGGCAGCCAAACCCGTAAGAACGATCATAAACCTAATAGAGAGTATGAGAAGGCGCCAAGCTGCCATTGATATTCACGGGTCACACGCACGGTATTAAGTCATAAACCTTAATAAAAAAGAAAAAGTTTACCAAATTTGGAAAACACGCCGTATGTTCTGAAATGTTCAAAGAGGGTATCATCCTCTTCTCTAGCACTAAATCAATATAAAACTCGTTTATAAGGTTAAATTCGTCCTTCAGAGCTGAATTGATCAAAAATAAATCAACATTAAAAACCTTTCGCACGGCATTAACAAAATTAACCCAAAGAAATCATTCTCAAACATATGGTATTTAGCAAAGGTTGAGTAGTATATAAAAATAATAAAAATATATCATATTTCTTTGTATTCCATATCAGTTTTGCTTTACAATAACATCATATTAATAGTATTCTTGTAGTTCATGATAGTACATTATTTATTTAATATTTATTTAATACTCAGTCTGGTTTCTTTTATCAGAATTGTTATTTAGATTTATACATTCACACTTTAGAAAAGAGACAATGAAATTATTCAAATTACATTTAACTTGCAACTTTAGGTTCAGTATTTCACTGATGATAAAATATAATCAATTATCAACTGAATAACTTTTGTATTTTACGGTAGCGTCCGCTAGAAGTGCTGCGTTTATCAAGATATCTATGATATAACAAAGAAACGGACGTAACTTAATGTCTGCTTGTAGCAAAATAATATATAAAGGTTCACCACAGTGTTTCACCACAAATACAGTCAGTGAATATTACAATATTACCTCAGTTACGTGGTCGCCAATTTCAGTAAAAAATAAATGATACAGAATATTATCTAACGATTACCGATTACTTAATATCATGACTGTATTTTGTAAATCTTGTTTATTATCTAGTCCAATTAGATAAAGCTTGTGGCGAGTGTTACCAGTATCTACAGTGTTCATTGCTTGAGTTACAGTGTAACATTTAAAAAATAGTGTAACATTTAACTAGACCTTATCGTGTAATCTTTCAATCTTGTTTTTGTTTGTTTGTCTTGTTTTGTTATTAAAAAACTGGAATTTTTAAAAAACACAGTAGCCTGTCAAAAAGTTTCTTTGTTTACATTTTACAATGTTTTCATCTACTTTTTGTATAGGCCTTTTTTAGCTGTTTTATTTAAAGAATTATCTTAAAATCATATCTATACAGAATGATCAAGGAAGAAATCTTAACGTTGCTTTCAAAGTATTTTGTCCTTTTATCTTTAAATCAGATATAGCAAAAAATACGAGTAGCTATTATTTTTTACAACATTCCTTACCTAAAGATACAAGGAGAGTATTAGTTGACGTTTATGATTGTTCACTTTGGACAAGAAAACGCACTATTATTTTGTACTGCTATTTAATGAAACTTGTAAGGGACTTCTTTAATGTTGTTCTTATTTCTGACCCTTTAATTGATTCAGTTATTTTAATTTTGGCTGTCACGTTCGGTATCTCACCGCCACTATCGAAGTTGGTTTTACTACCTTCATTATTTTACCTTTGATTATATTTTAATGGTACCAGCATTCCGACTTCTTTTACAACTTTTAACTGGTCTAAAATAATTAAATGAATCAGAAAAACAAAAGCAAGGAGAAAAAAGCAAAAATTCACATTAAGGAAGTTTGAGATCGCATTTTCAATTTAGTATTGATCTAGTATTTAGTCGTAAAACACTTATATCACATGGTAAGGATGTATGAAAACATTGAAATTGCTAGAAGAAATATGCTGCAGTTAAATATAGAGAATTTTTATTTATATTGCTAATGAGATAAAAATACGATGAAAAATATATTTTTGACTACTGTCCTGTTACTTTACAAAAAATAAAACTTCCTTTCTGTACATGCCCCGGTCACATATTCACGGATAACCCACGGAAGAGCTACGGTCAAATATTTCACGGATTACTACGGAAATGTGAAATTCCGTAGTGCGCTTCGGTTCCAGTACGGACACATAACGGTATGAGTACGGAGTTCGACGGATTTACCACCAAAATGTAAGTAAAATCACGGGAGAGACACGGATTGTTACGGCCGACACGGTTTCATACGGAGCGACACGAATCAGAACGGACGCACTACGCATACACTACGGTCTGCTACGGCATAAGCACAGGTTAGTACGAATAAGTACGGTCTGATACGGAGAAGAACGAATTGCCACGGATCTATACAGACCTACTATATCCGTCCACAACCTCTTGTATGTTCATTTTCAAAATGCCCCACAAGAAAAGAACATCTAGAAAACGAATTGCAGAGTTTAATGATTTTGGCGGTGAGGATTCGGCCTCCTCGTGTCCGACCACTTAGACATATCAGGTCCGATTATTTGAATTTTAAATTTTTTGAACGCCGAATCCTCAACAAGTTCGGCCATGAGAACTTTATACTAAACATGAAACTTCTAGTCCACCATCTCCTCTGGATTAAAAATGGACTAGTAATCAAAATTAAAAATGTTGATTAATACTGCTTCTCTTTTCATTTTAAAGTTGGCTGTTTATTTTACAATTTCATTAATTATCGTGAATGTTTTGTTTTAAGAATATATAAAAAGCTTGTTAATAAATCTTATTATCACTCAAGGGCCAGCGTCCGACACTTCGTTTTATGTACATATTTACTCCAATTCCACGATCCAATGTTTTTTAAAATATGTAACATTAACTGTAATTCTATTACTTACGAATTGTTGTACGATATTATTATTTTTTACCTCTATGCATGTTACCAAGCATCTCGATCACTGCCTCCGCATTCTGAGCCATATCAATATACAGCTGCAGCCATATAATCCCATATATCGTTTATTGAATGTTCACTATTAAGTTCGCAACACAAAAACGCAAATATGTCTGTTTGTTTGTATGTATGTATGTTGTTTATGCTTGATGAGGGTCCATCCGACCCCGGACATGTCACCAGTTATGCCCTTAAATAGTTACTTTCGAAGCACAAAGTGTTAATAATTTACTTCCATGCAATTTCCACGGAGTATTAGCCAAAGATATGAGTTTTGAGTCAAAAGATGGTCTCTGTGCGGCAGTCAGTAAGACCCTTAATGTACAGTAACTTTTAACAATATGAAAGGGTAGCCCTGATAAGGGCTGTTTGTGACAGCAAAAGGCATGTCGTTTAAGCCGTCTAAACGTGCTAGGGTGCGTTGCTAGGGCCAAACGCACCCTAGCACACCATCCTCGTCGACCCAGAGTCTACTTTGTAGGGCTACTCCCCTCGGCTATAGTCAGGACACCGGCAGCTTACTTCATACAAGCTAAGTTGTGCCGCCTTAAACATTACCCCGAGCTGTAGAAAGCAGGCGAACTTGCCGTCTTACACGTAGCGTTGGTTCTTTAATCATCTCCCGAAGCCCTGTGTCTTCTCAACGACGTACACGTACCGAGGGGAAGAGAGAAGATATGTCTGTTTTAACGAGAAGGTAGTATTTATACCCTTGAATTTTAAGGACAGATACAAAATATATCCGTACTAAACAGTGGTGGACCGTAGCATTCCGTACCGTTTCGTATTGCAACGCAATAAGACCGTGCTAATCCCTGCCTCTCCGTAGTACAACGTATTACGAGCGTGGCTTTCCGTGACAAAGTCGTATTAATCCGTATTAAAACCGTAGCTTATACGTAGCGTTACCGTACAAATATGTAGTTCTCCGTACCAAACCGTAGAAATCATTGACAAGTTGCGGCCTACGAATCAGTACGGACTAGTACGGTTTTCGTATGGACCAGTACGTATCAGTACGGTTTAATACGGACTAGTAGGGATACGCTTTTGTGCATGTTCAAAAATTGTCAAGGATCGCTACGGATATACAAGGACTACTACGATTGATTACGGTTACAATACGGCGAGCTACTGACCAGTACGGGTAGCTACGGACGATGCCGGAGTTAATCCGTGGCTCTTCCGTGGGCGTATTCCGTGAATATGTGACCGGGGTATAACGCGTATCTATGCATATAATCAGTTAAAATCCTTGAATTCATTTGAAAAATTTTTTTTTGGGATATAATATTATACACGCACCAAGTAAACATTGACCAGCTGCGCTAGCGAGGATAAGGAGTATTCTCAGTACGTAAGTAAATTAGCCTAAATGGTCATACATGTATTTTAATACCTAACAATTATTTTATTTTCATTTTTATTAGTATGATGATTATGTTGTCAACTTGTCGTCTTGGTGTGTTTTGGTTGTTGTTACTTTTAATCAATCGTAATGCTCCGTCATATAGTTTATTGTCATCACTGATGATTTTTAATTAATTCTTCTAAAAACATGTTCTTCCTCAAAAATATGATTCAATTTATGTTGTTTATTAATTGAGTTAATATGAAACCATATCGTTTGAGATAATATATTGTAATTTATATGGTATTAAACATTTTTCAGGAATATTGTACCATTCCAAGGAATTTGCAAGATGAGATGTTCTTTTAATTTCGCAACTTTGCTCGTTATTACAAGCCTGATGCCAACAAGCAATGCAGGGAAAGATAAAAACGACGGAATTACATCGAGAAGAAATAATCTTTTAACATATTAGTTTTATATTTTCTTATTAATTTATTTTCAATGATGAAAGAAAATTTTATACTTCACATATCATGAAACTGAAGTATATAGTTAGAGATTTTTTGTTTGTATCAATGTCGCATGAATCTTGCAAAGACCGTAACGGTGATTACATGTCATTCTTAAATCAATGTATTTAACTCTTAAACTGATTATTTGCTCTTTTTTGAATTTGGAACAGTGAACAATGAAATTCATTCCTTCCGACTGATACATTTTATTCCTCTTTTTTGGGTCGGTTTTATGTAAACAAATTGTTTTTGCTTTTGCTAAAATCTAAATAAATGCATTATTTATTTTTAACATTGAAATAACTAGATTGCTGCAAAGATGGTTGGTTTGCGTATAACGGGCATTGTTACTATATTGATTTGGATATAAAGCTGTCATTTTCTGCAGCAAGGGTATGTACACTTTACATGCTTTAATGTATTATTTTATACAGTCGTCGAATGCGTTAATGGTCTTTAATTTTTTTTTTTTTTTAACATAACATAATATTTATTCAGCATTAAATGTTACAACATTTATAGCCATTTCAATATATAATACAAACATATAAGGGCAAGTACATGGTTAATAGAGAATTATATACAAATGATTTATACAAATTAATCTTAAATTATTATTTTTTAACAGAGTGAACATAATTAATTGTAAAGTATTTTCTTAACAATATTTTTCATCATTATTACCATTTATCTGTTGTGTTATTTCTATAGTAAAACATATTACAAAGAATATTTTTTTCTTGTTACGAGCAACATTTATGTTTATTGAATACATTTTTGTAATACAATTCAAATATAGAGATCCATTTCATTGTGTTTACATTAACTTAAAATACTTACAAAAGATAAAAAGAAAACAAAGCAGTGAACATCAGGTTATGATAATGAAATTCGTTTTGGAATAAAGAAGAATTATTGCATATGGAAAGCTTTGTATATAAATTTGCTGACATTCAAAATACTTTTAACAGAGTCTAAATTCATAAGTGAGATAAATTTTTGCTTAGTAGGCCAATGGCAAAAATATGGATTAAAGTAGGTTTTTCTTAAGTTAGTATATTTTGGGCATACTAAAAGAAAGTGGTACTCGTTTTCTATAACATTCATATTACAATTTGAACATATTCTTTCATTTCTGGGAATATTTAAATGTCTACCTTTTTCAATCATTAAATCATGAGATGATAGTCGGAATCTTGTCAGTGCTATTTTAAATTTACTATTAGGTATTACATCTAAATATCGTTCTACTTTTAATTCTTTCTTATACCAGCTATATGACTGTAATCTATTTGAAGTTCTAATTTCAGCATCCCATGATTGTTTATATATATCAATTATTCTTTGTTTAATAACACAAACTGTACAAGTATAATGTGCATAAATGTTTTTCCAAAAGCGTTTAAATAATTCCTTTAATCAACAATTTTTTTTCCATAATTCGTTTTGTTAAACTGGAGACATTCTCGTTCTGAACTTTTAAACATAGAAAACATTATCCAGCAAGCTTAATCCATACCATTTCACATTTCTTAAGAAAATGTCATCACCGTATGCCAAATATTACTCTCTTGGCATGCGAGTTGTTTCCATACAAATATCGTTGTAACTTAAAAAACTTTATTTTCAATACGCTCTCTCGCTAAACATTGATATTTCGTCTCGTTACATCCCAATATGTTCTTAATATAGAAAAAAACTTTTAGTTATCAGGCCTATGTGTAACCGAAATTATACATAGAGAATTTATTCTCGTACATAAAAATATAACCCAAAATAATCATACAATGTTGTAAAATCAGTCCTATTCCGGATCAATGATTTTTGTCAGAATTATGGCCCTTGAATGCCTTTTATTTAAAGTTTGTCCGGACTACTCCTCTTATACCACTAATGCAATTTCAATGAAACTTTACAGGATTGATCTGTAGCTAAAGTGCTTGCGCATACCTTACACAGGCTTTTCGGGTGAATGATTTTTGGCCGAGTAATAGCTTTCTTCTGTCTTGCCAGATACACAGAAGCTTGTCCGGACTACTTCTCTGTAACTACTGGTGCAAATGGTTCAATAATTTTTGTCGATGTTATGGTCATTTAAGTATTTTCAAAGTTTGTCCAGTTTTCTGCTCTTATACCACTAATGCAATTTCAATGAAAATTTACAGGATTAATTGTTAGATCAAGTACCTGCGCAAATAACAGGTTTTATTTTGCTCGAATTATTTTTTGCCGAGTTATGACATTTGTATAAAAAGGATGTTGATAAAATTTGTCCGCACTACACTTCTTATACCACAAATGCAATTTAAATCTTTCAGGACTGAAAGGTAGCTCAAATACTTGCGAATAATACACAAGATTTCCACTTGAATGATTTTTGACGAGTTATGGCCCTTGAATAAAAGTGTGTTTTTGTGTTGCCAGCAACACAGAAGCCTGTCTCGACCATTCCTTAGACACTGCTGGTGCAGCAGGAATGATCAAAACTATGTAAAGTTGTGCATCTCATCATAATTTGTCGGTTCACTGATTTTTGTTACAGTTATAGCACTTTAAGGATTTTAATTGGACTACTCCTCTTATACCACTGATGCAATTTCGATAAAGCTTTACAGGATTGATCGGTAGCTCAAATAATTATGCATACTACACGTGTTTTGTGATTGAAAGATTTTTGGCTGAGTTATGGCTATAATGAGGGGACATATGTGATCACTGATTGCTTTTGTTTAAGGAATGCAAGTAAAAATCAAGAGCTTAAACGGAAAAAAAGGTACTGCTTTTGTACGGGAACTACTCCAGGTCAATACATCTAAGTGTATGTATCTTTTTCAACTAACATTTTCGTAGTACTACGTACATGAATGCATGTTTTTACGTGTTTCCATTGATAAAATTAGGCTAAGATATCTAAATATCCGCTTTAGTAGGTATACTATCTTTACTTACATATCAGCTGTACTGTAGACGTTTTGGAGCAGACCTTGTTCAACTTGAAACGTTTGCTGAAAACACCTTTCTGAAAGGGTTTCTGAAGAAATTCAAAGGTAAATCCCTTGATAATCTTCTTATTATTAGATTGTTCCAATAACTTCTATTAGCATTAATATCAGAATATTAGGTGTAATTTTATCATATTTTGTCAAATAATTTGGGAATCCTGAATACTGGAAAAAACAAATGTTTAACACTTTATTTTTACATGTTTATTTAAGACTAAATTGGTGTCTTCATAATGTTTTATGTATGCAAGATTATATAAAATTATAACTCTTTATAATAATAACGAAGCTAATCTTGGATTACATGTATTTCAAAAAGCCTTATCCATATAACTTATTTGTTCAAATTAAATACATTTAGTCAGCACCTTTAAACTAATTTACAGCACAACATACCTGGATGGGTTTAAATGACATGTCTCATGAAGGTATATGGCGATGGACCAGCACCAACAAACATGCTACGTTTTCTGACTGGTCACCGAGGCAACCCGACAATCATAAAAATAATGAAGATTGTGTGCATTTCAGCTACACAGCTGCCTATCAATGGAACGATTTCCCTTGTAGTCATTCAATTAATTTCTTATGTGAGAAAGCCTCTGCATGAGACACACAAATAACTGCAAAATTAGAAGGTCAAATGCTGCTGTACCTTTTATTCTAAAATTTAATCGATTAGATCTTTATAAACAATGCTTTTTTGGTATTTATCCTTTTTTAAAGACAGAAATAAACTATTTGCATTATTTAATCTTTTCTCTTTAGTTATACATGTATACTTTATGCATATTTAATCTTTAATGTATGTATCCATATTTATTTCCCTTTATTTATTTTTCATATTATGGACAAATAGATGTGTTTGATACTTGTTTCGATAAACCTTATTCTCAAACTAGCCCGAAAGCACCAAGCGATTTAACTGAAACCTAAAATATAAATAATACGAACTTTAAAAATATACTGCAAAAAAAATGAAATAAGATTAAATTGTTTGTTTGGACAAGTAGAAACTCACAGTAATAAGAAAACGGTATACAAATATACGGGGTATACTTTTGTATGAACACATGGCGGTATAATTTATATTTGAAAACAGGTTTATGTTTGAGTCGCATTATTGACACAGACTTCATGTTAGAAAGCTATCAATTTATTTCGGGATAACTCAGCGAACTGGATTTTTGTTATTGTAAATGATAATGGAAGTCCCTGTAAATGATAATGCACAGATCATCAATTTCTGAATCAGTAAAACTGGAAAACCGCCATATGTATCTAAACAGTGCCTGTAAGATATGAGCAAATAACTTTTTTGTGTTAAAGATTATCATGTTTGAATTATTTTTCAACAAAAGCTCATGTAAACTTTTTATGATAAAGAGTATCTCCGATTGAATCTGCATTTGATCATAAGGTCTTATAAGAGACCAATGAACGTGACGCATTTATCATTTAGATACTTTAAAAGGATTTGAATTAAACAAAACACGAATAATGACAGATATATCAGATTTACACCCAATTTAACCATTGTTCATGATATATATGTTTACATTCGATTTGTCCGCCATGTAAAAATGACATTGACGATAACTGATTACTCTTGATGTAAAAAATTATTTTTATTTCAAAGTACATACAATGGTAACAAACATGTTGTTAATGATTAAATAGATAACCAGCATAAGTATTAACCATGTTACGAAACGTTGTACTAAGAATAACACAAAAAGAAGAAGAATGAACCATTATTTGTCTTGTGGTCCTTGTTACTAACAGTACGTAGGTACCGAGTTACATTGTTCACGACTAATATGAGATCATTCGGCCCAAATACAGGACAAACCTTATTTTGCAATATCTTTAACTTCTTCATCTACATCTTATATAAACCGTAATACCAAAAGGAACAGACACCAAATAAGTCATATATCTAGCAGTATTCAAGTATGTTGCGTGAAGTATTTATGTTAAATCAATCTTGAGTTGGCCTCTTTAATAAATGTGTTTTTTAAACAAGTGCTTCACTTAATGAACTGAGATTCATCTTTATTACGAACATCTACACATTGTTTTCTATATTTCTGTTATAATCTGGAGAAACATATGAAAACCCCGCTCCTCTTTCTACAAGTTCCTATAAATCAGATATAACATCAAGATTTAAGAATCATTTTCTCTAGCCCAAATAAATTTACCGAACGTAAGACATAAACTCGATCTTCTCTTTACTGAATTTCAAGAGTTTGACATACTTGCTTTCTCGGAAAATGGCTTTATGATACAATGTTAACTGATGACATTTCGCCTTTATTCTTCAGTACACACGAAAGTAACGGTCGAATAGGTGGTTATCCTCATGGTAGGGTTATGCTTCAAATATTTGGATAGAAGTATCCCTTGAAAATAATAAACGTGTCCTATCCTGTCTTTTTTTTGTTATACTCCAAACGCAAATACAGGTTATAAGAATAATATTGAAGAATATCTTGCTTTTCTGTTGACTCAAATATTATTGACATTTTATGAACAGGTGATTTTAATTATGATGCTCTCAACAATAACACAAACAGAAAAAATATTTCTATCTGTCTACAATTTAGAATGAAACAAATCATTGAAGAATCAACGCACTTCAAAGAATTCTCTCAATCATTAATTTATCTTGTCTTTGTATAAAACAAAAGTACAAATATAAAATCTGGCGTAAAGGAGCATATTCTTCATCAAGAACAGCGTTACCATATTCCAATATTTGTCTTTTTAAATTTAGGAAACCAAAACAACATAGTTGTCAAAGTACTATTTAGGAATATAATCGGGGTGATTAAGCTAATCTTCGAAATGAGTTTTTGCAATTTTCAATGGGACGAATGCTTTGATTTCAATACCAACAAATACGCTGATAACGTTTCAAACCACATAATTCATCTTACAAAGATATATGTGCCAGGCCATTAGATGCTCCATGGATGACATATACTATCAGATCAAATATTTTTGGGCCCCAAAAAGGTTTTCGTTTGAGAAATGTTTCTAAAAAAAGTGAGCACTTTTTCTGCGCCGTCCCCCATCCAAAAGATACATCAGGGGGTTGCCAGAAGGAGGGGGGGTTGCGCTTCCTTCTGTGTGGCGGGTTTGAAGGGGCCACAAGTCCCCTCATCCAAGAAAATTTTGGACTTGTGAGAGGCTAAAAATGACCTCAGGTCGATCCTACGGTAACGTGTAACCAATGCTGAAAAGCCTCTGACTCTATCTCAATCCCTTGAGAAGTTGCAGCACTTTGAAATAAATTTTGATGGAAAAAATCAAGGCAAAATAGTGATTTTTGGCAATTTTGATATGTCCCCTCGTTGCCATGGTAACAGAAAATTTAAGACTGAGCATGTCGTTACAAAAGCAATGGTCCAGTCAACATTTGTGCCGAAATTGATTAGTATTGAAGCATTTTTCATAGTTTCATAGCAGTTTGAACTTGTAACAGTAGGCTTTTCAATGAAAACGGCCATTTTTCACAATATGCTCATGAGGGAAAGGGTTCAGCCGGTGCTAAGGATGTGGACGGTACCGTTCATGAACAGGCTCAATGAAACCAAGCGTGCAATATTTTCAATTTTGTCGTTTGGGGGCTCTTTAGGGATTCTGTTTTATCTCTTTTTAATTTGATTTATCTCAGTTAATAAATAATAGCACAGGGTTTCTTAAAATATTTCATATGCATTAAACTACAACAAAATATATGATTTCGGGTGCATTTATGCACAAAAGTTTAAATAATAATGTAATTTGAACTTTTGCATAGTTTGTTTTTTAGCAATTGCGTTTAATATGTAACTTTGTTGTACTCTATTATGCATTTGTTTATTTTAGTCAATTGTTATTAAATGACAATTTCGCTAAACTGACAATTGTTTTTTTTGTTTTGTTTTATCAAGCTGAGCAAAACTAAAAAATTCAAACAATCAAATCCCGAGTAGTACCTTGTATGCATTAGAGAAAATGGTACATATCGACGTTGAATTTTAACAAAATATTAAATTTCTGTTATTGATGTCACATCTAATGGTCAACATATACATATCAAATAGTTTTAAGTGTCTGCAGACTGAGTCGTCATTAGCAAGATGCTAGCGGGAATGGCGTGTATATTTACTGTTTTAAATGTATTTTCAGCTATAGTGGTCATAATTAAACTTACTCATACAGTAATCATTTTAACTTACTTTATACACAGTGTTGAATGTGTTACGATAAGGTTTGGTACACAAGCCATGATGTGTTTCTTTCAGAATCTATTATTATCACAATATGGGTTGCCATCAAACTTATTCCTTGCACATTCTAGAATGCGTTGCTATCAACATTCATTTTAAACATAATCAAGTGTGTGTTGCTGTTAGAATTATTCAGAAGCGAAATGTTGTATGCTATGTTATCAACATTAATTACATATACAATTTAGTGTGTCATCATAAACACCATGTTGTTTCAGTTATAAGAGCACAGTCTAGGATGGTTTGTATGTTAAACATGAAATTATTTAAGAGTTGGGCACCCAACATTAAGGATAGACGACACAAGCTTTTTAAACAGAAGAAAATTTTAAAACTTTTTAAGGAATTGAAAAATATAGGACATCCCAACATTTCTTAAGCAAAAGAAGGGTAATTTTAAGAAAGACTATGCAAGATATAAAGGATATTGAATGAGAGTAAGTTTAATACTGACTTTATTGAACGAGTTGAATAAAATTATAGTATACGAGCCACTTACGAGTATAATATCATTTTATTTAACTCATTCAATAAATTCAATGCTGAACTTATACGAAATTGATATTCTACTTATCACATACCAAAATTAAAGACGACTGTTTGAAGTGAAAAAGGATCAGTTTTTATTGATACGCCTATAGTTTAATTCAAACATTCGGTGCGGTGTCTTAACGCTATGTACATAAAACGCAAATGACTTTACGCCAAAATATATGCACTGACATGCAATACAATTTATAAGAGTCGCAAAAGCGGCACGGCAGTGTTATAAATCAAGATATCATGTGTTTACAGGAACAGAGAATAACCATGCCTTCAACAGAATTGATGAATACTTTTTTATCGTATACATTTAACTGTTACAAAACACATGATATCAGTTGTATATACTAGTATTCATAATAGTTTTTAAGAATAATGTAACATGTACTTTTGCATAGTTAGTTTTTATAAGATTTGCATTTAATATTGAAACTTTTTTGTACATTTTGTATGTGACCCTATTATGTTTCTGATTCTCTTACGTCATTTGTTTATAAATGACGATTTCTCTTAACGGTTTTTTTGTTTTGTTTTTGAAAAACTTCGAAAACAAACAATCAAATCGACAAGCATAAAACATAATTAGGTACTTTATATGGATAGACAGTGTGCATTCGTGTGCGTGCATATGGACTTTACACCCATCCCTCAAATTACAAACAAAAAACCAATTCGATGTTCATTTAATAGGAAATTTGTTTGTGAAAGAGGCCACTTTATAGTTTCATATTCATAAGTTGTTTATCATCTAAATACTTTAGTCAATTTATTGCGGATTTTATCATTAAAATCTAAATTTATTGGAACTTTCAGTGGTTTGATATTCTTTTCAAATTTATTCAAACTTATTTACTTGCTTCTTTCCGTTTTTGTGTGTGTGTGTGTGTGTGTTTGTTTCATATATAATCTGGCAAATGTCTTTCATTCAATTAACTCAAAAGTTAATGTATATTCTTAACAGACAAGATATTTAATAAAGGAGGGACACAATATTGTTTATATTATTATAATTATTATTGCAGTTGTTTAAAATACAAAGTAACTACATGTACAAGCGAGTGTGAGAGTCTGGCAGGATGAAGACTTCTTTAGCATTGCTGTTTGTCGTTACCCTCCTGATTCCAGGAATAAAAGCCGGTAAAATAATTCAAAGTAAACGGGCATCTTAACATTGACATGACAAGAAGGGAAAATGACTGCTTAATCAGTATTTTCATTATTCAGTTATACAATTATGTCCTACAGTTATTAGCTATTATATATACCCATTGTTGTTGTTTGCAGGCAAATAGAATATTGAAATAAGATTATTTTAACATTTTACTCTGTAGCGCGGGAGACATTTTGACATGATATATATATATATATATATATATATATATATATATATATATATATATATATATATATATATATATATATATATATATATATATATATATTATAACGAAGTAATTCTTAAATGAGTTTTAAAAGTATTTTAGACAATGAAGTTGTAACACTTAAACAGTATTATTTAATACTTATTCAATATTTTTTCAATGATCTATGGTTTTAGTTTGCTGTAATGATAGCTGGATACCTCATAATGGTCACTGTTATTACATTGGTTATGGAACGCCTCTTACGTTCTCTGCTGCGCAAGTATGTTTAAAATGTAGTATAATTCTGTATCTTAAACAGTCAGAGTAAGACTGCTACTATATTTCTATAAAACTAATTTTATTTTGGTAAAAAGTGTAGGCAAGCTTATTAATTTAAAAAGATCTTTTTAGAATATTAATTTCAATTCAGTGACAACTCTTCAATTATTAATATTTCTATAGCTATTTTAGACTCAGTTTCTTTTTGTCACATTCATGCTCAACAATTGTTGATTTATTTTTCAAATCAAATTTTAACTATGCAGAAAATAGATAGTTGGTTCTATTTATAATTTAAGATATTGGCTTTGAAAATCTCACAGTTTGATATAAAATATTGAAAACTTATCTTTGTTTACAGAGACAAGTAGTAAAAATAATTCATTCAACATGTTCATTCGTTATATCAGGTGTACTGTCATGATCGAGGTGCTTATCTTGTCCGGCTTGACACGTTAGCTGAAAATACTTTCCTGAAAGATTTACTTAAGAAAACTAATGGTAACATTTTTATTATTCCTTTTAGACATATGATAAAATAGCAGTTTTGTAGAAATAATATGATAATATATTGAAATAAATCCAATTTATCATTAAAATGGCATAGTCTGTACAATATAGATCATGTTTACACAGGCAGGACATATTTGACACTATTCAGAAAAAGTATCTTGTGTCCAATTTACAGCTGGGAATACGTGGATGGGATTGACTGACAGGACTCATGAGGGAATCTGGAGATGGTATGACACAAACAGTCATGCAACATTCTCTGACTGGGGTCCAGGAGAACCTAACAGTTATGGTAATCGCAATGACGATTGTGTGCATTTCTACAAAAGCGTAGACTATAAATGGAATGATAGTGGTTGTCATAACAAGTTTACACCTTTGTGCGAAAAAAATTAAATGTCCACTCATCAAAGATATAAAAATTGACTCAACCATAATGCATGAAAATAGGTCTGCAATGACATACATAAACCTTTGTGCGAAAAAGATTAAAAGCATTTCTCGGCGTTGTTTATCGTGTATCATATTGAAATGAGATCAAAATGTATTATTAATATTATTTGAAAAACAGCCAATCTCGGCAAATATTGCAAAAATCGTTTCAAATAAAAATGAGATGAATAATTATTAGCAATTTTGCATCATATATGTTGTTCGATATTCTATTGATAAAAAATTCTATATATTGACTATACTCATGTTATGTATATGTTTTAATTGAAACATGCTGTTTTTTAGACAAAACTTTCATTTCCGCTTTAATGTCACGATCTGTTTAGCAAAAAGTTGAACGAACATTTCGTCATCTGTTATAAATGTCTTTCTTTTAAGAGAAAGACTTGATGTCGAAAACTTAAAAGAAAGGTTTGTTTTTATGGAATATATTATATAAAAATTGTTTTAAGAGCATTTGTTCATGTCCGTTTGCTTATATTTGAGCTCAAGCTTCTGACGTAATAACAAAAGAATTCATCTGAGTTTTATTTCTCAGATTTTTGTAGCTGTAGATTCAAAAATGTAACTTTATCGTTTTCAATAAACAGAAATAATTAAAGACTCCACACAGTTACATTATTCTTTTGAAATTCCTAAAACAAAATGCAAAAAGGCAGTTTTATTTTAAAGAATGAAACTTCAGTTTTGTAAATATAAATATTCCTGGCATCTTTGCAATGATATACATTTAGTTGTTTGTCCATAAGCTTCCGAATACTTTATTCTATATAAGCAGTTTAGCCTTTCCCAAAATAAAGCATTAAAACTATTTTTTCTGATATTTTGTTAGTGAAGATTATATCTTCATTACAATCCTTAATAAAATGTCAGTCCGAAAAACATTCCAGCTTGTTGGAATCTTTGTACATATTGGCGTTACATACTGCATTTCAATGATTAATGACAACCAGTGCTTAGTTTGCATTGGCCGAGCACATCCACATTAATTGATAATCAAAGGAAACACTTGGCAAATGTTTGCTCCTTTGGCAGCATTGTTAGTGTATTACCACTCATTTTGAAATTAATTCTATAAATAAATTATTCTACAAAATGCACACAGATAATTATACAACCAAGGTTGTAATTATATTTCGGTAGTTATTAGCAAATTATTAAATTGAATAAATTTTACTGATTTAGTACTTAATTGTGAAAAACACTTAAACCACAAATGATGAATTTTTGAACAGGTTTGGTAATATTATCTCTAGTTAGCTTGTTCAGCGCGAATTGGATTTTACAGCCTTGCCAGCTGGAACAGACAAAACTGGATTGCTGCTCTTCTGCCAACATTATTCACACGCGTTATGATGTATAAAACAGTAATAAGTGCTAAAACTGCTGCAATCATACAATTATCAATTTCCTTATGATTGATAATTAGTCATCGCTTTTACCGTTTGACTCCCAGTCCAAGTGTCAGGGGGATGACTGCCTTGCTGTTATTTAAACTAAGGAAAGATTTATATATTTATTTAAACTAAGGAAAGATATGGAAGCTGGGCAGCACCGTCTGACTTAAAATTGAAATATTCTCAGTTGGAAAACTAGCATGTTATTGTTTATTTAACACTGTTTTTTAGTTATTTTTTGTATCATAAATCCATATATACATTTAAACAACAAGCTCTGATCATGATTTACACCCAAGTCAAACACACACCATTCATTAACCACTTATACAAAATATCTTTTACGTATACGTCTTTTACGCGAAGCGATTCTAAACACATTGAAAGCCCAATCTCTTAACAACTTATGATAAAACAAGACAATAAAATCGTCTTAACATAAAGCGCATGAAATGAATTATTTTACAACCCAAAGATACAGTATAGACCACAAACATTCAACCCAAAAAATTAAATCCATAAAATCTAATCAGCATCTGAAAACAACTTAAACTAAACACTCAATATTTACAGATCTCTTCAAAAACAAAGCATCAACTGTGATTATTTTGACAAGACAAAAATCACTCAATACAACTCAACCAATATCAACCAAATAATTCTTACCAAACTCAACAACAAACTATAATACAATAACTCAAACAACTAATTACAGCCAATGAATCCAGATCAAGTACGATCACAACCAACCCTGCCAAATCAACAAAACTCCCTTCAAAACAACAATATTCTCTCCTCTGAAAATAAAACGTTACACATGACAATATTGCCTTCACTAAACTGATGGAGATTGCTTTCCCAAAACTCGCATAAAATATTTGCTATCCTAACGATTTGACATTTACATGTATAGAGAGAAACATGATATTTATAAGTGACGTCCTTGATTTTTCGTCCGGATATATGTAAATAGTTGGAAAACATCTTCATCACCTAACTTCAAACATCGTCCCGCAAGATTAGCAATAATTAGGGCAAACAGGCAAACTGTAAGTGCGTGAGTACAATATTCTTAGATAGATAAAGAAATATATACATAGCATTTTTTTCAATATATGTTATATTTAATCAAATGTAAACTAACACTTTTATTCTTAACGTTGATATTCTATTGTCAAAAACACGTTTTCATGCAATATGAATTACTTAATTTTGGTTCGTTAGAATGTTATTAAATAAAGTGTGATAATAGTGTAATAGATAGACATGTTAACAATTTGACAGTGTGATGAGATATTGCCTTTCCTTTAATTGAATTCTGCTCCTTCAATCCCGTGATTTGTGTGGTTGTTTACCAACAACTATATATCTTGCAGTAAACAGTATAAGTATTCAATGTTTCGAGGTGGAAAACCATTGAAATATAACTCAGAACTTTGTGAACATGATCCGCGCCGCGAAATAACTTGAGCGTAGATATTCAACTGACCCAAGAATGACAATTATAACAATCAGATATGTAGAAATATACCTGAACTATTATTCCATTACAATAGATGCAAAACGTAAACACTGAAAATGTCACTAGAACGCATTGATGTGTATTATTTTCATTTTTTAGCTGACAGATTCAGCGTATGAGCCATGACAGTGCTATATTAAGCGGAACGCTGTGCTTGGTTTACTCATTCCGTTGCCAAATCCCATTGCCTCAAGTACTTTTGATTGTTTTAGCAATGGGCAAATTTCACTTTGGAATTAACACGCAAAAGTCTATAAATACAGACGCTCACTTCAGTTGAGCAGCTTTTTCAACCGTAGGGCACGGACAAACAAGGTTATAATTTGAACAGTAGTTCAACCCCAAAAAATTAAACCGCCAAACAAAGGAAATTCGCCAAAACTTGAACATTTCCCCTAAATGAATATTCAGCTAGAATTTAAGTAAAATTTACACAAAACACGTACATATAACCCCTTCTTTAACAACTTAAAATTGATGAACTAATTACAGTAACAATACCAAGGGCGATAATTTATATGGTTTACAATATTTAATCATCCTGTTTTATTCATTTATTTATCAGAAGATCTTAATAGATAAGATTTACTGTAACAGCGTTTTTTTGCATTTTCAAGTGCTTATATTCTTTTTCAATGATTAAGTTTAATGGTTTATTACCGTACCATTTTACTTCAGTAGCCTAAAAAAGTGTTCCTGACAAAATCATTCCAACAGTTACAACGGTAACAATATTGTGTTTTTATGATTGCCTTTATTACGCATATTTAAATATTTCCAAAAATCTTTTCAGGATATGTTTGTTGTTACAACATACCAAGGGTCACTGGAGGAAGTTGTATATCGCGATAAATGAATACTTTGACCATATTTTTTTTCTATTTGTTAAATTTTGAAAATAGTTCTTAAAACTTGTGATAACAAGTTGACCTTCGGTATTAGAGCACTTCAATCTTACAAATACGTTGATCCGTTGTTTCATCCCGTCGATCAATACCGTGTACTTAAAAGCTTGTCCTTAACTGGTCCGTCTTGGTAATGGCTTAGTCCAGTAGCATTGCAACTGATAGATCCCTACTCTGACCTTTTATTTGAATAACAATAAATTTAACCAAACATTGACAAATGCTCTTTGTAAAGGACCATGTTGTTATGAATTTTTTATTGTATCCACTAATCGGATTATTAGAATAAAACAGGTCAGGGATCTATGCATTACCACCACCGTCCATGAGCAGGCTATCAAACTGAGCTTGGAACATATTCAAATTTGTCGTTTTGGGCTAAACAACTTAGGGATTCAGTTTGTTCTTTTTTGTTTATACGTTTATAAAGTCCATTATTTCAATATCAAATTAAAAGATTCAGCTATCAACAGCACGGAAGTGCAGAGTCTATACTGGTGCCAAAGGAGGTTATCACCAATGTTCACAACATGTAGAGAGTTATTTCTATTGTGTACTTTACAAACGAACATAGGATTGTTGTTAGAATCGAATTAAATTGTAATTTAATTCAGAACAACATACGTGTTTATGAAAGTCAACACATTTAACAAACATACAAAATAGTATGTTATCAGCATATCAACTTCTTGCAAGATGTTTATTTAAAGTATTAATAATACATTGTATTCATATTTCATGAGTAGATAACTTTACAATTGCTTGCAGTTTGTTAGAAATAAAGACACTCATAACCTAAATCATATATTTGCTGTTAATGTCAAATAATTGACTTGGAATTCATTTCTTAAATTATTCATCACTAATCTTTTAACTGTGCTAAAATTTTCAACCTGTTAATCAATTTATCGCCTGACTTTGAATTATTTGTGTAGTCATGTTTTTCCTATTATTTTGAACGACTGGATAAAATATTTATGGTCGTCAAAGCTAGACTAGGTGACCATATCGGCACTGGTATCTAAATATGATATTTGACCTAATATACAATGTAGATATAGTAGCTTCAGATGAATTTCGTGTTACTTGTTTCTTTTGTTCTTTTCTGGGTTTACATAATTAATCATTTTTGTCAATTGCTTAAGATTCTGGAAATTTGTCTCTCATTCCTTAATTGCTTTTGTATTTGTGCTTTGGGCATGTTGTCAAGTTTGTCAGCGGTATCAGATTGGCTATTTAGGCAATAGACAATTTTGTAGCTTGCTTTGACTATTTAATGATGCGTTCATAGAAGATGAGGAATCATACCATTATTTACGTCACTATTACTGGCCGATGACTTATCATTTATGCATGTTTGCAATTTACTATTCAGTTAGGTATTTTACAATTATTATATATGCCAATCGTTTTCGTCAATGATGGTGTTTTTCTGCTGGGCTCCTTTCCGGTAGTCCGATATTGCTGGGTTAGTTTTACTTTAAACGTATTTATTTCAAATTCTATATAGTAACCAGACTACAACATGCAAACATTTTAACAATCGAACTATCATAGTACACGCAATCGATTTTAACTGGTTATGTTGGAGGATGCGTTAATTGATAATTGAATGCTGTACTTCCTTTTTGATCTTTGTTTTCATATTTAATGAAATATTACTTCGCTGATTTTTTTGCTCCATATTCATATATGTTACCGCCATTTAAATAAAATTTGGATTGTTTTTTTTTTATTAAAACGGGATCATTGACCTTGAACTTAGCATCTTCTGAATATTTTGTTCTTATATTTTTCTGGTCTTTTGTGACCACTGTTTTCAGCACACTTGAATTGCACTGAAGCTGGTACTGGGGGCATGATAGATGTTGCGCTTATACACTATCTCTGATGAAAAGAGTCACTAAAACCAAGTCAACATTTTTAAGATGATATTTTTGTTTTTCTTGCTTATACTAGATTTCACCCCTTTAACTGATTTTATTGAAGATGTCGATTTGTTTCTTTTTATTGATGAAGTCGATTTAATGTTTCAGAAACTAGACTTTGTTCAAATGGAAACAAAACAAATGTAGGACTACTGAAGTAGTAACATCCAAGGAGTCGGTTCCGAAACTATCCGTGAAGAAGAACTTAAGTGATTGGCTGAAGTGAACTCCAATACAAATCATTGGCGTTGCTCTGATATTAGGGCTGCTTAACTTATTTGCTCGAACATTTTTACACAACTTTCTAGATTTTACCTTAAGGTTTTCTCCGGAACTGAATTATGTAGATGTACCCCCTCCTATGTAAATTTATAATGTAAACATCCTTAAGTTATAAACTATGAGAACAAAAGCAACAAGGGCAGTATTGTCCCAAATACGCTTGTGATGGAGATGTGGGCTTTATTGACAGAATTGTTAGCTGGCAAGTTTTTATGTCACAAGTTCAAGTGCAATATACAGCTCAATATATTTCTTTACTGAGTAAATTATTTAATATACTTTAAATATTATTAGGTTCGATTAAAATAATATATCAATTATATACACCTTTTAAAAATGACTTACTTACAATAGACTTACTTATCATCTTTTAAATAAGAATATAGTAATGAAGAAATGAAGAATAAATTTTAGTTGGAAAGATAGTAAGGTCACTACTTATTAAACAGTGCTGAAAATGGGAACAACACATTTTAGACACAATAAGCCTATGTTCATATGAATCAATATCATTCAGACAAAACACAGCATTTGCAACAAGGAAATCTCCACATAGTGCAGTTGTTCCTGGATGTTGGAGAGTTGTGTAGTGAATTCCATCAATACTGCAGTTTTCATAAAGTAAAGACAGTTGTTGGATAAGTTTAATTAGTGTGTTTGAGATGGTAAACTATCAAAGACAGTAATGTTTTCATAATTTCTAGCAGACAAATCATAATTTCCTGTAATATAATGCATCTGTACAGCTTGAACGTTTTTAGGAATTTTCTTTGTAATGTACTGTCCACTAGACACCAGAGAATGCAAGTAGGATTGATTGAGCATTGCCCGCTCCCCCTCCCTCAAAAATGAAACTGGACTTGAACAAAATAAGCTTGACTCAAAGAGATATGTTTTGACAATCTGTAAGAAAACACTTAAAACTATTGTAGGCTTTTGTTTACCTTCCTTCATTTATAGCTGAAAAGGGAATCAGGTATTCTTCGCATCTCGAACATAAACTATTTCATGTACGCGAGGAAACTATCTATATAAATTTGGGCAATGCAGTGAATATGGTACTGGCCATGTAAAGCACGATGCACATATTATCATTTACATCAGTTTACATTACAACACAGCCCTACTTTAATTTAAAACCGTTAAAAACAATCAATTATTTTGCTTTTTAGAATCTGAAGTCATCGTCTTCGAATGTAATTAAGGAAAAATAACAACAACAAACAAGGAAAAACTAGAAATGTGTCCATAGGACACCGGTGCCCCCACCGCGCCACTGTTCTGTCAATCTTATGACTCGAGGTCAAATTTTTTGAAGACTAAAAATCTTTTACTAAGTAAAGGGCAAGAACTTTACAAATACTGAATAAATCGTCAAGCTAACCCCAATGTTTATAAGTACACAAAATGACCAACATTCTTGTAAACTTTCAGGCCTACAAGTGAAATACTTTTTGAGCTATGCATGAACAAGTTGAAAATTGCAAATTCATACTACTGTAAGTCAAGGGCAATAACTTAAAAAAAAAACTAAAAAAAAAATTCCACATGCAAAGTGACAGGTTCATAGCTTCACAGTGATGTGAATCATTATTCCTGTAATTTAGTGATGTTGATCATTATTCCTGTAATGTTGGTTGATTCTAACTCAAGCACTCAAGGAACAAATAACAACATAATGAAACGCTTTTTACTAAGTCAAATGAAATAACTCTATAAATACTGGATAAATCCAAACGCAAATAGCCCAGGTGCAAAACAAAATATGCTGAGCAACCTTCCCGTAAGGTTTAATGACTCTATGTCAAATCTTTTTTGAGTTACATGCGACACAAGTTGAAAATTGCAAAAAATTTCTAAGTCAAGGGCAATAACACTAAAAATACTAAATAAATCCAGACGAAAATACAAAAGTGCATAACTACACATGCTGTTTAATATTCCTGTAAAGTGTCATGACTCTATGTCAAATTGCAAAATTTTACTAAGGCAAGGGCAATAACTATAAAAATACTAAATAAATCCACACGAAAATACCCAGGCGCACAACTATATATGCTGATCAACATTCCTGTAAAATTTCATGACTCTAGGTCAAATGCCTTTTGAGTAACATGCTACGCAAGTTGAAAATTGCGAAATTTTACTAATTTAGGGGCAATAACTCTAAAAATACTAAAGCTATCCAGACGAAAATACTTAGGTGCACAACTACACATGCTGATCAACATTCCTGTAAAGTTTCATGAACTTCGGTCAAACACTTTTGAGTAACGTGCGACACAAAAGAGAACGGACAGACGGAAGGACGGACGGACGGACATGGGTCAATCTAAATGCCCGCCACTAAAGTGGGGGCACAAAAACATATTTGGGTCATAATGATAAACACAACGTGTTAATAATACGTCTTTTAGCATTGTACGTGTAGGCACATATATATTCCGTTGTTAACATTTACATTAACGCGCAATATTTATTTCGTCCGACCTGGATTATTCTAAAACAGGGCTTCTTTCTTTTTTTTATATTTGTTAACTTTATAGAAAGTAACTTTTCGCGAACCAAATAGCTCTGTTTCTAAATTGTTCAATCAATTATATTCTTAAACTAACTGGCCAGTGTGAATTCCAAAACATTACATTTAAAGCATGTTCAAACAGAAGGAAAATTCACAGTTGATAATCATTTTGCAAAATAAACATACAAATTGATATATTATATGAAACCGTTCTATAAAATAAACTTATTTCTTGATAACTTCCTTTTTATTTTCTAAATGATTATATTCTACCATATTAAATCAAATTGCTTGAAGAATGACGTGGATGAATGGTTTTGATCGTTGAAGTCAAAATCAGCTGTCATTATAGCTTTTCTGTTTAAAAAATATAACAATATTGCATGGATCATGATCTTGAGTTAATGTCATCAGTTAAATTGCAACTTAAAACATTATGTGTTTAGGAATGTCTCATAAAACGGAGGTTAGGATTTTTTAAAAATTGCATATCAGTTTCAAAATATCATTTTGCTTTTAGGATTTAAAAAATTCACAGAAAATTATAAAGGGCCATTGGGTGTCTCGTGGTAGGATCTTTGTACAAAACATAAAAAAATTGTATGAACCCTTCAGAAATTGATGTAAAATATAGTACAATTTTTTTTAAATAAAGATTACTCAAGGACTTTTTAAACTGCTGCTAAAAACAACAAATTTGCTGGAATTAATTATCACTTCAATTTAATTGAATTCAATTTCGCACAATGGTATAATTTTATTATGATTACAAGGCGCATCGTTCCACTTGTAGTTAACATAACTTCTAAAGTGTGCACAGTCTTCACCGCCGTCACCATAATTGTTCGGCTCCCCGGCGGCCCAGTCAAAGAATGTAGCCTGCTGATTTGTGTCATACCATTTCCATGTTGTTTCATGATGAAGGTCGGACAATCCCATCCACGTATCTCCAGCTTGATATAAAGAAAAAGAAAGAATATTGTATATGAAGAATATCCATACAAACAATATCAACAAACTATGTTAAGTTTAGGAAATTAAAAAAAAATCCTGAAAAGCTATCTCCAAGATTTTATGTTAAAAGTAAAAACAAGTTAATGAAATAATTGTTAATGTATATAAGAAAGAAAATAAATAAAAAGAACCTTAGCAATTGTGATGACATAATTTATCTAACCTTAAGAAAAGAAATAATGGACAAAACATACAATAAAATTCTTAAACTGAACATATTCAGGTTTTCGTGTTCATTTTATCATTTCTTGAAATAGTTTAAAAAATAGAAGTCTAGAAGCCTAATCATACTTTTAAAAACTTTATTTCATGTTCCTCTAACAAATTTTTTCTGGTGCTAATTTTATAGGTTTATAATGATTATTTCTGGCATTTGCCATCCGTTTTATCAAAATTTTATATGATCATCGTTTATCCAAATTAAGCACACTTGCATGATTGTGATAAAAATACAAACAACCATTTTGCCTATATCAGTTCTACTCATTAAACATCTTTCTGACTGAAACCAAACCAATCTACTTTAAAGCAACAGAAAAACAGAAAGTGGATTGTAAATAAGTATTAAACACTTACCTTTAGTTTTCCTTAAAAAATCTGCCAAAAAAATGTTTTCAGCAGGCGTGTCCAGTCGTACAAGGTAAGCTCCGCGGTTCTGACAATACACCTGTATTAAACAAACGGGATTTAACATATTTAGTTGGTTGTTTTTTTATTATTTTTTGAACACGGGTTTTTTATTTGTCTACATATAATGGCAGATTATCAGAATTTCAGCAAATGCAAAACAAATAAAAAAATTCTACCTTCTCTGTTTTTTTTTCTAGTTCTAACTTAGGTGAAAAATACAATAAATCTGGCCACTTTTGATAACAAATTTGACGAATAGATATCTATTCGACCAAAATACCAGGAAATACCTTTTGATGATACAAATATAGTCATTGATTAAAGCAGCATGTCTCCAAATTTATGCTAATTTTCATGAAAGTTTAAATAATGTATTCGAATGTAAAATAGTGTGAAGTGGACTGAGTGGGTTATTTACAAATTGCAAATGACACTTTGAATCTCTGTAAATTACCAAAAGAGGTCAAAATATGCAAAATAAGGAATTACTGCGTTAGTCATACAGTAAAATTTTATGATATATACTGCAATTTCAGTCATTACTGACAAATAACATGTATATTTTCATTTGTATGTTGAATCATTTTGCTTATCTTGTAATCTTAGTACATTTTCTCTCAAGTTTGATTATCTTTAAATATTTTTGCTAATCTGGAGGCATGCAGCTTTAAATGATGAAATTTTCATAAACGAACACTTGATAAAAATAATTAACTGGAATATGAATATATATATAAATATTGTATGTGTACATTCAGTTAACTACTAATATGTCGTATCTATACTAGAAATATATATTTGTTGTCTGCCTCACCCGTGCATCAAAAAATGAAAGAGGCGTCCCATAACCAATGTAGTAACAATGACCATTATAGGGTATCCAGCCATCACTGCAGCAAGCTTGAACAAAAAAAGTTAGCTTTTAGAGATGTATGACATTTGACATATTTTGATGATGTGTTACTACCTACCGCTTCTAAGAAAATTATTTAATGATATTCATCACAAAAAGAATCCATAATAATGCTGATGATAATAATAAAATAATAATAATAATAATTAATAATAAGAATGATAATATATTTATCTAAAGAAGGTAACACATGAAGATATACCATGTAAAAATAACAAATAACATACCTTAATCTAAATGAGGCCTTCCCTTCTAAATTATATATAAAATCACATATATACATGTAATATATTATAAAAAACTGTTTCATTTAATTTGTCAAATAATAAAATATACACCTCAAAGGTGTTGCTTTTGAGTTAATTTTTTGGACAAAGTGCCTCAATTAAGAAATTTCATGACAAAGTATAATCTAAATAAACACCCATTTTTTTTTCGTATTTTCACATTCTCTTCTTCATTGCTTGGCAATCCTTAAAGATAGTTTATAATTTGTTTTTGTTTCGTACATAATATCATGCATATGTTTTATATGGATGGATAAACATTGAAGTGTTCTTTCTACTGCATTTAGATCATGATTAGATACATTTACAGTAGAATCGCCAGCTTAAAGCTATGTATTACCAATTGTTGTAGCTAGAGCGATATCATATATATACAAAAAGAATAAAAGAGGGCCGAAAACAAATCCCTGTGGAACTCCAGAAGTTCAAGCCTTCTATTGGACATGGAACGTCCAACTATATCAACTTGCGTTCTTTTTGATAGATACGATTTGAAAAAAAAAATGGAAGGATATTTTATCTGAAAAATGATGAAGTTCTATGTTATGCAATAAAATTTTAATTTTCGGCAAGATCAAAAAAGTTTTTCTTATATCTAAAAATACAATTAAAACATAATTAGCAAACTCTTTATCTATTTGCCATCATTGTTTTTCAAAGATTTTCGAAATTGTAGACAGAATAGATATAGCCATGTTGTTGCTTGGATTTTCTTTATCGTCGATGTTAAACAGGAGGCTGAGACATGTTTAAATATTCGTACCAGCATCGTCATTTGTTGTTTACTCTTACCCTATTCAGCGATTATCTTTACAATTTACAATATCTTTATTTCACTCAAGACATGCACAATATATACATGACAACATGAGGTAAATAATACAATAGATATAAATCGAGGCACCGATCAATCATAAATCCACTTGGAAAGATCGAAATTCTATGAAATAAATAATTGTTTCTATACTAATTTATAGCGTCATTCTCGAAAACAGTGAATGAAAAAGAAAACAAACAAAAAAAAACAAAAACAAATACAATCATACATAATTGTACATATAGCATGATATATTTTAAACCTGCTAAATCTGTGTGTAATTTCAATATAAATAAGGAAAAAAAAAAAAAAAAAAAAAAAAAAAAAAAAAAAAGAGAGAGAGAAAAAAAATACATGATATTTCTCAGGATATTTCTCGCCAATAGTAACAACGGGAGAATAACCAAAATTGTTTAACCCAATATTTTTTTTTCAGTTACTATATAAACTAATTATTTCTTTGACCAATTCACAAAATTTTCTATATTCCACTTTTTTAAAACACTTGTTTTCCATTAATTCTTTATAAATAATGATATTTGGTCTGTTGTAATATTTTGCTTTTAACAAGCGCTTACGAGTGCCTAACAAAAAAGAACATTCGAAAAGATAGTGGAATTCATCGCCAATACCATTGTTGCATTTCGTACAAATTCTAAGATTTAATGGGATTCTATGCCAAGATCCAGTTTCTACAGGGAGTCTATGGCTTCTTGTTCGGAAGTTAATCATATATATTAAGTATTTAGGTGGTGTATTTATTAAGTATTTCTCAAATTCAAATTTTGTTTTAAAAAGTTTATAATTTGCACATTTGCTCGAATTTTCAATATTTGAGTACCAATCATTCAAGAAAAGATCAGAAAGTTTCTGTTTTACAGTAGTTGTTAACCATTTGGTGTTTGGAAACTCGTGGTGCGTCCAAATACCACTTAAGCCGCATGTAATTAAAATGTTTTTGATATTAGTTAACCATAAAAATTTATTCTTTTGTACAGTATTTGAATTGTTAAATTGACTAAGTAATAAACAATACAATGTAGTTGACAATTTGTTAGATTTGGGGTAAATCAAATTTGACCAAAAAGAAATCATTCTTGTTTTAATATCAATAATCAATGGTTGAACTCCAGTTTCACCATATATAATACTATTAGGTGTACTTGCTTTAATATTTAAAACAAATTTCAAAAATTTTAATTGTACTTTTTCGATTATGTCCAAATTTCCATATCCCCATACTTCGCATCCATATAACAAAATTGGCTTAACAGTTTTCATGAAAAGTTCTATTTGCAAATCTATTGGCATTAACAAATCTCTTGCTTTCTTTATTAGGGAATACATTGCTCGTGTAGCTTGTTGTGCTATAGCACGCTTTGCATTTAAAAAAGAACCACTTCTACTAAATAAAATACCCAAATATTTGTAATCGTTTGTAACTTCAATGTTTTCTCCTTTAAAAGTAAATGTAAATTGTCTTGGTCTTCCTTTAGAAAAAATAACAATATTTGTTTTTGAAATATTAACTTGCAATTTCCAAATATCACAATATTGCTCATATAAGTGCAAAGAATTTTGTAAATCCAGTGCTGATTCAGCAAGTATAACAGTATCCGAATTCACCGACAGTTTCCATTAATTTCCGTTACTTAATCACATGTCATTAAATTCATTACAAAAGATTAAAAGATATTTCTATTGCATTATGTCAAAATATTGATTGGAGGTGACAAACAATCAATTAAGCAATTATAGTAGATATCAAGGCAAGCTAAGTGTAATTTTCACACCTTCGCAGATAATACGTTTCACCCATTAATCAAGAAAAATTACTCTTATCAGTTTGGTGTATGTTAACACCTGCAAGATGTGCGATTATATTTTATTTTGAATGTAGGTGTGACATTTGGCAAAATTTGTTCGGATCCGAGAGGTTAATTTTAGAGTAAAATAAGAACAAAATTGAAAAAATCGTCCGGAATTCGGAGAAGACAGGTTCCGGAACCGAAAGGTTAATTACAATTGAAAATAGAACGAATAAAATCGGGACCGGACACTTCATTCGGATATGAAAGGATTCCGGATTAGAAGGGTTCGGATTAGCAAGGCTCCTGTATGAGAAACGTACGGTGTCTCTTCCGTTAATTGAGCATGCCAAATTGTTTATAAAACATTTTACCTCTTGCATTAACTCCTGACACTAGGCTTGTTACAGCAAACAGGAATGCTACAGCAGTCTTCATATTGCCAAAACCCAACAGCATATCTAGATGTTATCAATATATGGTTATTTGGACAGGTTATAAATGACAATATTGTATAAATTGTTGCTTTCGTAAAGACCTCAATATACAATATATTTTATGCAGTTTTTAACAAAATGAATATATAACTACCAGCTTGCTTCTTTCAATGCATTAGTACATGCATAACAAAAATGCAAATACCACGGTAGTGTATTTCAAACAATAACAATAAAAATAATTAAACAACGTGTTGTCTTAAAAAATATATAAATAGTGGATTAATTTATTTTATGTTATTTCAAAAATATCGTACTTACGAATAAGGTATTATACTATTTTAACACTGTCTTTTCCAGATCCTACCAATCTTTTTGAATTAGTGGGTTCTTCTTTCTTCTTAAATACAATCTCATCACATGGTCAAATGGTCTCGTTATTGTTATATTTTGCACGTATGCACGTTACGAAAATGCCAAGTGATCATGAGAAGTAACTGCTGTGAATTAGAATTATTTACGTTTGAATGAGACGAAGGATTAAGTGCATGTTTGCAACAAATAAAACCGAATATGCATACAGTAGTATCTCTAAAGGCTTATAAAATATGATGTGTGAAATATTGTTTTGTTCTGTATTTAGTTTGTTTATAATGCAACATGAAACACAAATTATTTTAAGGAATTGATTACTTTTTAGATCATTTTGCAAGTTGTTTTGCTCTGATTAACGCAAATGACATCGAAATATATTGTTAAGTGTGAGGATATTGTTGGAAATATGCTCGAGGACAAATAGATATTGATGCAGTTATACATTTAAGAAAAGGGGAAACGTGTTTCTGCTTTTCTGTTGATGTTCTGGTTTACACAGAAAACTACTAAAGTCAATGTTTCAAAACTTATATTGAAAATCTGTCCAAAAATGCCGAGTGTCAAGTTTTCATGTTGTCTCTGTATACGGTATTTAAGTAATGCTTGAGGAAATCATTACATCAAGCATAATTAAACAATTACAGTATATTAAACATTCACAGGTAATCCTTTCCCAGGACTGTTGATGTTTGCAGGATTTACGTAGCAAAGTCTTGATAAATCTGTTAATGCTTTCAAGAATTTAATATTAAACATTTGTCAAGTGCTTATGTGACAGCTGTAAAATGTTGCCACGTTATTGTGCATAAGCATCATCTTTGATATGAATAACAAGTCGAGACGGAATACAATATGGGTTAGTAACAAGTTTGATCTACCGAGTCTGCAACATTGTTAATTTTTCTGTTTTGGGCGTTCTTTATGGATTTCGTTTTTCTTTATTTTAACACCTTCCACATTATAAATTCTCACCCTCTAAAAATTCCATTTTATTTAGTTGAACTCATTGCCTTAATTGGTTTGTGTAAAACACACCACTTTCGATTACTTGGGGGACAAACGCCGAACGTCTCCCATAATTGAAGAATCTATTATGAACACACCTGCAAATTTTCAGTAATACAAAATTTCATCATCTTTCCATAATACAAAATTTCACCATTTTCATGTTTAAAAGCTGAATTCTGCTGCAGTCGATGCAAGGTGGCGTGGCAGTAGCTTGCATTTACCACTAGCGTCAGTAAAAAATCGGGTCTGTAACATTTTCTGGGCGTTCTTTAGGGGTCCGTTTTTTTCTTCTTTGGAAATAGATATTTTACTCGGAATATAAAAACAACGCTACATGAGTAACAAATGGCTTGATATGGACTTTTTGATTCGGAAAAGGAAAAAGAGGGTAGACTGATAATATTTGGATCCAATAACGATTTCCTTTGAAACACCACGTGGTTCAAACGCTTGAGATTTATTGGTTATATTTAATACAGTAATATGTTATTATTATATTTATAAAGATCATTTTGTTCTTTGTTTGGTTCAACTAGCAAAATAGTTTTATATCGCCTTAACATGTTGGTCATAGCCTTAACTTGCTAATTAAATTATTGGTTTATGTTATAAGTCATTATGAATCAACATAGAAACTGTGCACATGGGGGGAAGTGGGAACAACTTTATATGGATCACCAACATGCTCAACTTTAAACGTGTAGGTTTCTGATATTTCATATGAGGTTTACACACCAATATATGGTATTTTAAATAGTCTCGAAAACAATGCAACAATTTGCCAAATATACCATAATATGCTTTAAAGAGAGTGTCATTGGTAGATACAGGTGAGTTTACAGTTGAATCCCCAACGATAAACAAAATTAGGCTACTGATACCATCTGGTCAAAATGCTTGGTCTACGTTTAGAGATTTGAGAATATCTTCTGTTTCAGATGCATTTAAGAAACGATCATGAAGAATAGTAAAAATTGACGTTGGACCTAAAATCAGGTACATTAGTATTAGAACCTTCAATATAAGTTCGTTTAAAAGGTTTGCCTTTTGGTCATCAGATAATTCAATTTTGTGATTGTCTAGATTTTGTTGGGGGAATTGAAGTCGTTTTTGTAGGACAGATAAAATACTTTAATGTGATTTATCAATCTCTTGAAGATAAGGGTCCGCTTTAAGTTTGTCTGATAGTTAAGTGTAATATATTTATTTAGCCTCTTTTATCTGAAATATTATTTCAACCTAATTATTCAGTCAGTGAGTGTGTGATTGAGTTAATTTTGCCTTTCTATTAAATCGTTTACATTTGTTTATATTTGATCTGATAGTATATGTCATCCATGGAGCAACTAATGATCAGCCATATGTCGTCACATTGGAGCAAAAAGTCATGTAACTCATTTTTGAGTCGCCTCTACGGAGTAGTGGCGACAAATAGGGATCACTTCTCCGTCGTCTATCTGTCCGTCTGTCTGTCTGTGTCCGTCCGTCCGTCACAAAACTTGTCCGGACTACTCCTCATAAACTACTGGTGCAATTTCATCCAAACTTTACAGGAATTACCAAGTCTAGTTGTGCATATTGTCAGCATTTTCCGGTTCAATGATTTTTGTCAGAGTTATGGCCCTTTAAAATTTTTTAATTTTAAAGTTTGTCCGGACTACTTCTCATATACCACTAATGCAATTTCAATGAAACTTTACAGGATTGATCTGTAGCTCAAGTCCTTGCGCATATTGCACGGGTTTTCCGGTTGAATGATTTTTGGCCGAGTTATGGCCCTTTGATAAAAAGGTGTTTTTTTCTGTGTGTTGCCAGATACACAAAAGCTTGTCCGGACTACTCCTCATAAACTACTAGTGCAATTTCATCCAAACTTTACAGGAATGGTTAGTACCAAGTCTAGTTGTGCATATTGTCAGAATTTTCCGGTTCAATGATTTTTGTCAGAGTTATGGCCCTTTAATAATTTTTAATTTTAAAGTTTGTCCGGTCTACTTCTCTTATACCACTAATGCAATTTCAATGAAACTTTACAGGATTGATTTGTAGCTCAAGTCCTTGCGCATATTGCACGGGTTTTCCGGTTGAATGATTTTTGGCCGAGTTATGGCCCTTTGATAAAAATGTGTTTTTTTCTGTGTGTTGCCAGATACGCAAAAGCTTGTCCGGACTACTCCTCATAAACTACTGGTGCAATTTTATCCAAACTTTACAGGAATGATCAGTACCAAGTCTAGTTGTGCACTGTCCGTCTGTCTGTCCGTCTGTCACAAAATTTGCCCCAACATGAAATTGGCCATCATGAGGCGACACATGTGATTACTGATCGCTCTTGTTTTTTAGAAAATCACTTTTTGTCATTATTTGGTTAAAAATGAAAGGTTTACCAGTCTTTTAAGTTTAGAAGATTAATTTTGATAAAAACATGACTTTTTTGGCATAAAAATAAAAAACGTAAGTACAGGGTCACACTACAGTAAGTACACTTACATGAGTTTTTGCGCCGACATTTTTACAGATAAGTTGAAAATTCTTTGATGCAAAAAGTATTGTAACTGCATTAAAATATTTCACTTTTGCATTATCAAATAGCAAAATTATTCTCAAATACAAATTTTATATATAAATCTACTTTAGGAAACTAACATTTAAGGAAAATGTTTTTGTTTTTTTAAATTTATATCTGTTTATCTAATCTTTCTATTTATCAATATTTTTAAATCTCTGCGTGCCACCAATGACAACAAATAATATAACTAGGAATTTTTCAGTATTCAAATTTTGTTGATATTTTAAAAATGATTCAAGTAATATGAGAGATGTCATTGATTTGGTGCAAAGAAAATAAAAATGAAAAATATTGGTTGATACACCTATATATCGATAATTACATGCTTTAAGTATTAACTACTTGTCTGTAATTCTTTTTCATAATTGTTTAAATGCTTCAAATAAAAATAAATGTGTCCTGTTTCAAAATAAATGCCCATTGCATGATTTTTGCTAACATTTCTTTTTGTCATAATTGCTATGAGATATGCTTCTGCATATGTTTGGGGTGAATTTTCATAATTTCTAGACATTCAATTATTATATCAAAATTATCCGATTTTCTAAAATGTGTACTGATCAAAATATCAACGATACATTAATATAATTTCTATCAATGACAGATCTAGGTATTTTTTTATTATTTGTTACTCAATTACATGTATTTATTATGGAAATAAAGATAAAACTTGCTTTAAGAACATTTTATTGCATTATATAAGGACAACAGTTACTGTATTGTAAAATGTAACTGCTATTTCACAGTTTAAAGCCTTGGCAACCATGAAGCTTAGTGCTACATCTGGAATTTAATATTTCCAAAAATGGGTTTATCTTTTCTTAGACTATAAAAATATAGCAGACAAGGCATGTAACATATTGGTCAAAACCATAATTGCTAGTATGTTACATCTGATGTGGTGCATCTACATTTCCCATACATTCATACAATATAGAATGGGGTCATATCAATAAATATGAATGACTCAGCTCATTCCCTATGTCATGCATGTAAAACACCTTAATTAACAGAAAATCACATTTCTCAACAATTGTATACAAATTTCTCATAGATCCAAACCATATTATGTCACAGAAACTAGTATAGAATCAAATCTATTCAACCATGATAGTGGTATGGTGTATAAGGCTTTAAGTTTTGTGGCAGGAAATTGAATTCAATATATCAAAATTTTGTAAAGGAGAAGCAATGAAAACAAATTTATATAAGAATTAAAAACTCCGGTTTTACTGAGTCTGTTCATTAGAGATAATATAAAAGTGCAACATTTGACCCTAACTATCTCATCAGAATAAAGTCCCAAGTGAAAAGGCTTGTAAGATTCTTATCAAAATTCTAACGAAGACATGTTTATGCTATGTTGGAGAAGAAAAGTTTAGGATTCCTAGCTGGTTGATCCAAAATCCCACATCCAACAAAAATGTTTAGAAAAGTTCAGGATTCCTCGTGTATTTATCCAAAATCTCAAAGTCTGCATCCCTGTGATGGTTGAATATTATTGAGACATTGATATATAGACCTGTGAATACCCCTTTCAATCACAAATACATAAATAAGCTGTACTATTAGAAAATGACAATAGTCAAAAACATGGTTTAATAAGTTGTCCCATACTTCATTTGCAGTGTTATTTTTTCGAGATCATTGGTTGCAGCACTTTTTAAGTGTTGAAAATTGAGTACTGCTCAAGTCGTTGCTAAGGGGCATGCGGGAAGTTACACTTTTTCATTATTGCTCATGTGCAGACTAAATCAAGCCGGATTTGTAGTTTTCTTGTAATTTTGTTGTGATTAATACTTACACTTACTTAAAATTAATTTGGAAATTTTCGGTTTTAAACTTCCATTCATATGTTTAATCTATTTTATGTGGTTCATAATCCACAATGATGCACATTAAACCAAAATAACAATTGAATTATTTCTAATAAACATCATTAAATGGCCTCCGTGGTAGAGGGGTTAGAGTCGATGACTTCTAATCCAGTTTCCTCTCTGGCGTGGGTTCGATCCCCGGGAGATGCTTTGGTAGTTTAGCGCGGAGGAAGGAAGTCTAGTACTGGTGTAACTCTCCAGGAACGAAGGATAGGAAACTACCCGCCTATATCACTGAAATACTGTTGGGAAAAGGCGTAAAATGAAACAAACAAACAAACAAAACATCATTAAATGTCTATACCATGCAGTAACTTCAATACTCAAAATCAAAAAGTTAGTACAAAAATGTATGGTTAGTGCACTTACATCACTTTTGCGTTTAAAAACACAGTGCAAACAGCCTTGTAAGTGTAGAAGAATGTCTAATTACTTTTTATATAAAAATGAATAATTGTAATCTTTAAAACCAATTTATTACTTATTACTGATATTTTCACATCATTGTCTGGTATTCAAAGTGTTTTTCTGAAAATGAACAAATCAGTTTTTTGTGTTTCCTGTAAATTTTTTAAAATGTCAGTTACTGTACTTTTTGCGCCAAGGTGACGATATATCTTTGTTTGGTTTACTGTTTTTAGAGAGTCGAATAATTTGGTGAAAATGTTTTCAGCAGTCTATTTGTTGATATAGAGATCAAAGCATTCGTCCCATTGAAAATTGTAAACTTCATTTCAATTTTTTTTCGTAAATCTCCACGATTTTATTCCCAAAGAGTATACTGAAGACTTTGTTGTTTTGGTTTCTGAAATTAAAAAGACAAGATATTGGAATATGGTAACTCTGTTGATGAAAATATGCCCCCTTACGCCAGATATTGATATTTGTATTTTTGTTTGATGCAAAGACAAGTGCGTTAGATCTTCAATGATTTGTTCCATTCTAAAATGTTGACTGAAAAAAATGTTTTTGTTATTGATGAGAGCATCGTAATTGAACTCACCTGTTATTATAATGGCATTGATATTTGAGTTAACAGCAAATGCAATAGAATCTTCAATATCATAATAATAATGTGAATTTGCCATTGGAGGATGAAAAAAGACCAAATAGGACACGATTATTATTTTCAAGTGTTAGTTCTATTCGGAAAATTTCTGCACGACTGCGTTTTAAGTCATATCTTCTTTAATATATAGATTGTTTTAACATATACCATAACTCCACCATGGGAATCACCTGTTCGATATCTCCCGCCGGGTTTATTGAAGAACAAAAGCAAAGGTTATCAGTTGACATTGACACTGTATCATTCAGCTTTGTTTTAAGTATTAAAGCCCTAACCCAAGTAATATGTCCAGGAGATTTCCGCGTGGCTTGGTCATTTTTGGCATCGCGATTTGTTCTTTCTCTATATAAATTTCGTAAAAAAAACATCATTTTTACGAGCCTTCCGTTCAAAAACCATCTGACCAATTCCTTTGCGAATTTGATTTTGTACAACTATTAAAGGTCTACTTTACATGCTTTACGTTTTAAAACCCGTACCCAAGGAACATGTCCAGCAGGTTTCCGCATGGCTATGTCTATTTTCGGCGATTTGCTCTTTCTGTATATAAAGTGTATAAATTTTTGTGAAAAAAAACATTATTTAGAGCCAACCGTTCATACAGTGGTCTTTCAACTTCATATCAATGTAAATCAGTTCTGTTGTGTGTGACAAAAACGCGCTTGAGAGAGCTCGATCGTGCAGGAATTGATCTCATGTACAGTTCGCCATTACAAAATAAACGCTATGTACTTAAAAAAAATCTAGTTGATAGTATTAGTTTAAAGGATCTTCTTCTCTAGTATATAAGGCTAAAAGGCACAAAGATTTAACTCAAAGAAAATAAGAGCAACTACTCAACATTCAATAGTCGCTATTCGGATCGGCGATATGTTCTTTATTCATATAAAGTCTTTAAAAATATTCGTAAAAAAAAACGCATCATATTCACGTGTCAACTGTTGAAAAACGATTCGACCAATATCGTTGCAAATTCGATTTTGCACAACTTTGGGGGGTCTTCTTTGAACACTATAAGGCCTAAAGCCCTAACTCAAGTAAAATGTCCAGGAGATTTCCTCGTGGCTTAGTCATTTTTTTTTTTGCACCGCGATTTGTTCTTTCTCTATATATATTTCGGAAAAAATCATCATTTTCACGAGCCTACCGTTCAAAAACGATTTGACCAATTCCAATGAAAATTCGATTTTGTACAACTTTAGATGTACTTCTTGTACAAAAAAGGCCTAAAGCACTTAACAAAGTAATATGTCCAGGAGATTTCCGCGTGGCTTGGTCATTTTTTGGCACCGCGATTTGTTCTTTCTCTATATAAATTTCGTAAAAAACATCAATTTCACGAGCCTACCGTTCAAAAACCATTTGACCAATACCGTTGCAAATATGATTTTCAATAACTATGGAGGGTCTTATTTGAACATAATAAGACCTAAATCCCTAAACCAAGTAATATGCCCAGGAGATTTCCGCGTGGCTTGGTCATTTTTGGCATCGCGATTTGTTCTTTCTCTCTATAAATTTCGTAAAAAAAAATCATTTTCACGAGCCTACCGTTCAAAAACCATTTGACCAATTCCGTTGCGAATTTAATTTTTACAACTAAGGAGGGTCTTCTTTACATGTTTTGTTAAGGTCCTATCCCAAGGAATATGTCCTGGATAATTCCGCATGGCTTGGTCATTTTTGGCATCGCGATTTGTACTTTCTCTATGTATCTTTCACAAAAACATCATTTTCACGAGCCGACCGTTCAAAAACCGAATCGATCAATTCCTTTGCTAATTTGATTTTGTACAACTTTGGTGGGTTAACTTTATATGTTTTAAGTTTTAAAGCCCTAACCCAAGGAACATGTCCAGGAGATTTTCGCATGGCTAGGTCATTTTCCGGCGATTTGCTCTTTCTGTATATAAAGTGTATAAATATTTGAGAAAAAAATCAATTAGAGCCAACCGTTCATACAGTGGTTCTCCAACTTCATATCAATGTAAATCTGTTCTGGTGTGTGTGTGACAAAAACGCGCTTGAGAGAGCTCGATAGTGCAGAATTTGATCTCATGTATAGTTCCTCATTACAAAATGAACGCTATGTACAAAAAAAATCTAGTTGATATTATTAGTTAAAGGGATCTTCTTCACTGCTATATAAGGCTTAAAGACTCAAGGAAAATAAGAGCTACTACTCAACGTTCAATAGTCGCTATTCGGACATGTAATATGTTCTTTATTCATAGAAAGTCTTAAGAAATTTTCGTAAAAAAAGCATCATTTTCTCGTGTCAACTGTTGAAAAAACATTCGACCAATATCGTTGCAAATTCGATTTTGTACAACATTGGAGGGTTTTCTTTGAATATTAAAAGGCCTAAAGCCTTAACCCATGTAATATGGCCAGGAAATTTCCACGTGGCTTGGTCATTTTTTTGAACCGCGATTTGTTCTTTCTTTATATACACGCCTGGTAATGATAGAGCTACCTCTTTCGGAGATATATGGTAAATCGCTCTATCGCTACTTCCGAGCTAGTGCATGTCGCTTAAATCAAGTGTCAAGTGTCAAATTTTTTATATATTTTGTAAACACTACACCAGATATCAAAATTCGGAGAATGCTATGCGATGTAGATATGATTAAAGTTTCCAGAAAGCGTGAAGTTATAATACTTGTGTTTGAAATGTTGTTGTGGCGGCGTTTCCCAGATAGCGAATTCAGCGACATAACTACCTCCTTCACGACAGGGCTGTCTCCAAGAACAAATATTTTTTTTATTTACAAATATTTTGATCTGATTTTAATCTTATTTCATTTCTAGACCTAATATCTACTTGAAACATACTTTTTTATAATCTGAATCGCTGTTTAGATAAAAATTGGAGGAAAAACAATCTGATTCATGATGAAACGGTCAATTTCAACGCTGAATTCTCTAACTGGGAAATGCCACCACAACAACATTTCAAACACAAGTATAACAACTTAACGATTTCTGGAAACTTTAATCATATCTACATCGCATAGCATTCTCCGAATTCTCCAAGATTACGCAAAGCAGAATTATGGTTCTTTTGCACTGCACATCTATCGTGTGAGACATATCTATCTTGTTGATATCTCTTATAGTTTCAGAGTTATGTCCCGGACAAAGTGTATAAAGGAACAAAGGGCAATAACTCCAAACAAAGTCAATGAGTAACGTTTTTTTGACCTGCACATCTACCTATTGAAGTTTATCTACCTACAAAGAATCTTATTGATAGTTTCAAAATTATGTCCCGGACATTGTTCAAAGTGTCAAAATGAACAAATGACAATAATTCCATAAATGTATAAATACCATTATTTATTAAGCATTTTTTGTAGATCTAGTCGATAAAATTAAAAATGAAAAAAGGTACCGCGGCATTCAGTTATTCACGCTCTCATGCTGAGTCTTTCTCACATAAGCATGCTGAAACTTTCTCACATAAGAAATTAATTGAACTTTGACACGGTAAATCGTTCCATTGATAGGCAGCTATGTGACTGAAATGCACACAATGTTCATTGTTTTTATGATTATCGGGTTGGTTGGGTGCCCAGTCAGAGAACGAAGCATGTTGGTTTGTGCCGACCCATCGCCATATACCTTCACGAAACAGGTCATCCAAACCCATCCAGGTATGTAATGTTGTAAATGAGTTTAAATTTGCTGAGTAAATGAATCTAATATAAGAAAATTAGATTTAAAAATAAAGTGTTTTTAATATTTTATTTTCACCAAATTTAAGCGTTTAATCCAAGAGTAGTTTCGTTATGATTATAAAGAGTTATAAATTTATACAATCTTTCAGACATGAAACATTATGATTACACCAATTAAGTCTAAACCATACTAGTTATGTGTTAATACATTTGTTTTTTTTTTCTTCAGGTTCCTGGATTCCCAAATCATTTGTCAAATTTGCTAAAATGTACGTAACATTCAAATATTTTTGCTAACGGAAGTTATTCAAAGCATCTAAAATAAGTTAAAAGAATTAAAATTGCACCGTCCGTCCGTCTGTCTCTCCGTCTGTGAGTCCCCACTTCATTCGTATCCGGACTGTAACTTTGTCATACATTGAGAAATTTTAAATTAGCTTGGCACAAATGCCTACCACACCAAAACGATATGTTCCGTCCAAGGACCACGTCCCAACCTCAACGGTCAAGGTCACACTTACATTTTGAAGTTTCACATTATCACAATTAGAGTAATAAAGTACACACATTCGTTTCCGGACTGTAATGCATTGAAGGATTTTAAAATAACTAAGCATAAATGTCTACCACACTAAGACAATGTGTCGCGTCTAAGAATTACGTCTCTACCTCAAAGGTCAGAGTCACACTAACATTTTGAAGTTTCACTTGATCACAATAAGAGTTTACAGGTACACAAATTTGTATCCGGATTGTAACTTTGTCATGCATCGAAGGATATTAGAATAACTTGGCATAAATGTCTACCACATTAAGACGATGTTCCGCGTTAGAGAATCATGTCCCTATCTTAAGGTTAAGGTCAAACTTAAAGTTTTAAGGTACTTATTCTCCCTAGAAGAGTTTGAAGATACACATTTATGTCTGGACTGTAACTTTGTCATGCATGGACGGATTTTCAAATAACTTGTCTACCACATCAAGACGATGTGACGCGGCTAAGGCTAATGTCAGTTAAACCGTTCGTGCAACAATATGTCAAGACTGTAAATTTGTCATGCATTGAGGGATTTTCAAATGACTTGGCACAAATGTGTACCACATGACAACATTGTGTCACGTCCAAGAACCACGTCCCTACTTCAAAAGTCAAGGTCACACTTATATTAAGAAGGTTCACATTATTACAATTATAGGTGCAGACATTCACGTCCGGGCTGTAACTTTGTCATAATACATTGAGGGATTTTGAAAAAGCTAGGCACAAATATCTACCACAAGATGATGTGTCGCATTTCAGAACCACATCCCTACCTTAAAGTTTAAGGTCACACTAACATTTAGAAGCTTCACTTTATAACAATAAAAGTTTAAAGGTACACAAATTTGTGTCCGGACTGTACCTTTGTCACGCATAGATAGATTTTAGAATACCTTGGCATAAATGACAACCACATCAAGACCATGTGTCGCGTCAAAGAATCATGCCCCTACCTTCAAGACATGAAACGTTTTCGAGGGCATTCGTCACTTGCGTGACAGCTCTTGTTTGCAATCTTGTCTGGCTTCAAAGTTTATCAAAGTACAAGATTATCAAGGACTTTACCTTTGATTTTCTTCAGAAACTCTTTCAGAAAGGTATTTTCATCAGGCGTTTCAAGCTGGACAAGGTCTGCCCCAAGATGTAAACAGTACCGCTGATATGTAAGTAAACATCTTATACAAACTAATGCAGATACTTAGATTTTTGCCTATATTTTATCAATGGAAACGCATAAATACATGTATTCATGTACGTGTTCTTTGACAATGTCAGTTGAAAGAGAGACATACACTTAGATATAGAGTCATGCTGGCATAAAATTTACTTAGGATTTGTGAAAATTGTATCGATTATGCTTGCTTGTTAATGTTTTCCAAGTTCAAAAGTTCACAAAGAAATCGCAACTATTTTAACGAATCGAATCATTCAAAAATTAATTGATTTAAGAGCTTAGGAAAATCGTTTTTGCAGGTAATTATCTGCATTTTACTGGTACCGTATGTTTATTAAAGTCCATTAACGCATTAAACGACAGCATAAAATAAAAAAGAGTGTTCATACCCTTGCTGTAGAATACGGCAGTGTCATGCGCATATCAATGTAGTAACAATGCCCGTTATATGCAAACCATCCATCTTCGCAGCAAGCTAGATAATTTAAAGTGAAACAAAATAATGCATTTATTTCGATTCTAGCAGCAGCAACTTGTTCTTATTAAAACACGACTCAAAAAAGGAATAAAAAGTTTTAGCCGAAAAGAACTTTGTTGCTATATTTTCTGGTCCTTCTGGATCATCGATTCCTGCACTATTAAGTGTTGAAAATTGTGTACCTCTCAAGCAAGTGCTGTGGGCATGAGGAATGATGCACTTTTTCATTAACACCCATGTATAAACTTAATCAAACCAAGTCTGCAATTTTGATGTTTTTGAGGGATCCATTTTTCCAGACATTTAGTCAGGACAAAAATACGATGTAAATGAAGATCTACTGAGTAGAAGTTTATACTTTCTGTTGGAATCCCTTACACATTGTATTTGGACTGTTCTCGAAATATATACATCAGTTTATGTGAAGTATAATAATCTTCTTTTATATTTGAAATAAACAATAAGAAAATATAAAAATCATATAAATAAATATTATATTAAAAGTTTACTTTCTTCTCGATGTAATAACGTCGTTTTTATCTTTACCTGCATTGATTGTTGGTAACAGGCTTGTAATAACGAGCAAAGTTGCTAAATTAAAAGAAGACCTCATCTTGCAAATTCCTTGGAATAGTACAATATTCCTAAAAATGTTAAATGCTATATATATCACAATAGAATATATAATATAATATAGATTTTTTTTGATTTTTTACTTAATTTTTTTTAATTAATTAACAACAGTAATTGAACTATATATTTGAAGAAGAACATGTTTTAAGAAGAAGTAATTAAATGGCATCAGCAAAAACAATAAACTATATGCCAATGCAGTAACCTGGATTAATAAAATCAACAAAAACAAAAGAAAAAAAATGACAATATGACAATTTATCATATTAATAAAATGAAAATAATAATTGTTAGTTATTAAAATACATGTATGACTGTTCAGACTAATTTATTTACGTACTAAAAATACAACTTATTCCTCGCTAGCGCTGCTGGTCAATGTTAAAATACTGATACGTATAATTATACTATTATACACGGAGAAAATGTTTTCAAAAGAACTCGAGGGTTCTAACTGATCATATGTATAGATCTGCGGAACAAAAACGAAGTTTTACTTATAGTGAAGTCACTGGATAGTAGGAAAAGAAAACATTTTTCATCGTTTATTATATACCATTAAATTTCAACTCACAAAGGGGTTTTCAGATACAATCGATTAGTTTTTGAAATTGCATCAGTACCAAAGTTTAATCGAGCAAATCGTTGGTGACATTTGAAATAATGAAGTCAGTCTTGATATTATGATAGTGACTGGATCTAATGACCAGGAACATTTTAAAACACTTGTTGAAGTCTTTAAACGGTTGGAGGAATATGGTCTCCACTTGAATAACGAAAATGTGCTTTCCTTGAGAAAAAAGTCAAATTTCGTGGCCATGAAAACGATGCTGATGGACTACATAGAAACTCTCTAAAATAGATGCAATTGGAAATACGCAAGATATCAAAAATGTTAAAGACCTTCGATCATTTTTGGGCCTTATTAAGTATTATGCGAAATTTGTGCAAAATCTTTCAACTATGTTGTATCCTTTACATCCGCTGTTGAAAAAGAATACTCGATGGATATGAACAGATGAATGTAAATGGGCTGTAGAAACAATCATAAAAATGATTACACCAGATCTAGAACTCATCAATTATAACCATGACTTACCAATTATTTTAGCTTGTGGCGAGAGTTCATTTAGTTAAGGCGATGTACTTAGTCAAATAATGCCAAATGAAACAGAACGACCCATTGCATTTTACAAGGAATGTCTTGCTATGTATTTGTTCGAGAAGTGCTGTTAATTACATATTATAAACCACGGTAATCCATTTTTGAACCAAAAACGGATTAACTACAACTATAACTGCACGCCTGCAGTATTTCTTAGTGGATACCGTTATCAAATACAGTAAAAATATACATCAAGCGAATTGTGACGGTCTCTCTGGAATGCCATTACAAATGGTTGAAACTGTCCAGTTAGATGCAACTGTTTACTTTATAGCCACCAATTTGATAAATTACCTTTGTCACGTGATCAATTTGCTTTGGAGACACATAAAGATCCTATTGGGTCCGAAGTGTATCAATATGTTAGTAAAGGACATGAAATTACGAAAATGTCAAACGTTTATGAACACTCTACAGGCAGATTCAAGGAACTCTCTGTTTACCAAGGATGCCAATAATTGGGACATTCGCTTGATTAATTCCCAATTATTGAGACAGGTTGTACTTAATGATTTACATGTTGGCATAATTGAAATGAAATCCCTGGCACGAAGTTATGTATTTTGGCCAGGTATTGACCATGATTTAGAGAGTACAGCGCAGTCATGTGCTGGATGAATGATGTTCAAGAAGCTCCAATATATCCATGGGAGTATCCAGAGAGACAATATGTGTGATATGTGACTATCCAAGGGATCTTGAGAAAAAGCTCGCATATGACAGGGAGTCTCTTTAAACAGTTTCAAAGCTTCTATATACCATTGTGACTTAACATGTAAAAACGATAAAAACAATTATTGCTTTAAATACTATTGAAATTCCACCAGCTATTTTACCGGCTATTGTTTTTGTGATGAATTGGTTAGTGACAACGGGTCGCACTTTGTGAATGATGAATTCCAGAATTTATTATACAAACATGGTAAAAAACATATTCGAGAAGCTCCATACAATTCAAAAGCCAACGGATTAACTGAACGATTTGTGCAAGCTTTTGAACAGACATTGGAAGCTTCCAAACATGATTATGGATCTTTTCAAACTGAATTGTCCGGGGTTTTAATGCAGTACAGAGACAGTGAACATGGCACAACGAAGGAGACTGCTGTTAAACTGATGTTCGGGCGCACGCAACTCGTTTAGATAAATTTAAACCTAGTTAACAAAACATGTGCAGAAATCACAGTCAAAAAAGAAGAGATCCACAACTGATAGAAATTATGCTGCGCGAGACACAGTAAGGGTACTCGATTACCGTGAAAAACATGAAACATGGATTTTGGGAGTTATAACTTCTCAAACAGGGCCAGTGTCATACAAAGTAAAAATTATTCCTGGTATTACATGGAAACGTCTCACAGAACAACTGCTGAATTATAGTTATTTACTATAGAGGTTCCTCAAATTCTTACGAGAGATACTGAGGCTGAAATAAAAGATAAGTTTACAATCTAAGAAATCTACTGTTCCAGACAAATTCAGTCAACCAGTTGTACCATTACGACGCTCAAAACGTACAATTAAAAGGCCTAAAGTTAAATTTATGAAGTAAAAGTTTTTTTTAAACTGTGAAGGGCATAATACTCCCCCTAAATAATAATTTTAATGTGAATGTTTATTGGATTGCTGTGTTACGTTTCTACTGGAAAGTGATAACTATAATATGACTGAAGTGTTTGTAAATCCATTTGAATCTACATTTTTAGTCTTTTTTTGTATTTCAATACAATAAGTATATGTACAAATTTTACTTTTGTTAATGAGGTTCTTACACTTTATTAAATACCTTTCCCTTAAATACTTAAATTAACATCACAATTGTAATAGTTATTTAGTGATAACATTATATGCGGGGTGTTCAAATACGAATGCAACTGGGTCAATTTTTAGAAGTGCTGAACAAACAGTCTCAATCCTTCACAATACTCACCACCATGTAATATACAAAGTTTTAGTCCTTTAATCCAATTTTAAATACGTTTTTATAATTATTTCGAGGTAAACTGTTCAGACAGTGAAAAATAGACGAACCGAGATTTTTTCGCCTTTGATATTTTCTTCCAGAAAGGTGTTTTTTGAGCCTCGGGAACAGGAAAAAGTCACAATGGGGCAAGATCTGACGAATAAGGAGCGTGAGGAAGCTCTACAACCTTTTCCTGTTTCAGATATTTTCGTACAATGGCCGCTTTGTGTAACGAAGCATTGTTCTGCAACAACCTGACAAAACGGAGACCAGTTGCTGGTTGGTGGTTTTTGAATTATTTGTTTAATTTATAAAGGACTTTGCCTTTGTAAAACTTGGCATTTACCCTTTGGTACGGCAATTTAAATAGCAGATCCTTATTTGTTTAAGAAAATTACATACATGACCTTTTTGACGGTCATGGAGCGTTTTGCTTTGCAAGATCCTTGACTTCCTTTGATTGCCCATATTTTGCTATGTATCTTTCGCTTTGGCTCATAATTGTGAGCGCACTTCTCATCGCCAGTGATGAAAGGTCGAGTGTTGTATTTATGGAAATGTTTCAACAATGGAGATTCTTACCCGAGCAAGTTTTTTCATCTGGCACTTATCCTTCCAATTTTTAAAATCATATCTGAGATTTTTATGAGCGGCTCCTACAGAGATACCAACTCTTTATCTGTATCACTTTGTTGTATATCTTGCATTAGTAGCAATGAAATCTTTTACTTTTTCAACCGTTTTTGCCGAAGTTGCAGTTTTCGGACGGCTTGCATGAAATGCATTTTTTACTGAATCTACAGCACTTTTTAAATTTCTTACACCATCATGTTACAGATGAAAAAGAAAGTCATTGTTCTCATAAACAGGACATATTCCATTTAATATGTCTTTCGCCAGTATACGAAAAATACAGCGGTTCTTGATATATTGATATAGAACCATATTAAGTCTGTAAAAAACGACCTTTTTCCAACCATTTTATGTTTAGTATACACGAGAGATAGAGTTAATCGAGCTATTAAGAAAGCTAGACTGAACTGTGTATTGAGAGCCTTTACAATCATCTATGCGATGCATGTACATAGTTTGTGGTTAAAAGCGAGATAATGGCCTAGTTGCATTCATATTTGAACAGTCCTCGTACCTAAAATGAAAAATGAAAAAACATATCTCTCGAAACCTCTAAATAATTCATTTATGGCAGTTTAATTAATATGAATATTTCAAAAATACAGGATTATCGTAATTGATAATTACCTTATATGACTTCAAAATAAGTGTAGGGTTTTATGTATCACTTGTTGTTTTGTTGTTTTTTAATTAACCTGGCAACTTTTAAGTGACCAAGTCGTCTACCTTACATATTTACTTACTTTGTACCGGTAACGAAAATAATTACAACAACAATAACAACACGTTGTCTTTTTCTTTATATGAATATTACAGCTTAACAATTACCTAAAACCTTGTTTCCTTCAAGATCTTGTATGTTTTTAAATGCGTTTATTTAAGGTCGCCACCGGAAAGCCCATATAGGCGACCGTACACTCAAGTCGGGCCATCCTAGAGCGTCCCGCCGAGATTTTTTCGTCGAAAATTTTCCAGCTTTAATTGGTGGAGGAAGACCCCAGGTGCCCCTTCGGGGATTATTTCAGGCACGAGCGGGCACCTGGGTAGAACCACCGACCTTCTGTAAGCCAGCTGGATAGCTTCCTCACATGAAAGATTTCGACCCGAGTGAGGATCGAACCTACAGCGGTGAGGGACCTGTGATCTTAGGTCAGCGACCTTAACCACTCGGCCACGGAGGCCCCAACTGTGTGTACACCACAATTGCAAAAAAATATGTATGTAAATAATTATGCAAATAAAACAATTTTCAAACATCGGAGAATATGTAAAATATGTTCTGCAAATATTTGTGCACATTATATTCAATCAATAAATTACATGCATTCATTTTTATTGGAAAATTTGACTTAGAATTTATAGAAAATATATTTTTAATTACCTCTTTTTATTTACATGAAATGTTTAATTGGGTAATATCGTTATAATTAATGCTTATTGGAACTTACAATATTGACGAATCTTAATTTGAGCATCATATTTATGAAATAAAACCATGAAAAAATTGTGTTACAGGATCTTTAAACTTTACAGTACCGATAATTTTTTTTTCAAAATGACAAGCGTGGAGACACCCACTTCAGTATCATTTATTTTGAGCACATTCGATGACTTTAGATTCATCAGAAATATAAATAAGTAAAATTATGTTCCTCCTTTGTATTATTTGATTTGGATTACCAATGATAAAATCCATGACATCGACCGCAATACTCACAGACAATTGATTAAATACCAACAATCAAAACAAAAAAATGAGTAAGCTTGTGTTTAAAGCAAGTAAAAACGAACATTTATATAACACCGTATACTAAACGAGGCCAAACGTCATAAAGAGCAAAAAATCGGTCTAAAACTTATTTTTCTATATTTGTTGAGAGCTATTAGTGATGTAAATTGTTTATAAATCATATAACTTCTTGCATTAACTCCTGATACTAGGATTTAAACTGCAAACAACAATGCTACAGCAGTCCTCATAAAGCATGCCAAAGCCTTCTAGAGTTTAATATTATATAGTTATTTGGACAGGTTATAAATTACAATATTATATAAATTGTTGCTTTCGTAAAGCGTTTTTTATGTATAATAAACACTTTTATAAAAGGCTTTTAAAACTATACAAAGTAAAAACTCTGAAAACCGGACCTTCTGAAAACCGGAATCCTCTGAAAACCGGACCATTTTAAAAGTCCCGTATTTTCTCCTTATATGTTAATTGAAAAAAAATCCTCTGAATACCGGAACCTCTGAATTCCGAAGACCGGACGATTTTCTATGGTTTCTAATGATAAACATGCATAAAAAATCCTCTGAAAACCGGACAGCAATTTTATGTGTCAATGTTCTGTGTATTTTAATGTAGATTTAAACATTATCTTAACTGGTTTTGATTCAATTACCAATTAATGATCATGTCTTTCTTATCTATGCAGGTGTGAAAACACTTGTCAGTGTGTGTTAATTTCTTATTGGCAACTAAATTAAAGCTCTTTTATCATAATTGTGTCTTTCTCTGTATAGGTATGATTTTCAAAATGTTTTAAATTTGTTGTGTGTTTTTTTAAATATAAAATGTCTAAAAGAATTGGGGACTATTGTTAAATGATTCCTGTTTTGCTTAAAATTTTGACATTGAAGTTATCTTTGTTTGGATATTAATTAAATGCAAAAATAGTAATACTAAATTACATTAATTACATATTTCAAAAACCAATTAAAAGGATATCTTTAAGACAATGTGTTGTTTTAATTTCTGATTTTCAGAATTATATTCGTGGATTTGCATAATAAATTACTAAAAGACATTTATTGCAAAAAGAAATTAAAATAATATGACTTAGACAAAAGGGTTGAAAATGAATACAAAATGTTTGAACAAAGTCATTGTTCAAACACATTATAATTATCAATAAATGTGTAAAACCTCTGAAACCCGGAATCCTCTGAAAATTGGACTTTTGGTCAAGTCCGGACAGGGTCCGGTTTTTAGAGTTTTGTATTATTAAACATTATTATGTTCTAGACATAAAAACAAACAATACAAAAGTTTACGATCTTGTTTGAAAAGTTTCAACTTTTGTTTTGGTTTTATACACAACAATTAAGTTTTCATTATATGTAGAAAGTTTTACTTATTTCATATTTTCCTTACTTGAAAAATGATAATAAAGAACTATAGTTTTTGAATAACGTCAAATAAATCAAAGTTAAATATATATGAAAAGATTTGTTTGTTTATCGAGACAGGTAACTGACATTTTAAATAAAATAAGGGTGGGGTATAAGAAAATCCGAACGATTTTGTCAAATGTAATCGGGGCATCAAATATTTTTAATAATAATTGTTTAGAAACTATTCTTAACATTTGTGCAAAATATAAAGTAAGTTTACCGTGCTGATTTTAAATTATAATCATTAAAAATTTGTTATGCTATTTAATTTTACACATTTTATAGTAAATGTTATACATTATTCTTCAATTGTTTTAATTATAAATTATAGATATAAAGTTAGAAAGACAATTATACATGTAATCTGACAACACCAAAACCGAAGAAAAACAAAAATGAAAGAATTGCATCTTCGGGGGGTTTGAACTCATGTCCTATCGATAGTCTCCTCACTGAAACTGAATACTCTTCCGAAAGGATATATTGCATTAGGCATCCAATACCTTAAATTACTGTATACATTATGTATCTTTTTAACAAAATGAATATGTAAATACCAGTTTGCTTCTTTCAAAGCATTAGTACATGCATAGCATAAATACAAATCCAAATAAAAAATATCAGGTGACGATTTTTTAAATCACATATATATAAATCTATATATTTTGAATTAATTTATTTAATGTTATTTCAAAAGTATCGTACTTACAAATTAAGTATTATACTATTTTAACACTTCTCTTCCCGATCCTACCAAGCTTTCTGAGACAGTGGCACGCCCGTTATGATATATACTCTTAATATATGTAAATGCAATTTCATCAAAAGAAACACATGGTCTTGTTATTGTTATATTTTGGCACGCATGCTTGTTACAAAAAAATTAATAAATTCGGATTCGAATAATCCTGTCGGTAGATCTGTTGCGAGAATGTCACGAATGTCAAGATAAGTAACTGCTTTGAATGATTAATGTTCTGACGAGAGTAAGAATTTGTGCATGTTTGAAACAAACAAAACAGGTTTATCATATAATCTATAAATAATTTGACATGCCTTTTCCTGATTGGCTAACAAGCAAAGTTTTGTAAAAAATATCACGGAGTGTATTTACTTTTTTTTTTTTTGTTATTGTTTTTTTTTTTTTTTTTTTTTTTTCCAGAAAAATTGATTTTCAGAGTATATTCACCATATTTTTCTACAAAAAATAGATTTTCTGGAATTTCCCTGTAAGACGCAAGACTATGGCGTGACGTCACGCCAAGTTTGTGGTTATCATTCTGAAGAAAAAAACACTAAAAAACAACAACGACAAAACTTTTGGTGACTTGTAAATGAGAGTCAAATTCGTCTATTTTAGTAACCGTCTTTACATTCAACAATTTGAATAAACGTGTTATTGCGCTCATTTAAAAGACAGGGCAAAGTTATTGAATTTATTATTTCCGTTGTATGCAATATAAGATTAAAAAAGCCATATAAAAGCTATTTAAAAATTCTTTGTCTCGGCCAATAATATTTTTTTCAGTACATATCCCTTCATATTCACCGCTTAAAAGTCTATATTATTTTGTAAAATATGCATACAGAAGTATCTCTTATGAAACATACAGTGTGAAATACTGCTTTGTTTTTAGTTTGTTTATTATGCATTATAAAAAACAACATTATTTTAAGAAATTGATTACATTTCTAGATTGTATTACAAATTGTTTTGTTCTGATAAACGTAAATAATATTTATATATATATATATTGTTAAGCGTGATGATATTGTTGGAAATGTGCCCGGGGACAAATAGATAATGTTGTAGTTATACATCAATTAACGTTCAAAAACGGTGAAATTTGTTGATGTCCAGCTTTACGTAGTATACTACTTAAGACAATGCCTCCAATGCCTCGAAACTAATATTAAAAAACTGTCCAAAAATGCCAAGTGCCAAAATTTCATGGTGTTTATGCATATTTAAGTACATGTAATGCTTGAAGAAACCATTATAGCAAGCATAATTAAACATTTGCAGTATATCAAACATTTACAGGTAATCCTTTCCAATGACATTTGATTTAATGCAAGATTTACCCGGCAAAGTCTTGATATATCTGTAAATACTTTCGAGAATCTAATAATAAACATTTGCCAAGAGCTTATATTGCAGCTGTTAAATGTTGCCACGTTACTGATATAAATTAATTTCATATGCTCGAAGAACTTTGTATTTTCAATTATAATATAGACATGATATGAACATTGGATCCGATAAATTTAAACGAGTCTAGACGAAGAACAAGTATCATCAAACCAAACCTGCAACAGTGTCAACATTCTGATGTTTTTGGCGTCCTGAAGGGATTTTGTTTTTCTTGTCTTTATCACCTACCAAATCATAACTTCTGACCCAATCAAAAATTCCATTTTATTTAGTTGATCTCATTGCTTTAATTTGTTTGTCTAAGGCACACCTCTTTCTTTTACTTGGGGCTAAACGCCAAACGTTTCCAATTGAATAATCTATGATCAAATTTTCCGTAATTCAAAATAGCACCATCTTCCATAATTCAAAGTTTTACCATGTTCATGTTTAAATGCTGAATTCTGCTAAGTCGATGCAAAATGACATGGACGGTAGCTTGCAATTACCATTATTTCTTTGTCTGGTTCATCCAGCGAAATATATTTATATCGCCTGAACATGTTGGTCATAGCCTCAACTTGCTAAATAAGTTATTTGTTTATGTCAGAAGTCATTGTGAATCAACAAACAAACTGTGCACATGTGGGAACAACCTTATGTGGATCACCAACATGCACTATTTTAAATGTGTAGGTTTCTGATATTTCATATGAGTTTTACACACCAATATGTGGAGCGTATAATGTAGTGGTTGAGAATACATTTTTGTTAAATATCAAGCATTGTTTGAAAACCTCGAAATAGTATTTCGACCTTATTTTCAATATTTTAAACAGAGGTAGATAAAAATGTCAGGTGTCATGTACCAAACCTTTAATCCTTATGATTTCTGTTATATATGCTGCAAAGCAGCTTAGATGAACTTAAGGAGATAATTTAAGTAGTTGACATGAAAAGTGGTTAGCGTTATAAACCAGGTATCTATTATGCTGTTCATGAGTCAGTTTCGACAGAGCTAAAATATCATTGTAATTGTAACCAAACTTCTGTTAACTAAATAAATATTAAAAATAACTTTTATAAATTGTAGCAAGAAACATCCAATTGAAGTTAAACTTACTTCTATTCATTTTTATATGAAGAAGAAGATATATGAAAAGGAAGAGAAACACCTTGTAAGTATAATTGGGCTTCTATCCATCCCGTACTTAATTATAACTCTACACCACCACACCAATATGTAACATGTACGTATCAATTAAAAAGCAGCCTATTCTTTACTATTTTGTATACCTTTACGAATATGTCAAAATTGCAATTTACTTGTTCGATATAATGGTTGTAGGGAATCTTTAATAGTTATTTAACGTATTACTTTTATACAAAGAGAAAGTACTAAAATTTTATTTTATGTATTTTTGTCATACAAAGAGAAAAAACTAAAAACTTGTTAGAGATCGCTTGTTTTATCTCAGAGTGTGTACCGTATCACTTGGTCGAAGCTGTGAAAAATAACTCTAATTGAATCTTCTCAGAAACCATTTAGTGATCTTCTTAATTTTGATATACCTTTGGTAGTTTGAACAATAACGGTTAGTCTGCACCCTATCCCGTCAAAATAGAATTGTTAACAACACAAATATTGATAAAAGCATACCTAAATCGGGAAAAAATTGTCACGTGGTATCGCCACACTGAGGAGTATTCATTAAATATTATTGGAGATAATTATCACAAAATAAAACGTCTACTAACTTTCCAAACAACCCTCGATAATATCCGTCGTTCAAGCATGAAATAATTACATAAGCAGGATTCAATTTTCTATTAACATAAGCAGATAAGCAGAAACAGATTGGTTATACCAAAAGGGGATTTATGAAAGTGTTTGTTCAAATAGTGTTATATTCAGTGGACGTGATATTATGATTTTAATTTATATTTCACTGTCTAAACCATTACAATAATTTTCATTTTCTGTTGTTGCTCTTTTTATATTGATATGTGAGATTATCATTTTGATACAAAAGAAATAAGTTATATGATGTAATAAGAAATAAGAATATTTAAAGAGCTTACAAGTATAAAGTTTTGGCAATTGCAGTCAATCAAGAACATTTCTATTCACGGCGTAAAATGAAGACTGCTTTGGCATTGCTTTTTGCTGTTACAAGACTGCTGGTAGGAACTAATGCTAGAGGTAAAATAATTTATAATACGCAAAATCATTTCTAGCCCGATACAAATCATGGAAATGAAAATTCTTTAACAATACGAGATAAGTAAATTTTGAATTTCCAATGTGTAACAATTTTACAAATGTGTTAAATCACGTACATTAGGAAATGCATAATTATATCTAAAGGTATTTTTTGAATAGTTTTGGTATATAAATTGATGCTTATCTTTTGTTTATTAATTCAGACAGAAACGATCACTTAAATAGTACCACCGATGTGAGCCAGGTAGATTCCTCGTATGACCGAATACAAAGTCCTTGACGGGATGCAAACCTAAAGCGGTGGGGGGCAAATGGTTTGAAGTCCTTACGAAGTCCTTTGAACGACCTTAACCACAGGGCTTCAGACGGCAATCTGTTTGGTTTCAGCATGCTGCGATGATGGCTGGAAAGCATATCAAAATCATTGTTAACACATCGGTTATGGGAAGCTTCTTACATTTGCTGAGGCACAAGTATGTGTAAACAATCAATTGTTTTCGTCTTAATTTACACAAGTTACCATAAAGCTCTATTTATATTGAACACTTTTTTAGTAATAAGTACATAATTTCTAATGCAAGGAATTTTTTGTTTGTTTTTAATCTTAAACCAAACCATTGCCACTCTGGTTCAATTATTATTATTTTTGTCGATATTTTGAATTTATAATTTATATTTAGTAAACTGTTAGACTATTATTTTGTTCGATTCATGGTTTTGAAGCTTTTTAAGTTAAGAAATTTACCAAGTTGATGTTTTATGCAGAAATTTAGAAATATATTTGAAACTACAAAGAAATGTATCTGATTTAAAATGCTTGTTTGTTATATCAGGACTACTGTCAAAATCTCAGTGCTAACCTTCTCCGGCTCAAAACGTTAGCTGAAAATGATTTCCTAAATATTTACTAAACAACACTCGATGTAAATTTTTTTTTCTTTAAACATTTGTTTAAATCAAGATTGCTTTTGTATGAGTATAAAACTGTTGAAACACATAAGAATGTTTAATCGGTTGACTTTTGCGAACAATTGTTATTATGTTTGTGGGTGCATTAGAAATATCGCCCAAAAAGAAATATTTGGTCAAAATGGCATTAGCCTAAGGAAACATTGTTTTAAAAGGGATAATACTTTGGCTGTTACTGTAACTGTAAGCAAATTCTAATTATTCTTACTTTGTTTAAAAGCTATTTTGTATATTTGATGAAAGTACTTCGCTTCTGTTATGACAAATTATTTCACATTCATTGCTGACCTTGGAACGGTTAGCAGCACAAGTACTGCTGGGGAGTTTAAAGCAGTTAATGGTGCACCAAAAATAAGTTTAACACCAAAATTATCATATAGAAACAATGATCATAACAAAAGTACTTAATGTCTTACAGGAAGACAGAGCAACAAGAAAATCACCTATAAGGGTCCGACGAAGCTAGGCAGAACACGAACATTAATGAAATTAAGAACTGTTCATCATAGAGTCTCCCACTTGGTCCGTCAGATTTAATCAAAAGAGGAAAGCCTAACGTTCAACTGTAAAAGGGTTGAACATTAAGCATGTGGTATGTCTTAAAAATCACACTAAATATGGGCTACAATCAAGTTTAAAGTGCAATACGGGACAACACGGCATTCGATACATGCTGTTGTGAGTCATAAACTTGTCAGAACTTTAATATAAACTTAAAATAATAACAATACAAATATCATTATTAATTTGATAATAAATGTTGCGATTTATTGTAATTCAATTTTGCACAATGGTAACATTTTACTGCCGCATGACACATCGTTCCACTTGTAGTTGGAACTGACATCGAAGTGTACACAATCTTCAGCGTTATTATAATTGTTGGGCTCCCCAGCTCCCCAGTCAGAGAATGTAGCATGCTCGTTTGTGTCAAACCATTTCCAGATTCCTTCATGATGTTGGTCGGTCAATCCCATCCACGTATGTTCAGCTGTATGTAAGGAAAGATAATGAATATTCAATACAAAGAATGAATATCAATTCCAACAATATCAACGAACTATGTTTTGTACGAATTCGGTTCTGTACAAAACTAGAAATTTGTGATGACATACTCTATTTAACCTTTATAAATCTATAACAAAAACATACAATAATTTGTTCTTAAATTGTACAATTTGAATTTTAGTGTAGATTTGATAATATCTTAGAATACTTGAAACTAGAAATATCACTAAAGGTGATTAATATCCTAACCAGCAACCTTGACATTTTGAATTATAAGTGGTCTAAAAAAAATTGAACTCAACCTAAAATTTATGAAGTTTCAAGTGAGTTCAAGATATTATTTCAATAAATTGCTATCCCAACTAGGGTATTCATATAAGCCTTCTTTACATTAAATTTGATTATATTACCTCATTCCTAATTCTAATTATGGTCCGAAAACCATTTTTTCTATTTTAAGTAACAATTACCCTTGACCCCAGGGGGTTCAAATGGAATCACCGCTTATTCAAGTTAAGCACAAGTGCATGATATTGATCACAATACTTACAAACATTTTACCTATATCAGTTTTGCTTTCTAAACATCTTTCTGTGCATAAACATAACCAGTTTATTTTAAAGAAACCGAGCAACAGAAAAAGGACTGAAAAATAAGTCTTAAACACTACCTTTAGTTTTCCTTAAAATGTCTGCCAAGAAATTGTTTTCAACTATGTTGTCAAATCGTACAAGGTAAGCACCACGATCGTCACAGTACGTCTGTATAAAACAAACATGTTGAAACATTAACTATTAGTTTATTGTTCGAACACGGATCTTGTGTTTCTTTTGTCTGCATATAATGGCACCTTATCACACATTCAGCAATTGCAAAACACATAAAGAATTTATAAATTCGACAGCCTTTCTTTTTTCTAGTACAAAAATACAATATATCTTGCCACTACTGACAACAAATTTGACGAAAGGATATCAATACAATTAAGATACCAAAAAATTCCTATTCATGATACAGATAAAGTATCGATTCATGCTAATTTTCAGCAAAATTTTGAAAAACTAGTAATAAATAAAATATTGTGAAGTGAACTGAGGAAGTAATTAACACACTGCAAATGACACTAAAGATCAAAACGAGGTCCAAATACATAATAAAAGCTTTTACTGCGTAAGACACGTAACAGATGATAGAAACTACAACCCACACGTTATATGTACATTATTACTTTAATGTTGAATTTTTGTTTTGCTTTTTTTTTAATCTAAGTATATTTTCTGAAATTATTTTTTTCCTGAAATAGTTTTTTTCATTTGGAGGCATGCAGCTTTAAATTATTAAATTTTCATAAAACTCATAAACCTTGACAAACACTTGATAAAACAATTAATTACCTAATACTAATATAATAAATGTAATACTATGTGTACTTTCAGTAAACAACTAATATATCGTATCTATAGTTAAAGAATATATTCATTGTCTGTCTCACCCGTGCCTCAGAAAATGTAAGAAACGTCCCATAACCAATGTGGTAACAATGACCTTGATAGGGTATCCAGCCATCATTGCAGCAAGCTTAAACAAAATGTTTAGCTTTTATAGATGTATAACATTTTGACGTACTTTGAATATTTAAGTGTTACTACGTACCACTCTGTTGAAAAAATATCTAATAATATTCTTAACAAAATAAGCCATAATGTTCCTCCTTTACATCCATAAATTTGTAAATTTGGAGGACTAATAATAATATCAACGAAATCACTGACGTTAAATCCACTTTATTGATTGATTAAATACCAACAAGCAAAATAATAATAAAAAAACGAACAATTATATAGGATACAAGTACATAATTAACGAGGCCAAATGTCATTACTTTTTCTATATTTGTTTTGAGCTGGTAGTGATGTAAATTGTTCATAAATCATTTACCTCTCACATTAACTCCTAACACAAGGCTTGTAACGGCAAACAGAAATGCTACAGCAGGCTTCATTCTGCTTAAGCCCAGTATACTTAAAGGTTATAATTATATTATTACTTGGATATGCTATAATGACAATATAGTATAAATTGTTGCTTTTATAAAGACTTCAATAACTGTATACATTATTTGAATTTTAACAAAATAAATAGATACAACTTTGCTTCTTTTAAAACATTATTATATGCATAGTAAAAAAAATGCAAATACCCCCGTAGTGTATTTCAAGCAATAACAATCAAAATAATTAAACCGCTTGTTGTGTATTTTAATTATTTTAAATCTACACAGAAAATATTATGTAACAATTTTTCAGTTAGATAAATATATATTGTATTGAATTATTTCACGTTATTGCAAATATCATACTTACGTATAAAGCAGTGTAAACTATACTATTTTAACACTCTTTATTCCTTCTCGATCCTACCAATCTCTTTGAGCTAGTGACACGACAGCGGTACTATGTTCTTTTTGTGAATGCAACCTCATCACAAGTGACACATGGTCTTGTAATTTATTTGTTTTTTATGAATGCGTGTTTCACAAAATTAGCTAAGCATTCGTAATAAACAACAAATATATTTATCTTTTATCCCCCTCACCCAACACACACAGTGATAATGTCAAGCAAAGCTTCTGTATTGATCATGAGAACTAATTGCTGTGAATAAATTATGCTCCGATGAAACCAAGGATACGTGCATGTTTAAAACAAACAAAACCGAATATGTATATAGCAGTAGCTTTAGTGAAACGTGTAGTGTGAAATATGGTTCGTTTCTAGTTAACCAATAAAGTTGATTACCTTTTTATTGGAACTGACTTGTTCCATGTCGTATGAGCATGTATGTCAAGAAAACATGCTCATACGTCAAGACGCAAATCAGCCACCGTACCTATTACGTATAATCATTTTATAGCAAGCATAATAAATATTCACATGTAATCCTTTTCAAAGACAGATGATTTATTGTAAGATTAACGTAGCAAAGTCTTGATAAATCTGATTAATGCTTTCAAGAATGTATTTTGACATTTGTAAAGAGCTTATGTGGCAGCTGGTAATTGTGCATAAACATTACTAGAATTAATTTAATATGCTTGTAGAACTTCTATTATATAATTTTGATATGGATATTTGAGCTGATGAATTAAAACGGGTCTAGTATCAAGATTAATCAACCGAGTCTGCAACAATGTCAATTTTGCTCTTTTGAGCGTTCTTTATGGATTTCGTTGTTCTTTTTTTTTATTACCTACCACATCATAAATTCGTACCGTATCAAAATTCCATTTTATTTAGTTAAACTTATTGCTTTGAATTGTTTTTGTAAGGCACACATCTTTCTTCGCCTCTTCTTTTACTTGGTGACCAAACGCCGAACGTTTCCTATTAAAGAATCTATGATGAACACACCTGCGAATTGTCTGTAATTCAAAATTTCACCATCTTTCCGTTATACAAAATTTCACCATTTTCATGTTTAAATGTTGAAGTCGGCTACAGTCGATGCAAGGTGACGTGGCAGTAGCTTGCAATTACCACTACCGTCAATTAAATCGAGCCTGCAACCTTTTCTGGGCGTTCTTTAGGGAGTCCGTTTTTCTTCTTTTGAAATGGATATTTTACTCGGAATATGAAAACAACGCTAGGTGAGTATCATATGGATTGATATGGACTTTTGGATTCGGAAAATGAAAAAGAGGGTAGACTGATAATATTTGGATCCAAAAATGATTTATTTTGAAATCGTTCCTCGTAAAAATACTGTCACCTTCGGCTACGCCTCGGGTAACAGTATTTTCCTCGGGATGATAATTTTACTGTTGCCCACAAACCCATGTGTTATTTATATAACAATTCTTCATTGTTCATTCAAAGAGCTTACATCTAACCACAACATTTATCTTTATTTGGAAAATTTACCTTTACTGTAGAGGAATTGATATAAGTATTGTTTTCCAGCCTGGTTTTCCTTATTGTGAAATGTTTGTAAATGTTGTTTATATACAATCATTTGAATAAATAAAGTTTGAAATAAGAACGATTGCATAGAAAATTTGATAAGTGTATCTGTATTCTAATGAGAGAAAAAACTTTTAAAGAGGATAACATATTAATTAAACTGAAATAGTTTTTTTCATTTGGAGGCATGCAGCTTTAAATTATTAAATTTTCATAAAACTCATAAACCTTGACAAACACTTGATAAAACAATTAATTACCTAATACTAATATAATAAATGTAATACTATGTGTACATTCAGTAAACAACTAATATATCGTATCTATAGTTAAAGAATATATTCATTGTCTGTCTCACCCGTGCCTCAGAAAATGTAAGAAACGTCCCATAACCAATGTGGTAACAATGACCTTGATAGGGTATCCAGCCATCATTGCAGCAAGCTTAAACAAAAAGGTTTAGCTTTTATAGATGTATAATATTTTGACGTACTTTGAATATTTAAGTGTTACTACGTACCACTCTGTTGAAAAAATATCTAATAATATTCTTAACAAAATAAGCCATAATGTTCCTCCTTTACATCCATAAATTTGTAAATTTGGAGGACTAATAATAATATCAACGAAATCACTGACGTTAAATCCACTTTATTGATTGATTAAATACCAACAAGCAAAATAATAATAAAAAAACGAACAGTTATATAGCATACGAGTACATAATTAACGAGGCCAAATGTCATTACTTTTTCTATATTTGTTTTGAGCTGGTAGTGATGTAAATTGTTCATAAATCATTTACCTCTCACATTAACTCCTAACACAAGGCTTGTAACGGCAAACAGAAATCCTACAGCAGGCTTCATTCTGCTTAAGCCCAGTATACTTAAAGGTTATAATTATATTATTACTTGGATATGCTATAATGACAATATAGTATAAATTGTTGCTTTTATAAAGACTTCAATAACTGTATACATTATTTGAATTTTAACAAAATAAATAGATACAACTTTGCTTCTTTTAAAACATTATTATATGCATAGTAAAAAAATGCAAATACCCCCGTAGTGTATTTCAAGCAATAACAATCAAAATAATTAAACCGCTTGTTGTGTATTTTAATTATTTTAAATCTACACAGAAAATATTATGTAACAATTTTTCAGTTAGATAAATATATATTGTATTGAATTATTTCACGTTATTGCAAATGTCATACTTACGTATAAAGCAGTGTAAACTATACTATTTTAACACTCTTTATTCCTTCTCGATCCTACCAATCTCTTTGAGCTAGTGACACGACAGCGGTACTATGTTCTTTTTGTGAATGCAACCTCATCACAAGTGACACATGGTCTTGTAATTTATTTGTTTTTTTATGAATGCGTGTTTCACAAAATTAGCTAAGCATTCGTAATAAACAACAAATATATTTATCTTTTATCCCCCTCACCCAACACACACAGTGATAATGTCAAGCAAAGCTTCTGTATTGATCATGAGAACTAATTGCTGTGAATAAATTATGCTCCGATGAAACCAAGGATACGTGCATGTTTAAAACAAACAAAACCGAATATGTATATAGCAGTAGCTTTAGTGAAACGTGTAGTGTGAAATATGGTTCGTTTCTAGTTAACCAATAAAGTTGATTACCTTTTTATTGGAACTGACTTGTTCCATGTCGTATGAGCATGTATGTCAAGAAAACATGCTCATACGTCAAGACGCAAATCAGCCACCGTACAAATTACGTATAATCATTTTATAGCAAGCATAATAAATATTCACATGTAATCCTTTTCAAAGACAGATGATTTATTGCAAGATTAACGTAGCAAAGTCTTGATAAATCTGATTAATGCTTTCAAGAATGTTATTTTGACATTTGTAAAGAGCTTATGTGGCAGCTGGTAATTGTGCATAAACATTACTAGAATTAATTTAATATACTTGTAGAACTTCTATTATATAATTTTGATATGGATATTTGAGCTGATGAATTAAAACGGGTCTAGTATCAGGATTAATCAACCGAGTCTGCAACAATGTCAATTTTGCTCTTTTGAGCGTTCTTTATGGATTTCGTTGTTCTTTATTTTATTACCTACCACATCATAAATTCGTACCGTATCAAAATTCCATTTTATTTAGTTAAACTTATTGCTTTGAATTGTTTTTGTAAGGCACACATCTTTCTTCGCCTCTTCTTTTACTTGGTGACCAAACGCCGAACGTTTCCTATTAAAGAATCTATAATGAACACACCTGCGAATTGTCTGTAATTCAAAATTTCACCATCTTTCCGTTATACAAAATTTTACCATTTTCATGTTTAAATGTTGAAGTCGGCTACAGTCGATGCAAGGTGATGTGGCAGTAGCTTGCAATTACCACTACCGTCAATTAAATCGAGCCTGCAACCTTTTCTAGGCGTTCTTAAGGGAGTCCGTTTTTCTTCTTTGGAAATGGATATTTTACTCGGATTATGAAAACAATGCTAGATGAGTATCATATGGATTGATATTGACTTTTGGATTCGGAAAATGAAAAGTAGGGTAGACTGATAATATTTGGATCCAATAATGATTTCTTTTGAAATCATTCCTCGTAAAAATACTGTTACCTTCGGCTACGCCTCGGGTTACAGTATTTTCCTCGGGATGATATTTTTACTGTTACCCACAAATCCATGTGTTATTGATATAACAATTCTTCATTGTTCATTCAAAGAGCTTACATCTAACCACAACATTTATCTTTATTTGGAAAATTTACCTTTACTGTAGAGGAATGATATAAGTAATGGTTTCCAGCCTGATTTTCCTTATTGTGAAATGTTTGTAAATGTTGTTTATATACAATCATTTGAATAAATAAAGTTTGAAATAAGAACGATTGCATAGAAAATTTGATAAGTGTATCTGTATTCTAATGAGAGAAAAAACTTTTAAAGAGGATTACATATTAATTACAAATTGGAACAGAATAGAAAAACTGTGTGTTACATGCACGTATCAATTAAAAAGCAGCGTATTCTGCACTATCTTTACATGTCAAAAATGCAATTAATTAGTTCGATATATTGATTGTAGTAAATATATAATAGTTATTTTACGTATTTCTTTCATATAAAGAGAAAAAACTAAAAACTTGGTATAAATCGCTTGTTTTTATCTCTGAGTGTGTACCTACCATATCACTCGGTCGTAGCTGTGAAAATGTTCTCAGAAACCATTTAAGAGTTTCCTTAATTTTGTTTTACCGTGGGTAGCTTGTACAATAACGGATACTCTGCGCCCTATCTCGTCAAAATCGGTAAGGTAACAGCACAAATATTGATTAAAAAAATACCTGAATCGAGCAAAAATAGTGTCATGTGGTATCGCCACACTGATCAACAATATTGATTGAATATTATTAGAGAAAATTATCACAAAATAAAACTTCTACTAACTTTCCGAACAACCCTCGTTAATATCCGTCGTTCAAGCATGAAATAATTACATGAGCAGGATTCTATTTTCTATTAACATAAGCAGATAAGCAGAAACAGATTGTTTGTACATAAAATGGGATTTATGAAAGTGTTTGTTGAAATAGTATTATATTCAGTGGGCTGATAGTTCGACGTGATATTATGATTTCAATTTATATTTAACTGTCTAAACCATTACAATATTTGATATTTGGCTTTTTTATGAATTATCTTTGTTGCTAAGAAATAAGTTACAGCTTTCAGTATTTTATAAAGCGAATACAAGAAAAAATAGTAATTACTTTCATTTTCTGTTGTTGCTCTTTTTTAAATTGATATGTTACATTTTCATTTTGATACCGAAGAAATAAGTAATATTATGTGATAAGAAATAAGAACATTTAAAGAGCTTACAAGTTATAAATTTTGTCAATTGCAGTCAACCAAGAAAATTTCTATTCACGGCGTAAAATGAAGACTGCTTTGGCATTGCTGTTTACTGTTACAAGCCTGCTGGTAGGAACTAATGCTAGAGGTAAAATGATTTATAATACGCAAAATCATTCCTAGCCCGATACAAGTTATGGAAATGAAAATTCCTTAACAATAATAAGTAATTTGAATTTCCTGTGTATAAAACGGTAGTTTTACAAATGTGTTAAATCACGTACATTAGGAAATGCATATATCTAAAGGTATTTTTTGAATAGTTATGGTATATAAATTGATGCTTATCTTTTGTTTATTAAAGAATAAGGTAGTGTAGTCTAATTCAAAATATATTTACTTCTTTGCCTGAGTGGCGCAACTTTTTAAGCAAGAGGAGTCCCAAATAGACAGACACATCCGTGACTTCTGTCTATGGCCTGCATTGTGCGCTATAACGTCAGTCAACATTCAAAAAAATCATACAGCCATTTTCTAGCTTTATTGGTTGAGGTAGACCGCAGGTGCCCCAACGTGCATAACAAACGATCACTTGAATAGAACCACCGATGTTCCGTAAGCTATCTAGGTAGCTTCCTCGCATGACCGAATACAAAGTCCTTGACGGGATTCAAACCTAAAGCGGTGAGGGGCAAATGATTTGAAGTCCTTACGAACTCCTTCGAACGAACTTAACCACTAGGCTGCAGACACCAAACTTTTTGGTTTCAGCATGCTGCGATGACGGCTGGATAGCATATCAAAATCATTGTTACCACATCGGTTATTGGAAGCTTCTAACATTTGCTGAGGCACAGGTATGTGTAACAAATTTTTCGGTTTAATTTACACAAGTAACCATAAAGCTGTATTTATATTGAACACATTTTTCAGTAATAAGTACATAATTTCTAATTCAAGGAAAGGAAATTTTTAATTTTTTTTTAATCGTAAACCAGTGCCACTCTGGTTCAATTATTATTATTTTTTCGATATGTTGCATTTATTGTTTATATTTAGTAAAATGTTAGACTATTATTTTGTTCTATTCATGGTTTTGAAGCTTTTAAAGTAAAGAAATTTACCAAGTTTATGTTTTATGCAGAAATTTAGAAATATATTTGAAACTTCAAAGAAATGAATCTGATTAAAAATACATGTTTGTTATATCAGGACTACTGTCAAAATCTCAGTGCTTACCTTGTCCGACTGGAAACGTTAGCAGAAAATCATTTCCTAAAAGATTTACTGAACAAGACTCAAGGTAAAAATTTACTTTTCCTTTCAACAATTCTTTAGAGCCAGGTTGCTTTTGTATGATTGTTACTGTGGAAACACATAAGAATGTTGAATCGAGTGACATTTGCCAACAATTGTTATTATATTTGTGGGAACAGTCAAATTTTCGCTTGAAGGGAAATACGGTAATAAGAGACATTAGCCTAAGGTTACAGTGTTTTTACGAGGGATAATATTTTGACTGTTACTCACAAACTTATGTGTTATTTATTTAATTACCCGAAACAAATTCTTCATTGGGACACTGTTTCTATAGGTTTTTATTTAGTCACATGGTAAACTTTAATTTACAGTAAGAATGCCTCACATTGGCCTATGGGAAAACTAGTCAGGGGTACATATAATAAAGTAATTTATAAGGCTTTAAGTATGAGTTTCCTTTGAATCTGTTGTAACAATAATGTAATTTACAGTTCCATTTTCGAGAAGTTGACAAAGTCTCTACAACGTAAAAGATATTTACACACAAATCATTTCATTTTATTACAAACATATTGAGAAGAATAAAAAAAATTGTGTTCGTAATTTTAAGCTGGAAATGCGTGGATGGGGCTGACTGACCAGGAGCATGAAGGTATTTGGATATGGATTGACACAGGCATACAAGCGACATTCTCTGACTGGGGACCAGTGGAGCCTAATAATTATCAAGGTCAAAATGAAGAGTGTGTGTATTTTTATGGCGCTGTAAAGTATAAGTGGAATGACGCTATGTGTCTTCACAAAGCTGTACCTTTGTGTGAAAAGGAATAACATACGTTTCTCAGCATTGTCAATCACATACAATATGGTACAGACAAAAATTTGTGAGAATTTTCTTTCATGAAAGCCAAGAAAATTATTTGGTTGTAAACATTACTGTTTATATTTGGACTATTATACATGTACACGTTCATAAATATGTCTTATTGTTTTGGAAAGATAAATAAATAATTACTAAAGTAGGAATATATCAACTATATTTGATTAAAAAACAAGATCTGTATCAAGAAGTTAAAAAGTTATTTTCTATAACTACCCTATGCATACCAAACAATCTTAAAGTGTACGTTTAAATAATTGTAAGCAAATTCTAATAATTTTTACTTTGTTTAAAGCTATTTTGTTTATTGTGTGAAATGTTATGACAAATGAGCCGCGTCACGACAAAACAAATATAATGGGTTTGCGACCAGCATGGATCCAGATCAGGATCCATGCTGTTCGCTTACAAACCCTATTACAAGTACAGAAACTGATAGCGAACAGCATGGATCCTGATCAGACTGCGCGGATGCGCAGTCTGGTCTGGATCCATGCTGGTCTCAAACCCATTATGTTGGTTTTGTCGTGACGCGGCTCATATTATTACACTAAATATTGCCATTTTCGGATATCACCATAATATCACAAATTGTAAGGCCGTAAATATATAAGCTTATAATTTGCTTCGTTTAAAATTTCAAACCTTAATTCTTACTGTCTATGCAGTTTTCATTTAAGTCACATAAGGTATCTTCTTCTACCTTGGTATCATTAATCAAATAGGCTTTTTTTCTCAAAGGCACACTAAGCCTAAAAAATATATACATTTGTTTCTTCTTAAGAAAATTTAAACAAAAAATTGACAATAGTCATTGATTTACAGCATGTTAGACGTCTATACGTTGAACTACGTTTTTCTTTTTTTTAAAAACAAAGAATATGTTTTAGGTTTTATTGATATATAATGAAAAGTTTCAGTACTCGGATTGATTAATAAACATATTGGATTCTAAGGCGTTTGAACCTACACAGACCAAGTGTCTATGGCGGGCTTCAACATTGGTCCTTTGATCATGTGACATTCTGTACTGTGCCATGTATAAGTTTCATTATTTAGGCCCGCATTTTTATTTTGGGAACTAATATTTAATATACGGAAGCCACTTTCGCGATTAAGTCTTATTACGCAATGCCCGCAGAAAGAATATGAACACTGCATTGTCGGCGAGACTTTAACAAAACAATAATGAACAAATAACTGTTATTATATTTCAAAAATCATATGCTAGCCACCTTAAATGAATTTATTTAAGAACGAACGAATCACTTTTACAATCTTGCATAAACTCGTGTAAATATAACAGTATTTTCGATACTTTCGATAGAATCACCATCCGCAATTTCGCTGTCATTTATATTTCTTGAAGAGACAAATATGACCAGTGTCTTTGTACCCACAATCATGGGTCCGAAGTGATAATCACAACGTGTTAATAATATGTCTTCAAGTGACGCATCTGGAGGGCAGCCGAACTCGGCCTCTTCATGGCGCGTTTGGATTTCACGCTCGATTGCCTGAAACATACGTTTAACTCAATTAAAATCACATAAAAAGGTATCTGTGTTTAATCTTATTATTTTGAAATATAGAGACTATTTATCTGTTATTTTTTATGCAAAAGTGAAATAACGTATTTGAACAATCAGTTATAACGCGGTTCACTTTACGAAAAAAAGAGATTTTTTTTCGCATGGAGTTCTCACTAGAGCTGGCTCTACAATAAACATAATGAATTTCTGGAAAAAAAATATAAAAGAAAATGCAACCTGGACCACCTTTTGTATTGGTTTTCTTCTCTACACAGATCACAACAAGAGCTGTCCGTAAGACAGCGCGCTCGACTTTTTTATTGCTTGCCAATAAAAAAAGTTTTTGCAGTAAAAGGCAATACAAGAATCTCTGTATTTTTAAAGTGAACAATGGCCATGAGCAAATCCTTGACAGAGTTACCTTCTCTTGCGTACAGATGGGGGTAATGATGTGAAATAGCATTAAAAGTTTCAAAGCAATATCTCAAAGGGTTAAGGCAATAAGTGGATTTTACCCATATTCAATGTATTTTCTAAGTCAAAAAGGGGCATAATTCTGTCAAAAACCTTGACAGAGTTATGTCCTCTTGTCTGTTGATGAAGGTCGTGATGGTAAACAAGTATGGTCAGTTTCAAAGCAATACCTCCAATGGTTTTGAAATAAAGTGAGGTGGTACAAAAAACTTAACCAAGCTCAATACACTTTCTAAGTCAAAAAAAGGGCCATAATTCTGTCAAAAACCTTGACAGAGTTATGTACTCTTGTCTGTAGATGGAGGTTATGATGGTGAACAAGTATGGTAAGTTTCAAAGCCATACTTGTAATACTTCTGAAATAAAGTGGGGTGGTACGAAAAACTTAACCAAGGTGTGACGCCGACGCCGACGCCGGGGCGAGTAGGATAGCTCCCCTTTTCATAGAAAAGTCGAGCTAAAAAGCACCGTAAGTGTGCAAATTCTAATCTATACCTAGCTGAAATCACCAGATTGAATAAAAACTTGGTATTACCTTCACACTTTCTTCATGGATATGTTTCACGCTTTCAGCAATTGCACAAGCTGTAGATAAAGGCCCCTTACAGGAAACTGTTGCGCTTCTCTGACACGAAAAGAAATATGATCACAATCAAAATTATTAAATAATAGCCCAAATAAAGGTAACAATAATTCTTAATAACAGACAATGAATATCGCTAAAGCGGATGAATGCTCCAAAAATCAGCAAGTTGGACAATGTGTTTCAATGATCATCAGCTAAATATACGGAAGCGTCCTGGTGCCAATTTAACATGTTCTATAAAAAAATGATAACTCCTACGTAGGAGATAAAAAAAAAGCCTAATTAGGAGTTTATTACTCCTACACGCAGGACTTTATAACTCCTAAACGCAGGACTTTATAACTCCTACGTAGAAGATAAAAAAGCCTAGTTATGAGTTTATAGTGTTTATAACACCTACGTAGGACAATTAAAAAATAGCATGTTAGAATTATGGTTTAGGAAATTGATCTCGGTTTTTGAGTGCATTGTTTTATAATATTGCAAGGCTACTATGGACTTCAGATGCTCAGTAGAAAGCGGCTGTAGACAAGACTGTGACGGACGGACGGACAGACATACCAACAGTACGGTTTATTTTTTTTCTTTGATCTTTATGTATCATTTTTTTCCGCAATTTCCACTTTAACCAAGGATTTTTGTTTTTTTCTTCTTTTTTACTAGGATTTTCATGTTTTCCTTCTTTTTTACTAATAGGGTTTTTGTGGTTTCCTTCTATTTTATTAGGACTTTTGTGATTTCTTTTTTATTAGGAGTTTGCGTTTTCCTTCTTTTTTACCAGGATTTTAGTGTTTTTCTTCTTTTTTTACTAGTAGGATTTGTGTGGTTTCCTTCTTTTTTATATGATTATGGACGGACGGACAAGGCGACGACTACATGTTCTCCCTTTGTGGAGCTGAAGATTTTTTTTGAACATAGTTTGTGGTGCGAAGGGGTTTCCTTATATGTAACCAATTTACCAAAAGATTTCAAAGCAGAACTGATTATTTAAATCAGGGTCAGAAATCAAACTGAGATTTAAAGCGTTTGGCTGTAGGTTATCGTGGTACATAAACGCATGTTTTTTTTAGAGATATCTAGTTTGTTGGTTTGACAGCTTCCCAAAGACTACATATGTCAGAGACTGACGGCAACGATTTGCCAAGGCACTGTATTACCCAGTTCAGCAACTTATTCTGTATTTGAAACAAGATATAAAGACAAATTAATCGTTCCCGCCAGTGAATAAATCGAATAAATCGCTCTCTTCACATTGCTTACCGTTTATTCTATGAACTGTTTTGTTTGCATGTAACAGTACTACTCTTTTTTTTTATCTAAATGCAAAATTTGAAGAAAAAAAAACGCATTTCTCTATTATGTTGTTCGCACGACATAGTAACTCCTTATAACGACATACTAAGTCGTTTGCTCGAGTTAGTCGAATCGAGATTGAAAAAAAAAATTAAAGTCACAGAAAATATTTCATGCCATCTTTTGGTATCCAGCCATTTTATACATTGATTTGAGTGACACCAGTCAAATCTAGCACTGAATACATCTAAGCAAGTAGATAATGAAAAAAACTAAAATTGAAAAATTAACAAAAAATCGATAAATCGATCAACAAATCAATTAATATCTGCTAATGAAGTAGTTAAGAACTCACTGTTTTAGATACTGTCGACTTGTGCATAACAGTATCTAGACTCGAAAAATCCACTTGATGTAATGAACTGTAACTAACTTCAACTTCTTTGTTGCCATGACGACCAGTGTCCATGTTCTGGCTTGGAAGCATTATAATGACGTCAGCAGTTTTACTCGCTTCGCAAAAATTATTAGTTAATGTGACAGCTGAAATGTAATTTAGACAAGTTTATGTGGCAAGGAGTAAACTATGGAACGCCTGGACTGTCTTATGTGTAGAATGACTGATATACATGGTTAAATGTCATTCTGTTGAGTCCGAGATACAATATGCTGGGTCAAAATCCCAATATACTGGGTGGAAATCCAAATGCGCTCAGTTATTGAAGTGTAATGTTGTGTGCTGATTACATTTTATTCAGTCAAGTCAATGTATTGTCAGGTGCATTAGTCGTTCTGTTCAGTTCTTAAAACAAACAGGCATGTGGTAACACAATTATGTTGAGTTAAAAAGATATGTTGTAGGGTGTGACAGTTGTTATGTTCGGTTAAAATAGCTCTTCTCATCATGTTCAACCATGCAAATAAACAGTTGAGTGGTACTATCATTTCGTTTGGCTGAGGCAGTGTATTATTGGGTGATACTTTTATTATTTTCAGTTGCAATGACATGCTGTTGGGTGCTTTATTCAGACTGTTCAGTCGTGAAATAGAACTGTTGAATAGTACTATCATTATGTTCAGTTCACATGATATACTGTTCGGTGCACAGGTCATTATATTCAGTAGTGAACACAAACTGTTGTGTGATACCGTCATTATGTTCAGTTCAGATGATATCCTGTTTGGTGCAGAGGTCATTATGTTCAGTTCAGATGATGTACTGTTCGGTGTAGAAGTCATTATGTTCAGTTCAGATGATGTACTGTTCGGTGTAGAAGTCATTATGTTCAGTTCAGATGATGTACTGTTCGGTGCAGAGGTCATTATGTTCAGTAGTGAACACAAACTGTTATGTGATACCGTCATTATGTTCAGTTCAGATGATATACTGTTCGGTGCAGAAGTCATTATGTTCAGTAGTGAACACAAACTGTTGTGTGATACCGTCATTATGTTCAGTTCAGATGATATCCTGTTTGGTGCAGATGTCATTATGTTCAGTTCAGATCATGTACTATTCGGTGTAGAAGTCATTATGTTCAGATGATGTATTCGGTGCAGAGGTCATTATGGTTCAGTAGTGAACACAAACTGTTGTGTGATACCGTCATTATGTTCAGTTCAGATGATATCCTGTTTGGTGTCATTATGTTCAGTTCAGATGATGTACTGTTCGGTGTAGAAGTCATTATATTCAGTTCAGATGATGTACTGTTCGGTGCAGAGGTCATTATGTTCAGTAGTGAACACAAACTGTTATGTGATACCGTCATTATGTTCAGTTCAGATGATATACTGTTCGGTGCACAGGTCATTATGTTCAGTAGTGAACACAAACTGTTGTGTGATACCGTCATTATGTTCAGTTCAGATGATATACTGTTTGGTGCAGATGTCATTATGTTCAGTTCAGATGATGTACTGTTCGGTGTAGAAGTCATTATGTTCAGTTCAGATGATGCACTGTTCGGTGCAGAGGTCATTATGTTCAGTAGTGAACACAAACTGTTGTGTGATACGTCATTATGTTCAGTTCGGATGATATCCTGTTTGGTGCAGAGGTCATTATGTTCAGTAGTGAACACAAACTGTGGTCTGATACCGTCATTATGTTCAGTTCAGATGATATACTGTTCGGTGCACAAGTCATTTGACAATGCGCTGAGTGGTCGTACAATTATGTTGGGTTCATTCGGATATCTTCGCGTCAAACAGAGCAACTAATTTCCATAGGTCACGTCGAGGCTAATGACCACTAAATTGCCAAAACAATTTTCTTCCCCGTAAATACCATCGGGAGCTTAAAAACGTTATTTCCATAAATTGGACAGATCGTATGGCATATTTAATACCCAATGGGTATTTTATCAAGTTAATTTATGACTATACTATACTGTTACAGTCATAATGGGCACAGTATATAAATTTTAAAATATGGGTAAGGGTATAGCCTGTTCAAGTCACACATGACTACCGTAAATAAAACATAAAATATGTGTTGGTAACTTTTTAGACTCACAAGTGGACACATCAAACGAAATTTAAAATATGAAACATAATATACAAGTAAGGCAAACCTATTTGAGTCACACATGGCCACAGTATATGGAACGTTAAATATAAGTATGGAAACCCCATTTGAGACACACATGACCACAGTAAATGGAACATTATATATAAGCAAGGGTAGCCTAATAAAGTCAAACATGGCCAAAGTATAAAGACAATTCTATATAAGTAAGTGAAACCTAATTGAGTCACACATGGCCACAATATATTAGACATAATGTTTAAGTCAGGGAAATGTATTTGAGTCTAATTTTATTAGGCTACCCTTACTTATATATAATGTTCCATATACTTTAGTCATGTGTGACTCAAATAGATTTCCCTTACTTAAATATAATGTTCCATTTACTGTGGCCATATATGTCTCAAATAGGTATTCCTTACTCGTATAGAATGTTCTGTATACTATGGCCATGTGTGACTTTATTGCGCTACCCTTACTTATATTTAATGTTCCATATACTGTGGCCATGTGTGACTCAAATAGGTTTCCCTTACTTAAATATTATGTTCATTTATTGTGGTTATGTGTGACTAAAAATGGGTTACCAACACACATATTTTAAGTTGCATATGCTGTGGCCATATGTGACTTTAATAGGCTACCTTACTTATATGCTCCATATACTGTGGCCATGTGTGACTCAAATAGGGTTCCCTTACTTGTATATGATGTTTTATATTTTAAATTTCGTTTGCTGTGTCCATTTGTGACTCTTATAAGTTACCAAACAGATAAATTTTAAGTTTTATTTACGGTGGTCATGTGTGACTTTAACAGGCTACCCTTACCCATATTTTAAGTTTTATATACTGTACCCATTATGACTGTAACAGTATACATGTAGTATAGTCCTGAATTAACTAAATAAAATACCCATTGGGTATTTAAAAGTCCAATTTATGAAAATAACGTTCTTAAGCCCCCGATGATATTTACAGGGAAGAAAATTGTTTTGGCAATTTAGTGGTCATTAGCCTCGACGTGACCTATGGAAATTAGTCGCTCCCATCTTGTTGCCCGAAAATATCCGAATGAACCCAACATAATTGTGGTATCACACAACAGTTTGTGTTCACTATTGAACATAATGACCTCTGCACCGAACAGTTTATCATCTGAACTGAACATAATGATAGTACCAAAAAACCACTGAACATAACGACCTTTGCACCGAACAACACATTGACTTGACTGAAGAAGATATAATCAGCACACAAGATAATGATAGTACCATTTAAGATAATGATTGTACCATTTAACAGTTCTATTTCACGACTGAACAGAAGGAATAAAACACCCAACAGCATGTCATTGCAACTGAAAATAATAAAAGTATCACCCAATAATATACTGCCTCAGCCAAACAAAATTATAGTACCACTCAACTGTTTTTTTTCATGGTTGAACATGATGAGAAGAGCACCAAACAGCATATTATTATAACCGAACATAATAACTGTCACACCCAACAACATATCTTTTTAACTCAACATAATTGTGTTACCACATGCCTGTTTGTTTTAAGAACTGAACAGAACGACTAATGCACCTGACAATACATTGACTTGACTGAATAAAATACAGTCAGCACAAAACATAGCACTTCAATAACTGAGCACATTAGCATTTCCACCCAGCATTTTGTATCTCGGACTCTACAGAAAGACAGTTAACCAGGTATATCATTCATTCTTAACATAAGACAGTCCAGGCGTTCCATAGTAAACCAATATATGAACAAAACATTATTACTTCATGTAATTAAAATATAAGGTAGAAAATATGTAAATTGAATAAAAAAAAAAGCACACAGCTATGTATACGGAATATATTTAAGTTTTAATTAAAATAATTTTACTTAGAACTGTGATTTTTTTGTAAATGTATATATAAACTGGACCGGCGACCCAGAAAAAAAAGCGTTTCGAGGTGTCATGTCTTAACGGGGCAATAAAAAATTTCCAGGTGGAAGAGGACCTCGGATGTGTTTTTGTGTTTTGCATCAATGCTTAACTATAAACTAATGATTTATAGTCTAAATCGCACAATAAAGTGCAAAAAGAAAATCCCCTCGGTAAACTAGTAAACCGTCAAACCCCTTCTGCAATATGATTACCCTTTGACAAACTTTTGAAATTTTGTAACCACCCTATGTCATAAATACTGGATCAGTGCCTGAACAACAAAACCATATATCAGTAAGGCAAGATGTACTTCGTGCGTTCTCTAGTTTGGACTCTATACTCTTACACGAGTTTTTTCAATTACATGTACATAAACCGTCTACATAGTGGATAAATAAATAAAAATTTAGATACAAATAAAATTGTAATTCCATTTTCTTTATAAAAACATTAAAATAACAACCATAAACAAGCTTACATGAAAGCAAAGGAAAAGCGCAGTCTTGTAGTTCCATAGCAACACCCCTCATATTTTCGTCTGCTTCTTTACAGTCGCATAACATCAATTCGAGTTGCTGTCAATCAAAAACAAACAAACAGAATCAAAAATTGAAAAATTCTAAAACGTCACGCTCACTATATATGTAATATGTACAGAAAATTGGCAAGAGGAGCTCCAAAACTGTCGTATAAGAAAGTGTTGTCAAAGTAACAAGACAGGATTAGTGTTATAAATTATGTTACTATTAAAATATAAGTATAATGTACCTATCCAAAATAAAAACAAAACAAAATTCCTCGTAGATCTAGTCTAACAGAAAGAAATAAAATTGTAAAATATGTATATAATGAATACAAATTATGGAAATAGACATCAAAACGAAGTAGTGCTGGGATTAAGACCATTCCTCTTCCCCCACTTCGACGACCCCAACTCTTCCCCCACCCCATGTGCCAACCATCGACTTTTTTCGGGTAAATAAGACCATCCCCTTCCCAACCCACACCCCCGCAACGCCCACCCACTTTTATCTTATTAAAGTACGGGATGATAAGGAACATTAGATAATGAAAACATTACCCATCCTTTGATGACGTCACCAGAGGCTAGCATCGGTAACAAATGGTAGGCAGTCGCTGACGTTGCCTCTGTCACAAGGATTCTTAGCATGTTTGACACTGGAAAAAACAACAACAACATTGTTGACATTAATCTTGTGGATATACCCGAGAAATTTCGGAATATTTTCTGGTTCCTCTGAGACAAATAATCGCTATGAAAGAAATATTTTGCACCCTTGTTTTTTACAAATGGCTAGTACTGTAATCATTTTCATATAAGAGGTGCAGTTTATTACAAGGGAGACAACCTGGCATTGTCACAATGCCATATACCAGTGTTCTCCCTTTATAAGTTTAGTTACCTTTTTAACTTTTGTTTTTAGTTAATTTCCATCATAAACTTTAGTTTTAAAATTTATTAAATCAGCCATATCATATCATATTATATACATGTGACTGTTAATCTTACGCTATTTTTTATTTTTGGAGTATTAATTAATTTAATGTTCTTATACAGCCATGGACAAAATACCGCCAAACCTGATTTCCCATAGGCATAGTAAGACATAATCTTGATAGGTTTTTCCCCCCTCTGATAGATAAAAATTACCGCTTAAATGCTGTTTTTATCACCATTTTTTATTTCTTAAATGATAATTGTATAGCTAAACTACAATTAATTGTGAGTCTTAATATTGTAAATAATCAAAATAGGCCTTCCACCGTTCCGGATGTTAAATAACGTCCGACGACCTCGTCGTTTATTTTAAAATCATATAACTTTACTATATTTTTTATTTAAGCACGGAAAGTTGAAAGTGCATTTATGAGTACCTTTAATACGTAAATCTTCAGCAAATTTTATGGAACACAATCTTTATGAAAATGCATATGTTCCGGCCCGATTTAAATCGTTATTCAATATAAAACTATAAATCTTCTTTAAATTTCGCGGGTTAAAGTCAGCCATATTGTCACGTGATGTAAACATTCAGTTATTTTAAAAAAAACTTTTTTAATCGGATTAAAACTTGTTCGTGTAAATACGCTGCAAGAATATGCAAATAACTGTTACATCTCATTCGACGATACATTTTATGTATCATTATTTAATTATTTTAAAAAGTATTACACCTAGGTGTAATAATTAGATCTATTGTAAGTTGAACCTCACCTAGTATTGTAAATAAATCTATAAATCATTTTATGGTCAAGACATGCTAACATGTTAACTGTTGAACTAACCATTTAGCACCACAAAAAGAAACAAGTCTTTAGAAAAGTGTCACTTACTTTTTATTGCAGAATACCACAATTCGTGTACTATCTCATATTTTCTAGTGTGAAGTTCAAAAATTAGAATGCTGGACTTTTATCGTGTTTACTTCCCTTTATTCATGAACTACTTGATAACCCGTCACACGAACAGATAAATAATTAAAGCGCTTTAAACTACTGAAGGTATTTTCGTCTGGAATTTATAAGTTGTCTTTCTTTCAATGGGATGTACAGACCAGAATATCTAGCTCGAGGGTAACAGTTTACGGCTGTAACGAGGCTCTTCCGAGTTTCTGTTCGTAGACAGTCATATAGGCGGGTAGTTTCCTAACCATCGTTCCTGGAGAGTTACACCAGTACTAGACTACCTTCCTCCGCGCTAAACTACCAAAGCATCTCCCGGGGATCGTACCCACGCCAGAGAGGTAACTGGATTAGAAGTCATCGATTCTAACCCCTCGACCACTGAGGCGGTGTATGATGTGATACCGTCTACTAGCTACTGATAAAAAGTATTTCAAAAGGTTAAAAAAATTTTAATTTATATTTTATATAGAGATAATAATGTAGCAGCTGTATAAGTATGTGCATTAGACTTTTGCCACACTATTTGAATACAGTTGAAATATTCATAAGCTTTGACGCAATCCAGATTTGAGTCACCGCATCATAAATATTTTTGTTATGATCATCGTGTTTCACGCCTTGTATTGATCGTCGTATATAACGCAGTAACTAGATCGTATTTTACGCATTGTATTGATCGTCGTATTCCATGCCTTGTATTGATCGTCGTATATAACGCCTAGTATTGATCGTCGTACATAACGCCTAGTATTGATCGTCGTAGATAACGCCTTGTATTGATCGTTGTATATAACGCCTTGCATTGATCGTGGTATTTTACGCCTTGTATTGATCGTCGTATTCCAGGCCCTGTATGTATCGTCGTATATAACGCCTTGTATTGATCGTCGTATATGACGCCTAGTATTGATCGTCGTATATAACGCCTTGTATTGATCGTCGTATTTTACGCCTTGTATTGATCGTCGTATTCCAGGCCCTGTATTGATCGTCGTATATAACACCTTGTATTGATCGTCGTATAAAACGCCTAGTATTGATCGTCGTATATAACGCCTTGTATTGATCCTGTTTTTTGTTGTTACATTTTACGCATTTTCCCAACAGTATTTCAGTCATATAGGCGGGTAGTTTCCTAATCATCGTTCCTGGAGAGTTACACCAGTACTAGACTACCTTCCTCCGAGCTAAACTACCAAAGCATCTCCCGTGGATCGAACCCTCGCCAGAGAGGTAACTTGATTAGAAGTCATCGACTCTAACCCCTCGACATATTGATTGTCGTATTTATTTTACACCTTGTATTGATCGTCGTATTCCAGGCCCTGTATTGATTGTCGAATATAACGCCTTGAATTGATCATCCTTTTTTACGCCTTGTATTGATCGTCGTATATAACGTTAAAAACGCCCTGTATTGATCGTCGAATTTCACGCCTTGTATTGATCGCCGTATTGACGCCTTGTATTGATCGTCGTATTCCAGGCCCTGTATTGATTGTCGTATATAACGCCTTGTATTGATCGCCGTACTTTACGTCTAGTATTGATCGTTGTATTTCAGTATTCGACGCTTTGTATTGATCGTCGTATTTCACGCTCTGTATTGATCGTCGTATTCCGCGCCCTATATTGATCGTCGTATCTTGCGCCTTGTATTGATAGTCGTATTTTGCCCCCTGTATTGATCGTCGTATACCGCGCCCTGTATCTGTTCGCCATATACCGCGACTTGTATTGATCGTCGTATTCCGCGCCTTGTATTGATCGTCGTATTCCGCGCCTTGTATTGATCGTCGTATTCCGCGCCTTGTATTGATCGTCGTATTCCGCACCTTATATTGTTCGTCGTATTCTCCGCCCTGTATTTATCGTCGTACTCCGCGACCTGTCTTGATCGTCGTATTCCGCGCCCTGTATTGATCGTCCTATTCCGCGCCTTGTATTGATCGTCGTATTCCGTGCCTTTTTTTGATTGTCGTATTCCGTGCCTTGTTTTGATTGTCGTTTTCCATGCCTTATACTAATCGTCGTATTACATGCATTGTATTGATCGTCGTATTCCAGGCGTTGTATTGATCGTCGTATTTCAGTATTCCTCGCCTTGTATTGATCGTCGTATTTCACGCTCTGTATTGATTGTCGTGTTCTACGCCTTGTATTGATCGTCGTATTACGCGACCTGTATTTTGATCGTCGTATACCGCGCCTTGTATTGATCGTCGTATTCCGCGCCTTGTATTGGTCGTCGTATTAAGCACTTTGTATTGATCGTCGTATTCCGCGCCTTACATTCATCGTCGTATTCCGCGTCTTGTATTGATCGTCGTATTCCGAAACCTGTATTGATCGTTGTATTCCACGCCTTGTATTGATCGTCGTATTCCACGCCTTGTATGATCGTCGTATATAACGCCTAGTATTGATCGTCGTATTTCACGCCGTATATAATGCCTTGTTTTGATCGTCGCATACACTACTCATATGTACAGGTGTTTTCCACGTCTTATATTGATCGTCGTATTGCACGATTGTATTTACAGTCGTTATCTTTCGAGGTATAGAAGGAATATTTCAAGAGCAATCAGTTCCAGAAGTGAGAATGCATAATTCTTTATCTCTTGCATGAAACAAGAAGCATTATTGGCTTAACATTATAAAAAAATGCAATTTGTGTCCGTTGGACCCTTGGATTTTGCACGTGATGATTGCAGATGTTTTTTGCTGGTTTTTTTGTCTTTTGTTGTTGTTGTTGTTGTTGTTGTTGTTTGTGTGTGTTGTCTCTTTCGAATCATGCCGAACAAAATTTAAGTCGTAATAATTAGGCATTGGTTGGAATATTACTAATGTCAGTTTTACCAATTGAACTTTCAGAAACTATAACGAGGTTCATTATAACGCTGTGTCGTCTGTTTGAAACCTAGACAATAGATCTATATAGGTAATTTTAGTACATTTGTATTAACCTTAAGAAAAAACTCTTATTATTTGTTAAAGTGAAGTTATGAACAATCAATAGTGGAAAAGACCCTTGTACACTTCTACATATCAATTACTTTGTTTATTTTAGTTTAGTATGCTTCAATATTTCATGTATTTTAAAAATGTTTTATTGATAAAATAACAGCGTGTGCACCTAATTGGACGAAAAACGCTGCGCTTTCATATTATGTTTAAGATTTCTGTAACTTATGTATATATTAGTGTTTGGCGAACAAACATATATAAATTTAATAATGAATTCACTTAATAATATCAATAAATAGCCATTACTCAATAATTATGGTTCAATTATAAATAAAAAAAACATAAATCTTGATATACAGAATGAAAACTCTGGGCATGTAAATCTTAAAATGTCCTTTAATTTAATTTATAATAAATAAATAAATTAACTAATTAATAAATAAATTAATTAATTAATTAATTAATTAATTAATAAATTAATTAATAAACTAGTTAGTTAGTTGGTTGGTTGGTCGGTGGGTCGGTCGGTCAGGTAGTCAGATAGTCACAATTAGTCACAGTTAGTTGGTTAGTAAGTTAGTTAGTTAGTTAGCTGGTTGGTTGGTTGGTCGGTCGGCCGGCCGGCCGACCGGTCTGTCGGTCGGTCGGGCAGTTAGTTAGCTAGTAAGCTATAGTTAGTTAGCTATATGAACGTGAGTATAGAAAGGGTGGATAAGGCCAAAAATGTTAAAGCATTAGTTTCCCTGTATCAAAATTAATTAGTTAGTTAGTTAGTTAGTTAGTTAGTTATTTAGTTAGTGTTAGTGAGTGAGTGAGTGAGTGAGTGAGTGAGTGAGTGAGTGAGTGAGTTAGTGAGTTAGTTAGTTAGTTAGTTAGTTAGTTAGTTAGTTAGTTAGTTAGTTAGTTAGTTAGTTAGTTAGTTAGTTAGTTAGTTAGTTAGTGTTATAGTATAACTGTTCCTATTTACAGAGGTTCAGGAGTCGATTATTATAGGTGTTTTGGCTTATTAAAAATATGTTGTTCTGTTCTATTAAAAGAGTTTCGTGAAATGGTAAGAACATCATTAATGCACATTAGAACTAAAATAAAGAAACTGAACTATTTCCTAAACTCAAAATGTGGAATATTACCTTGTCTTACTGCCAAGGTCTTAAAGACTATCTTCACTTCATATCATTCATCAATCTAACTTGATAAATTACACACGCGCTTGTTTATATTTCAAATATTTATCAGCATCTTGAAATTGAAAACCAGCGCGGTGTACAATTTGCAACACATTGTTCTGTAATCAATACAAATTATACCGTTGTATCATCAGGCCATATCAAATTGATTGTTTAAATCAATAACTACATGTGTTCGCCTCTTATTTCTCTTTTTCTTTTTATTACGAATCAAAGAAAACCGGTTGTTATTTAATAATCCGGTACAATTTGACACAGGGAAACTAACATTTTTGGCCTTATCCACCCTTTTTCTGTTCAGTTTTCTATACTCCCGTTCATATACTTATCGGATTTTATTAGATGGTTTTAAGACTATTCTCTTCTATGCACCCGGGAAATAATGAGCTTTTAAATAGAGTGTTAACTTTCTATCATTCTATCCCATTCTTAAGTGGCTCTTTGTGGATTGTGAAATTATAAAATATCAATTTTATGTGTGATTTGAATACGTGGATATCATATACAAAATATCTTCTTCAGGTAGGACTATTTTAATATTGGCTTAATTATTATTCTTCTGTTTATACTAATTCTTGATCCTTAAGTAATTTAGAATGACAAGAAATCAAATGGCGGTTGTTCGTATTTGATTTTATACAATCGGTTTACTTTAAATCTTTTTATATCAAAATATACTCTTGTACATTGGAGTACTGTATATGAATATATCATAATTACTCAATAATTTTATTAATTAATCTTTCCTTGAAGTATAATACAGTAACTTGATATTTCATACAAATCATGTATTTAGATCAAAATTTCATTATGATGTTTATCACATGTTTAAACCCGTTTTACGTGTTTTCTATAATCAAACATTTAAAATTATGTGTTCACTGAAGCGT